ATGGGCTTGGAGACGCGGCGTCGTGCGACAAAGTAAAGGGCAGGCAGGACAAAGGTCATGCCGACGAGACGGCCCCAGACGCGGTGGCTCCATTCCATAAAGTAGATCTGCTTAAACTCGTCCATGGTCATGTGCGGGTTGAGGAGCGCAAACTCGGGCGAGGCGCGATACTTGTCGAACTCGGATTGCCAGTCTTCAAGGGTCGAGGGAGGTAGCGAGCCGGTAACGGGACGCCACTCGGTGATACTGAGACTGGAAGACGTTAGTTGTTGCCACGGAGCATGACTTTTGATGCTTCAGCTGGAGCGGAACGTGCTTAAACATACCCAGACTCGGTCAACCTCGTCAGGCCACCCCAGACGACAAGACCAAAGACACTAACAGCGCTGCCCAGCAGCCAGATGGCGACAGGCTTGGAGGTCGTCTTTTCGGGAAAGGACTTGGTCGCAGCCTTTGCAGCCTCCTTCGCCACAGACGGCGCAGCCTGAACCTGCTCAGCCGCGGCATTGGCCGTGAAGCTCATAGATGGTGCCTTTGCGACGGCATACTGGCGGGATCGTACGATGTTGATGATGCGTGATGGTGAGCGCAAGGGAACATGCTGATGCTGGCATTGGCGGCAGACAATTGCTGGAGTCGACAGCCGAACGGCTAGTCGACGTAGACCTGGGGCGAAAGACGCCATGTTGGCCAGCAATCGGGGTCGGTGGTGAAAAGCGTCGATCTGAGGGTGCTTGGTGGGTGATGTTAAGGTACAAGTCCAAGGTGGGATGGAAAGTCGAGAGAGAGGCTCTGGACCCTAAATGATTCATTGGATGGGAAATCCAGATGCTCCGAGTGGACTCGGGACTTCAAGATCGGAGGGTACGTACCCGGTTTGCACCCTGTCAAGAGCCCATGTGGACCCCTGCTCGTCCTGTCCAGCGACAGTGGTGCCACTTACAGGGGTCCCCCACTGTAAAATCCAGCTCACCGCTTTGCCCACCGCGGCAGAATCAGAAAAAGTCCAAATTGTCCAGCAGGCAAGCACCTCCGAGCTTCAGTGGGCAAGGCGCCGATTGACGACAACTACATCAAACCTCACCAACTCGATCGACACGATGCCCGGACGACAGGCACACGGAAGGCCGCTCATCTCTGCCAAGTCGGCGCCCAAGCCGCACAAGAAATCCAGCCAAAAGGTCCGCGCCCGGGCTCTCGACGCCTTTGGAATCGCCTCCGAACAGTTCCCCACAAAGGAGAAGAAGACACCGCGGTTCCGTGAGATCAATGCCGATGTTGGACGCAAACACAGTCGCGAGGAAGATGAAGAAGACGAAGACGACGAAGACGACGAGGACGAGGCCCAGTCGAGGAGGAAACGCGTGAAGCCCTCGGCGGCCCCCACTGGCGATGACGAGGAGGATGAATTCGGCAGCGACAGCGAGGGCAACGAGTGGCGATACGGTGTCGGCGCCGATGACGATTCGGAGCTTGACAGTGACGAGGCGTTTGGAGAAAGCGACGAGGAGGAGTTCCAGGGCTACACCTTTGGCAAGAGTTCGAAGAAGAAGACCAAGAAGACCAAACAGGACGATTCTGACGATGACCACCCGTTCGACGACCCGGAAGACTTCGACGCCGGAGACGATGGTGACGACCTCGGAGAAGACGCCATTGACCTGGCGCAGATGCTCGATATGGCGGAAGACGAGTCGGACGAAGAAGGAGAGGAGGGAGAATCTGACGAGTCTGATTCGGACGAGGACGATGCGTCCAGCCCACCATCGTCCGACGAGGACGACGAGGACGATGAAGATGTTGATTCTTCCAAGCTCGATGCTCTGCAAACCTTCATCTCTGGCTACGGTGGCGAAGACGACAAGGAGGATGCTCCGGATGGATCAAAGCCCCGCCAGAAAATTAGCTTCAAGGACCTCGGCCTCGCGGGCGTCAAAGACCCGCAAATGAAGAAATCCATGAAGCTCATGTCCAAGGAGGAGAAAGAAGCCCGCCCAGGGGGCGCTAAGAAACTTGCTATTCCACTCGGCAAGCGCCAGCAGGACAAGCTGAGCCGTGCTGTTGCGTACGACAAGACAAATGAGACTCTCGATCGCTGGACCGACCGCGTGAAGCAGGATCGTCGCGCCGAGCATCTCGTCTTCCCCCTGCCCGAGAACGCGCAGGATGCGGGCCTCAACCACGACGAGCTGGCGCCCATCACGTCCAAGACGACAGGCAACGAGCTGGAGCAGACCATCATGAGCATCATGGAACAGAGCGGTCTGGCGCTGAACAAAGAGGAGGAGAAGCGCATCAAGGCCAAGGACAACCCGAACGAGGGTCTCTCAAAGGAGGCGCTCCAGGAGCTCGTCAACCAGAAGCGCCAGGAGAAGGAGCTACGCTCGCGCGAAGCCAAGCGCAACAAGCGCATCAAGAAGATCAAGAGCAAAGCGTATCACCGTGTGCATCGCCGGCAGCGTGAGCGCGATGAGCTCAAGCTTCACGAGGCCATGGCGGAGGCGGGTGAGATCGACTCGGAGGAGGAACGCGATGCGCAGGACCGCGCGCGCGCCCTCGAGCGTGTTGGCGCTCGTCACCGCGACAGCAGGTGGGCCAAGGCCGGCAACTCGAACAAGCGTGCTGTCTGGGATGACGACTACCGCTCCGGCCTTCACGACATGGCCCGTCGTGAGGAGGAGCTACGACAGCGCAAAGAGGGCCGCGCAGGTAACGCTTCGGATGATGATGACGACGAATATTCCGACAGCGGCTCCGAGGACGGCAAGAACCGAGACCTCCTGGCTCAGCTCGACAGGGCGGAGAAGTACGACGATGATGAGCCCAAGTCTGCTCTCATGAAGATGAAGTTTATGCAGAAGGCCGAAGCTGAACAAAGGGCCGAGAACGACGCCATGATTGCGCAGATCCGCAAGGACCTTGCCTCCGATGCCGAAGACATGTCCGACGAGGAGGTCGAGGAGATTGGTCGCAAGAAATACGGCGGTGAACAGTCTTCCATCTCCGCGCCAGCCTTGATGGCTGCCCGCGAGAAGAAGCGTGCCGCCGCTGCGGCAGCCGCCGGGGAAGACAACGACGCTCCTTCTGGGAAAGCCTCCCGCCCCAAAGCCGACGCCGCATCCCTCAACATCGGCACCTCCATCACAGCCGACGGTACCGCCCTGAAGAGCGACGCCTGGTCCTCCAATGAACCGCGCCGCAAGAACAAGAAGCACGCGCCCGTCGTCGACACGATCAGCACGACCGATATCATCAAGGCCGGCTCCAAGCGCGTCTCAAAATCCACCAAGACATCGGCGGCCGGTACCGAGATGGACGTTGACGGCGACGATGCGGACCTTCACCTGCCCCTCGCCATCCGCGACGTTGACCAGCTCGATCGCGCGTTCGCCGGTGACAATGTCGTCGAGCACTTTGCGGCCGAAAAGGCCGAGATGGAGACCGAGCAGGACGACAAGGTCATCGACGAGACGCTGCCGGGCTGGGGCAACTGGGTCGGCGACGGCGTGTCAGCGCGCGACAAGGCGCGGCACAAGGGCAAGGTGCTCCGCAAAGTCGAGGGCATCAAGAAGGCGAACCGCAAGGACGCCAAGCTCGAAAAGGTCATCATCAACGAGAAGCGTATCAAGAATGTGAGGACCGCCCATCTCCCCGTCTCCTCGTGCCTCTTTTTTCTCCCTGTATCCCCCCCACAGGCCTCTTTCGGATACCAGACGCGAACGCAGCTAACGAAAACGCAGAACGACAAGTATCTCGCCTCGCAGCTCCCCCACCAGTTCGAGTCGCGAGCGCAGTACGAGCGCTCCCTGCGCCTGCCCATGGGCCCCGAGTGGCAGACCAAGGAGTCGTTCCAGGACGCGACGAAGCCGCGGGTGCTGGTCAAGCAGGGCATCATTGCGCCCATGCTGCGGCCGACGCGGTGAGGGCTGTTCGAAGATTGCTGGCGGGTCGGAGCATGATGAGGACATGGCCAGATGTCTGTTGCATCAAAAAGCGTCTTTTTTTTTCTTCTTCTTTGTTTTCGGGCATGTGGGATCTACAATCCGCAAATAGAATGCTCATAGAATCACGCCGTATATAACTACATCTTCTCAACGCTGCCTCCGGACAAGGTCATGGCTGCAGGTTCAGATGGAGGCGCGAGCTATGTGTGATACCATGCTGCTACAAAGTAGCGATGTATGTGTGCCATAGTCACGCGATCCAACATGTCGCTTGCTTACCGGCATGGAACCTTACTGTGGATGTGACCATGAACTCGCGGCCTAGTCGTCGAAGATAGATGTCAGATGCGTCAACCCCCTATGCTCGTTTCCTACCTGGCGACAACACAACGTGGAGAGGTGCACCGGCCTGTTTCATTGGCTCTTCCAAGCCTACCGACGCAGGAGATTTGTCGTTATGGAATCAGCATGACCAGCGCAACTCTCTGGCGTTTGTGCCCAGACTCGGCGAGCAGCGTCTCTCACAGGGACTCCTCAGCTCACAGATACTAGACGAGGATGGCAAGCCCTCGACTGCATCATAGACTGCATCATCATAACCTGCATCGTCGTTCTCCATGAAACGACAGTCACCACATTGTACATCCGGCAGACTTCATCTTGCGAAATTGATCTTGTTGACTAGCATTACGTACGCAAAGCATCGCAACGCAGCCGAGGACCCTGCCAATTGCAGGATCACCATATCCCTTTTTTTCTGGGAATCGAGAGGTCAGACCTGCCTGCCTGACATCGCCGCACCGTGCCGCACCGTATGTTACATTGAAAGTTGTTCGTACTTAAAGGAAATCATACACTGTAAGGAATATCTTTGCGACCTCTTGTTTGAAAGGTTTGTTTGAGGTGGACAAGTCCGCTATTTGCGACTTGTACCACTATTGATCGAGGTCATGCGTGGCCTGCCAAAAAGAAAAGTGGCCGTTTCAGCGACTGAAAACGGCCGTCGAGAAGTGAGGAAATTTGTGGTGGAACTGGCGAGTCTACGCGCCTTCAGACTTAGCGACTGACAAGGTTGAGCGCTTTGTCCATGGCGTCGCTAGGGCTGACGTAGAAGGCCAGCGCGATGATAAAGTAGAGGCCCAGCAACATGGCACCCTCGAGGTAGTTCGACTTGCCGTCTTGGACGGTGTAGGTGACGACGAGAACGGAGAAGGCAAAGGCGACCGTCTCGAAGGTCTCAAAGTGGAGGGTCATGGGCTGGTCGAGAACAGCCCAGCCGAGGATGACGAGGAAGGGGGTGACGAGAAGAGCGATCTGAATGCTGGATCCGATGGCGACGCCCATAGCCAGATCCATCTTGTTGCGAATGGCCACCACAACAGCGGTAACGTGCTCAGCAGCGTTTCCGACGATGGGGATAAGAATAAGACCAATGAAGTTCTTGCTGATATGCGCCTCCTCCACAATATCGTCGATGCTGCCCACGAGGTAGTCGGCGCAGATGGCGACGAGAACGGTGGTCACGACAAGGACAAGACCGGCGGCAACGGGGCCCATGGCGGGCTCCTCCGTCTCCTCCTCGCTAAGCTGGACCTCGGAATCGAAAAGGTTGGGGTGGGTGCGAAGCTGGAACCACAAGTACATGACGTAGAGGACAAGGAGGGTGATGGCGGTGCCGCGCGAAAGCACGAGGATGCTGTGTTCCTTCTCGGGGCTGTCGGCCTGGTTCAGTACGGACCAGAGCTGGACAAGGGTTAGCGAGGAACGCAGGGAAGATGAGTGAAATCTGGCAAACACATACCGTAGCGGGGATGACGAGCGACGCCGACGACAGCGCCATGAGCGAGCAAGTCGTCTGGGCCGTGGCCGAGGCGAAGCTCTGCTCCATGCCGAGGCCGGTCGCAGGGTCGCGCATGTTGACGATGCCACCGAAGAAGAAGCACATGCCCATGACAAGCAGCAGGTTCGACAGGATGGAGCCGAGCATGGAGGACTGGACGACCTCAATCTGGCCGTCCTTGAGGGCGACAATGCTGACGATGAGCTCGACAGCGTTTCCAAAGGTGGCGTTGAGGAGACCGCCGAGGGACTCGCCCAGCTTCATGGAGATCTGCTCGGTAGCGTAAGAGAGAACGGCGGCCAAGGGGATGATGGCGAAGAAGTTGATGGTGAACACAGCAGTCGCACCCCAGCCCATCTTGCCGGCAACGATGCCCAATGGCACCATGAAGAGGAGGAAGTTGACATAGTCTGGCGCGAGAGGCGGTCATGTCAGTCAAGTGCTAGAGGGTTCGAGGCCGCGGTCGCAAGCCAAGGGAGAAACGTGGAGAGGAGACAGGCGCGCGAGAGTAGGAAAAAGACAAACGTACTGCTGAGGAGGGTCACCTTGGTGACGTGCCAGGTGTAGGCGGAGTACTTGACGAAGACATTGTCGCTGTCGCTGCCGGGCGTCCTCTCCGTATCGAAGAAGAATTGAACCGTCTTGTTCCTGGAGTGACCATTCGCGCGAGGCTCGTCGCCGTCGGCGTCCCTCAGATGGGGCTGGCCGGAGCCGTTGCCCAGCAGTGGTGAAGACTCGCTGGCGCCATCCTCACGACCGGCGTCGGATACAGGCTTGCTCGTGTTACTGTCCCATGTGCGGCGAACCTGCTCGCGGAAACTGACGTTGGCTGTGTTGTTGTCGGCCATCGTGGGCCATGCAATTAGCCGAGGTGTGCTATGGTATCAAGGGACTGGCGGCGATCTTGTTGTCGTCGGGTCGTTGGGTAAGGCTCGCAGGTGGGAAAAGGCAAGGCAGGAGGACGAGGCTGACTGGAGCTGGGCTTGGGTAGAGGGGGTCTAGGCGGAAAGAGTTGGATCTGGTCCAGGCTGGGAGCGAAGTGACAGGACAGGACGATGCAGACCAGAAAAAAATTGGGAAAGCGAGGAAGAGGGTAAGGTGAGGTGAGGTGGACTAGCAGAGAAAGCGTTTCTTTCTCGTGTGTGACACGGTCTGTGGCTAGTAGGCAGGACCGGGCAGATATGTGGGAGGGCAGGGAGAGAAGGAGGAGGAGGTGTGTGGATGCGCGAACTGGACGATGGAAGAAGGAGACGGACGAGAAGCAGGTACTACTTACAAACCATTGTGGCTGGTTGGGCACGCGATGTCTGGTAAAGGATACTTTTCAGATGGTGGGGTCGAACAGGGTCGAACAGGGTCGAACAGGGAGCGCTTCGCCTTGCGATGGCGGTCAATTTGCTTGTCGGAACGGGGCAGTCGCGCGTGTCTCGATCTCAAGCTGCGACAGTGGTAACCGTGACAGCAGCGGTAGTGGCAGAAGGGGCAGGTGAAGCGCTGGTCGCGGCGTCGGAGATGGAGACAGAGCAGCAGCTCATTAGACACAGCCCCCTCCCCCGGTCAAGGTTCGGGTGGTATCAGAAGGGGAATAGGGTGTTTTGCGGTGCACGGCTAGACTCTGGAGTGCAGCAGGCGAAAGTAGGGACCAGGGTGTGGGCAAAAGACCTGCAAGGTGGCTGAGAGACAAGAGTAGTAGGAGGTGAGGTAGTAGGTGATCGTGGTGTTGATTGTAATGCTCTGACTCGATAGAGATGAACGTGAGAAGTGTACCAGACTGGTCGGGCGAGAGCCAATGCGGGTAAAGATGCCCTGGTCAGGCAGTGGGCGGCCTCCGGGGGGGGGGTCTGTGGCAGCACAGGTACGCTATGATGAGGAACGTCCTTAGGTATGTGTGTGTGCGCGGTGAGCGATGGGGGAAGGAAGAGACTGAGAGAGGTGAAGCTTCGGCCAGGGTAGCTCCTGCCGGAAGATCAGAGGTCCAGTAGCAACCCAGAATCCCTGCAGATATCCCACGTCATGGAGAGATCAACCAGTCACGGGCTACTTTGACGGCAGGGAACCCTGTTCCAGATGTGCCCCGTCCAATGGGGCGGCGGTTCTAGAGTGGGGTCGAGCGTGGCTATGCTCAACCCGTCGACCTGTTTGCTCGTCGTCCACTGTACAACCCACTGATTGCATCGAAATTTCAACTGGTGTGCCTGTCACCACCCCCGCTCCGTCGCCGGATGCGTTCTGCTTTGTGTCCTCTGTTCTGTTTCACGATGCAATCGAAATCGTGAGGGGCGCCTCCGAGGTTTCAATACACCTGTTTGGCCTCCTCCCCATCGAATACTCCCACGAAAAGAGACAACGACCAACAAAACTCGGTACGACGCGACGTCGACACAGCTTCCCCTGGAAACATCCCCACCATGATGACATGCAAGATCAAACGAAACAGGGAGGCCCAGGTACCATAGCCAAGCTCCATCCTCAAATGTGGCTCCTTTGCGTCAAGACTCGGCGCCATGGAACCTCGAAGCTCCAGCAACGCACAGAAGCACTGCGAGCAACCAACGCCAGAGATCTTGGAACGTGGACCTGATCGACACCTGCTTGACGTGTGCGATTGAACTCTGCTCACTCTGCTCTGACGCTCACTTCCTGCCTTTTTTTTCCCTCTCCATCCTGGGACGTTTGACTTGCTTTTCATTACACGCCGTGCCAGTAGATGTACCACTGGCTTGGCATTCGGCCAATCGCCCTGCACCGCCTCCCTTCGTCCACCCAACCCCGTCGCCCGCTGTGCTGACCTCACGATGTTCCGACGCATCTGTGGCCGCCTCTGATCGAATCGCTGTTCGAGGATAACGTGAGGGGAAGACAGCACCACGATGACTAGCCGCAGGTGCTCACCATTGAGCCTAAGACTTCTATCCTGGACCACTTGCGCCTGACGCGTCGCTTCACCCCCGTTCGTGCGGACTGGACCCAGGCGGGCTGTGTGCTGGCAACGCAGGACGCCGCCTGCCTGCGCCAAACCGCTTCACCCGGACGGAGGTGAGTGAGATGATCCCTTTGCAATCTTGCAATCTTGCAATCTTGCAATCCAGGCAGTGCCGTTCCACGTGCACTTCGGTTAGGTGGCCAACCCGGATGGATGATCGAGTGCGGTCCTGTCACCCTCCGCCTCACTCTGCTGAATCGCGTGTCTTGGCTCAATCAGCAACACATGCCGAGCGCTGCTGACGGAGCGGCGGTTTGTCTTGCGTTATCCTGCGGCGCAGGCGGTAGGCACAGCCCGTGACGATGCTCAAGACCCTGGGCCTCTAGGTCTATTAAGACTCGGCGGACTGCTTGGCTCAAATAGTTTGACTGCTTCGCCGCTGGCCTCGGAGATGGTACACGAAGCAGTATGGCTGGGTTTTACAGATCCCGCCCACGTTCGGCGTCCTGATGTCGGCCCAAGATTCCGGTGGCAGAGACGGGTCGGAGGCATTCTGTCCATCTGCCTGCCATGACGCCTCTCTTAGGTAATGTGGGTCCGGTCAGCTTGCGTCTGAGCTTGCGTTTTGGGGGGGGGGGGCAGTGATCAGAGCGGCTCATCACCTGAGAGACGACCTATCGTGATATCGAATGATTCGGATGGCCGGCATTGGCAATACGTCTCAAATCACAAGGCGTTGCGGCCTCTGTCGATTCACCGGCAAGCACAACAGTCAGCCAAGCAGGCCGCCCAAAGAAGCAGACCATAGAAGTCGCCCAACTCGGTCACAGTCTCAACATCTTGTCGCGAAGACATCTTCCTTCCATGCCATCACCAAGTTGCAACGCCATCTATACGCAAACGATTCCCAGCAGACATGCCGGTCATCGTCCAATCCAGAAACGCCACAGGTGAGGTCAAACCAAGCTTCAGAGCCAAGCTTTCCAACCCCCTCCCCATCCTACGCCAAAGTTCGACATAGACACCCAGAAAAAAAAGAGCCACGCCTTTCCCGTCCCCATCGCCAGGCCGCGCGCGCCCCGCAAAATCCCCCTGCCGCACACAAAAACCCGGGGGATCGGGTTGATGACGCGTCACCCTCATCAGACCCCCCCCCCCCTTCCCTGGATTCATTCGCCCACGTTTATTTGTTTCGTCTCGTTGTGTCTATCTTTGCCTAGCCCGTGGTTTTCAATGAGGAATTCTGTCACACCGTTGGGTCTTGGGTCTCGCTTCGAGAGAGAGAAACCCTGTCTGATGGGTAGTCCCTGCATAGATAGACGTCTGGTCAAGCTTTCGAAGCTCCCACCACCTTCGAAGAGAGCGAGAGAGCTCCCTGGCCCGAAGATTCGGATTGGAGGAGACGGGACTTTGATCTGATCTGCGGAAAGGAGGGGGTGTATCCACGCACGTTGTCACTGTGCTATGTGTGCTATTGTGCTTGTTCCGACTCGATCGCTTGGCAAGGCTGGCCGTCGTCTTATGCAAGTAAGACTTGACGCGAAGTGCTCACCAGTGACGCAGCGCGGCTGCACTTCTGCCCTCCCAGGTCGGTATTTGCCGCTCGCCATTTGCTTCACCAAAGCTCATCCAAGGCACATAAAAAGTCACCATGAGGAACATATGTAAAGTGGTGACAGCATCGATTGCTGCCTTTCATGTATCCATTTTGCGAATCAAATCGTGGTATCTAGGTGCTGGTCGTCTAGGGTTGTCGTTTCTCCGTATTCCATGTCTCATTAGTGGGCGTTGTCGTTTCCGTTCCGTCCTCCTCTTCGAAAGGAAGAGCGCCATTCTCTCTATGCCTTGTCTCGCTCTCATCCAAACGTCGCACAGCATCAGACGCCGCCCATGACTATAATCGTTAGCACTTACGAATCATAGGGACAGGGTCGAGCTCGGGAAACTTACCGGCAGAGTAGGCGAGATACCATGTCAAGCTCGCACCGCCATCGATCCAGCTAGGATCAAAGTTGGTCGAGTTGAAAAAGTCCCACGCCGCCTTCGGGTTGAGTGTGGCCAGGTTGCCAAAGATGATGCCCTTCCACCCGCCCTGGATATCCTGCGCCCGGCCGTTGCTAAAGTACACGTCCCATTCTTCCTGGACAAACTGACGCGTTCGGACGAGCGGCGATGAGGGGAGGAGAGGGATCATGTGGATGCCTTGTATGAACTCAATGTTGGCGCCAAAGTAGGTCGTGTGATCGATCTTGTTCTCGAACAGAATGCCCGCGACCTTGTTTCCAATAAACTGGGCCGGCTGGACCTTGTTGTCCTTCGTATAGAGGTAGTAGTGCTGCAGCGAACGCGCCTGGACGGAGAGCATGAGGTTTCCTCTGGCAGCCATTTTGGCGTCGCCCGACACTGTACCCCACATCTTGATGGCGTATGCCTGCATCATGTCCTCAGAGCTTGACTCTTGGTCTTTACCGTCATAGGACTCAAAAAGACCCTGAGCCCAGGAATGACCGTGGAACCAGTCGAAAGACCTTGATTGCGGGAAGTACATGTCGTGGACACTCGGGTTCGCAAAGTCGCGAACCAACACGTTGACGTACGCCTTGTTTTCGGGGATCCAGCTGGGGTCCAGATGACCGATGACGGCGGCGGCCAAGACGTGGTATGCGTAATGGAAGTGGTGGTCGTTATAGTACGTGTTGCCGAAATCTGCGCCACTGTTTCCGGTGACGTAGGAAGCAGACGAGACCAGACCACCCCATGATCCTAGACATGTCAGTTTTGCAGCATGATCATGGGATTTGGCAGTACTCACGCTCATATACCAGGGGAAACTTTTGCTTGTTGGCGGCAAAGCGTGCGAATGCCTGCTTGAGTTTCCCTAGCGCCGGTTCTGCAAGTTTCCTGTCGTCGAGGAGGTCGTTGATAACCGTGAGCATGATGGCGAACTTTGCGAGTGCCTATGATCGCATGAGCTCTGGTTCAATAATAATCCGAATCTTGAACTCACCTTTCCACTAAAATACATCGAATCCAGGTCAGACTGAGCGGCCATATTCTGAGAAGCCTCCTGGACTGCGATCCCGCGAATCAAAGCCCTCGCTTCGTCCGACATTTTCGTCATGGTGCCCCTCTCGGGGTCCCAGGGAGCAAAAGTCATGTCCAAGGGCATATTTTGCTCGACCATGGTCCACTCATCCGCCATGACGGCAGTGGCAATGCCCTTGGTTGTGGTCTGCAACTTCACCTCACGAACTGCCGCTCGCGTGTTGTCGTCAAAGGACTCAACGTGGTGGGGCAGAGCATACATGACAAGCTTGCCTTGTTGATGACCGTCCTTGGCGAACTTGAAGGTGTATGAACCCGCTTTGTTACGGGTTGACCCTGACAACACGACGGTTGTAGGGAAAACACCAGCCGCTTCATCGTACAGAGCCTCGGCATTGCCAGGGTCCTTAGCCACCTGAATTATACCGTAGAAGGGGCTTTTGGCCTCCGCATAGCCGTTGTTGATGACCTGTAGCTCCAACGGGTCTCCCTTTGTCGCGTAGGCATAGATTCTCCAGGTTCTGCCGTCTTCCAGGTGAAAGTTGAATTTGGCAACACCAGGTTTGGGGTCAGTAGTCACCTTCGTGACGTTTCGGAAGAAAACGCCACTCTGGATGACGGGTATCGCGCCCGCAAACTGAGCGGTGACAAAGGCCATGCCCTGGACCAGCGGGAAAGATACAGCCGGCACGGCTGTCGCATTGGGCCGCAAGTGGACCCGGGCCGAGAAAGCAGTGATGCTGTCTGTTGCGATTACTGTGTCTTTACCAAGATCTTTGGAGCTAACAATCAGAGACTGGATACCGATCGGGTTGATGAAATATGAAGCTTCTCCTCCTGATCCAGGTCTAGCTTTGCCAAACACTCGCTGGCTCGCTTCAATGTGGGAGATGGCCATACCCCAGCTACCTGCTGCCCCCTTGCCCGCCGCCCACGCGACAGAGTAGGGGTGAGTAAAAGCTGGAGCGCTCTGACTCCCAACCAGGAAGTTTCCAAAGAACTTATTCGTCTGCACTGGAGTTGTGGAGTTGACGCCCTTCTTTTCAACCGGGTGGTCATTGCGAATCTGGAATTGAGAAGGGGGCGCCGCCGTGGCGATGGGGTCCGCGAATATGTCTCCTGAAGGCATAGTGACTGTAGAGATGGGTTTATCCACAATGGCCGATGTCGCCGTAGAGTTGGAGACGGTTCGAATGAGCGATGTTGGTGTTGTAATGGGTGCCTGGATAATGGGAATAGATGTGACTTTGCCTTTCAGGTCAAGCCCCGAGTCAACAACACCTGTGGTTTCAGGCCTCTTGCCAGACAGCGTAGCCGGGATCTGAGCGACTCCTGTCTGAACAACACGAGTCGTCACTGGAACCGTCTCGTTGGGAGCGAATATCGGGACCGACGAAGCGGAATATGTCCCGTCCGCGTGTGTACTAGTTGTAGTGCGCGGGGCAAGGAGGGTCAGTGTGTAGAGAACTGTCTCTGTTGCGCAAGTTGCGAGTAAGCTGTCGTCGATTGGAGCTACCCGAGGCTCGAAGAGTTGGAGAGCTGTTCCCGGGGAGAAGTCTTGGCGGGCGTTCTGCCGATGCTGGTGGTGATGATGTAAATCGCCAATGGCGTTGCCCCGAAGAGATACCTGCAGAACAGTCAGCTTCACCAGCCAACTCACGAGGTTCAAGCCCATTCGGGCGGGGGCGGGGGCCATGGTCAAGAAGTATCAGTCAGTCTTTCGGGAGCAGATGTGGTTCGTGTTGGGGTGCAGGTATTCAAGATTTGATTGGGATAGCGAGCCAAATGTCGAGGCGAGCAGCTGGTAGAGGTTTTCCGAGTGATAGATGGGATGGCGGTAGTTCGCCATTGATATAACCGCAACATGTCGACCCGGCATACAGCACCAGCTGCTTTGCTTCTCCGGGAAGATGACTCCGTGCAGTCCGAGGCGAATTCTGCGATCTCTCGGCTCCAGTGGGTTACCGCGCAACGTGGGCAGGTGGAATGTGTGTCTCATTCACAATAGACTGGGCTTACTCTTGGAGGAATGCCAGACCAGGCGTGGCGGATACTGGTGCGTAGTCTGCCGTAAGGAGGCGTGCGATATCGAGCGGTATATGCAAGGATACTAAGGAATGAGGAGCATATGATTCGAGGTTTGGCGAAGCTAGCTGCTGGTTCGTCTGGTCGGCAAGTTGCTGAGCAATTCCCGGAGCGAGAAAAAACGACGCCACAAGCAATTGACGGGGACAAGAGACGACACCAAAGTAGCTAGTTTTGGCGTTTCGGGGAAGTGCAGCCTGAGACAAGAAGTAAAGGGTCCTTTTGGTCTCAGAGGCATGTGGCAAGGGCCGCGTGCTACTCTTGATTTTGGCGATTTGAGACTTGGAAGACGAACTCAACGGCCTGGGAAGGTACGGATGACACACACACGACAGGGTCAAGCCGGCCGGTAGCCCCTCACCACTGACGCGTTGCCCTTGGCGTGGGTCCATTCTACTCACTTGTCAACATGCTGCCACATCCATAATACTGAAATGAAGACAAAATACTACTTCGAACCCCTGTGCTCAATTAAATTGACTGGACCATTGTCGTCTGATTGAGATGCATGGCAGGTTGTGAGGTGAGGTCCGAGGAATATGCCAAGCGTGAATTGCGACGGTGGAGGGGCAGGCCGCCAAAGCCACGAGCCAGGCTTCTTGGCTGGTTGATGAAGCATTCCAGTTGTCGTTACCAAGGCTGTTGTTGCACGGCCAGGTGCATCATGTGGATGTTCAGTCGCATGACCGGACATCACAAAGCACGAGATAGTTGCTGTTCACCAAAACGAAGCCAACTGATATTCAGTCTCATGCGGAGCGCCAGCGCCATCCGCGATACATATAGGCCTATGTTGGTAAAATCGAAATCCCATGCCGAAACGCCCATGCCCCATTGATTCTCATAAATAGACGGTCTGTACCAATTGTACGTCTCAGAACCGTCTGTGCTAGCCTCATGAGCCCAACTTCTTTTTTCGTTGCCCGAGTACGTTCGGCTCGACAGAGAGGTGTCGTGGGCGTCCCTCACCCACGTCGTCTGGCCTGTAATGGGTAGCTCTACGTGACCTCTCCAAACCTTCTGCCTGTCCCATCTTCGGGTGCTCTCCAGTTGACTTGGTGGATTGATCAGCGTGTGTTGGAGTATTCCTTCTTCCACAGCCCTCTTCCATAAATGCCACCGAGCGCTGTCTGGCAGGCGGTCTTGACCCCTCAAGCCCTTGCATCTGATTCCTCGCTGGCTGCTCAGACCTCGCTGGATTCTCTTCAGCGAGCCACAACGTCGGCTGTGAGCGCTCCAGGCCCTCGGCTCTCGGCCTGACTTGAAGGTCAACATTGGGTCCGGAGGTCCTTGTCGACATCGCCGAGCCAGAACCTTCGTTCATATGCCGCTTGTTGTCGTGACGAACACCGACATTCTTGTGGTGACGTTTTGATTGTGAGCTTTCGAGGCCTTGAGACAACGCTGTGACAAATGTGGCAGGTCTTGACTTCCCGGACCTCGTAGATATTTCGCCAGTCGCGCCATCGTCGCCGCGGCTTTCATCAGCAGATGCTCCAGCACTCACCACCTTCCTCCCTGATTTTTTTTCGAGGCCGGTGACAGCCCGGTCTTGAGCCTCGGGCACCTCATCGTCAGCGATGTACGTGCTTGTCAGCCTTGCACCACTGGCCCTCTCCAGCCCTGTAACCGGCTCACCGTTCTCCGCCTCACGTCGCTGTCTGTCCTTTTCCTCGCGCTTCTCTTTCCTCTCTCGCCCCTCGGCCTCCCGCCGACACCGTCGCATCTGCTTCTCACCCACCACCCAGGGCACCCCCAGCACATCGCGCTTGAAATTATCCCTCTTCTCCCAGAGCGCAACCTCTTGGGCCGTGGACCTTACCATCTTGACCTTTTGTATCTTGACCGTCTTCTCATCGCGAAAAAGCGCCACGCTCCCCTTGATGTCTACCACGGCGCCGACATCAACATCATCGCAACCCGGCTGCAGAAATTCGAGTCGTCGAGGCGCATACGCTAGCGGATCCTTGTCCCCAAAGGTCGGAAGTACGGCAGGGATGACTTTGACGGCAACATTACACTCGATGCAGGCGCCGCTGCTGTCGTCAATGGTGAAGATGCGACGGTTGTAGACATCATCGATGGCGACTACCACGCCGACGAGGCGTACCCATTTCACGGGAAGATTGCGGTGGAAGAACAGACCTTGCCCTGCGTGAGCCTTGTTAGTGTTTGCCGCCCGGGAAGATGAAGGTGGATGGAGACGCCTACCTTCATACTCGCGGTGCGTGTCGAGGGCGTGAATGGTCGCCGCGGTGAGCAGGCACCATTGATCGAACGTGGGGGAGAGGTGGAAGCAGTATTGAGGGTACAGGTCAGTGGATGCGCTGGTCATGGCATGGTCGGCAAACTGCGCTTTGAGGATGATGGAGAGATGTCGCAGGCGCTGAAGGTAGGACACCTTGTCGTGTCTCGTTTGACGCGGTCCAAATTGAGACGCGTCGATAGCAGATGCATGCGAGCACTTTAAACCAATGTGGAGTCGCATGGTGCGCCCTGGTGACGCAGTTGCAGGTTGGGATAGGTAGCACAGAGGGACCCGTTGACCCAGCGACAACCGGCCCAGCTCACCAAATTTCACCCTGAAGCCGCAGTCAGTCTGGGCGAGTGGCAAATCATCAATGCAATCACTTGAGCAAAGCTCTGTAACGAATTCATTCAGAATATGATCTGTCTTGGTATAGCCTAGGCCCAACGCCACATAATCCATGAGCTACACATCGTGAAAAGCCAACCCAAAGTACCATCATCCCATGCGCCGATTGACTTCCCTACCAGCTCACGCTCATCTCTTGGAGCTCCTTGTTGGCCGACTTGACTCAGAGGCCTTGGCTTTCTTGAGCCTCGCAGCCGCCGCCTGAAAAGCCTCCTCCGAGGGCTCCTCCTCAACAACCCTCTTCTTGCCTGTCTTCGTCTTGCTCGGCGCTGCGTATTTGGCCTCGAGGTCTTGGAGAAAGTTGGCCCGCTTCGCCTGGTTCTGCTGGATCAACGCAGCCAGATCCATCTCATCGTCCTTCTTGTTCTTCTTGCCCTTCTTCTTGTTGCCAAACAGCTTGTCGTGTACGCCCAGCTCCTTTGCGTATTCCTCGGCCTCCTGTCCCTCTGCTTTCGCGGCCTTGACCCGTGCCGTTTTGGACTTGGCGCTCTCCTTCGTGTAGGCCGTGAAGGGTGGTACATCTCCCGCCTTGATAGCCGCATCGATTATGGAGCGGAAACGCTCATCGTCCTCGAGCACGTCGCTCAGCATGACTGATTCGTAAATTTGGTCCATCTTGCCCTTGTGCTCCTCGTACGCCACGAGCACGTCATCCTTCTCCTCGTCGGAGCCCTTGTACTTGGCGGCAAACTTCTCGATGGCATCTGCCGAGATGGAATCGCGGTACTGCTCACGGTAGAAGTCGGACCAGTTGAAGCCATCGGCGTCTACGATGGATTCAGAGGTCGAGCCGGTCGTGTCGTAGCGCTTGCGGCGCGCAGGGTCGGATAGGATGGCATAGGCGAAGGCGATGGACTGGAACTTTTCGTTGGCCTCAGACTTTTTGTCTTCGGGGACCTTGTCTGTTTGGCTCAAGTTAACGCGTGCACACAGCTTGAGGCTGGGCATGGAGCTTTGCTGCCTACCTGGGTGGTTCTTCAACGCTGCTTTGCGGTAGGCCGACTTCACCTGGTCGGCAGTAGCCTCCCGCTCGAGACCCAGCGTCTCGTAAGGGTCGATGACTGGCGGCTCGCCATCAATCAGATCGTCGGAGGAAGACATTGTCGATCTGTTGAGTGTTTGATGAATGTGTGGTCGTTCTTGGTGCGTTGAGCGGGCAGAGCATCAGCCATGAACGCGTTTCGACGCGTCCGCATAAAGTGGCAGGCTAGGTGAGCTCCAAGTGGGGGTCAAGTCGGCAATCGGCGCTTGCAGTGCCGGTGGCAGCTGGAGTAATAGCCCCGCAAGAGGATCTCCATCACTCTACCCCTCCCTGACCAGTCTGCCTTTTCACATCTGCATCTCAGGCAGAGTGGCAAGGCGAATCAGGTGTATGACTGACTACCCACTGACAGAGACGAAGCTCGTCAAGAAGGACACCGGCTTTTTCTTGGTACTCAGGACAAGGTCGATCGACAATCGCTGATTCTCAATCGCGCCTGCAACTTCACAGTTGTAACCATGGCTTCAATGACAGGCACCGAGCCAGCGCCGCCCATCAATCCTGGTGATCACAAGGCGTATCTCCAGTACGCTCTGTCTCTAGCGGCCCGATCGCCTCCGAAATCGACAAACTACAGTGTAGGCGCGGTTCTCGTCGACCCCAATACCAACGCCATCGTCTCCACCGGCTACACGCTGGAACTCGAAGGCAACACACATGCCGAGCAGTGCTGCTTCATGAAGTTTGCGGCCGCCCACCGTGTGACGGAAGAGGAGCTCGCCACGGCCGTCCAGTCACCACCCTTGATCCTATACACGACGATGGAACCTTGCTCGGAGCGGCTCAGTGGCAACCTGCCCTGCGTGAAACGCATCCTCCGCCTGAAGCACCTCATCACGGCCGTCTACGTCGGCGTGCAGGAGCCAGAGAAATTCGTCAGTGACAACACTGGCCGAGGCGCTCTCCAAGCTGCAGGCATTGAGTTTGTTCACATTGGAGGGCTCGAGAAGGACATTCTAGCCGTCGCCACGGCAGGACATTTGATCGAGTAGGGAGCAGACCACCCCACCACCACTGTCCAAGTTTGGCTTCTACCTACACAACATTGCAGGGGACAGCGTCCTGCGTGCTACCCCGAGACATCCGTCACGACTCCCTCATGGTTTCTTCTTGATTTGGTGGCTGGCCAATCCGGGCACCCCACCATTCCAGTTGGGTAGCTGCATCGATCCAGTGGCGAAAGCTACCCTTGCAATTGTCGGTTGGACCAGCGTCACGGCAATGATTGAGAGCTGCAAATAGCGTTGTGACAGCTCATCCATCCACGCATGCTCCAGGTAGCTAGCGGAGCGGTGTGCCTTTCTTGGATGGAGCTCACCCACAAGCTGTCTTGCCGACACAACATTGGATCTCCAGCAAGAAAGAACAAAACAACTGCCAGCTTATCATCAATTCTAAAGAACCTGATTTCCTTCCATCACGGCGATGCGTCGCTTCAAGGGCAAATCCAGTTCTGTATCAATGGATTTGTCCGCACCCAGCAATTTGCACGACTTCTCAAGTTGCGGCACATCCCTCGGACCATCATCCTGGAGTCATGACGGTAGCCAATGCAGACGGATTGTCACTGTAGCGTGCTATCACGTCGGGACGTATGGGGAGACTTGTGCCGCCGTGCCTCTCGCCCCCAGACGGCTACGATCCCGACTGGTCGATGACGCTACACCACCCACATGGTAAGCCGCATGCTTGACATTCATTGTCTGGCGTGAATTGACACCTGGGGATGTCAAAGGAGGCCAACCAACCCCAGACATGACCTCCTCGTCTTGATGTTCTCTGGCCAGCCATTCATGTTGAGGCTCGGCAGAAGGCGGGCGGGGGACAAAGTGGAAATACCCACTAGTGGGCCTCCCGCCTAGATGATCCACTAGGGGTGTAGTGCGTGCCCAGGTGCCTCAGCTCAGCTACCTCGTCTTCCAGTTTGGATTCTCACACACCTGTCGATCGGAGCAGGGCATCATCGAACATTTGGCTCAGGACCCGTGATCAGTCTCGTCTTTTCAAAAACAAAAAAAGAGTCTCCGGAGTGTTTCTCTGTCTCACCTCACAACCCACTTCCTGCTATCGCATGCTAACAAGTGCACCAACGACGACCCCTTGGAAGCTTGCATCCATTGGACCCATGGCAAACCGAGGCTTGCTCTTCTTGACGCAAACCCCGTCCGCGAGCTTCATGCTTCCATAAACGCGCTTCTACAGGTAGCCTGATCAAAGGGAGTTCCCTTCGAACCAAGAGTATCTTTGCGTTTGGTAGCCCTTTGCGCAAGGATTTTGTTGGCCTAGGCAGGAGGATTGGGCAGTCCGGCAAACGGAACGCCTTCAACACGACAGTCAAAAACTCTCACCACGCCTCGGATATCTAATTCTTCGAGCGACACCCGCCCATTACTCAATAAACTCACATCACACTATCACTAAAGCTTGGAAGCCTCTATATTCGCCTCCCATTCGTCCTGACCTGCTAATTCTACGTCGCTGAACTTGGACTCGAACATCTTCACCAAACCTGTCGCTCACCGTTTTGCATCATGGCTGATCATTCACGGGGCGGTCGCGGCGGAGGCCGCGGGGGAGACCGAGGCGGAGACCGAGGCCGTGGTGGAGATCGTGGGCACGGAGTGGATCGTGGACGCGGAGGGGATCGTGGGCGCGGGGGAGATCGAGGTCGCGGCAGCGCCTTTGGGGGCGGCCGCGGTGGGTATGGTGGTGACCGTGGAGGCCGGGGCAGTTACCGTGGAGATCGTGGAGGAGGCAGCACGTATGGCGACCGCGGTGGCGGTGGTGGAGGTGGCTACCGAGGCGATCGTGGTGGAGGTGGCTACCGAGGCGATCGTGGTGGTGGCGGCTTCCGAGGACGTGGAGGCCGCGGCGGATTCGCCCCTCGCGCCGAGCCGTTCGAAGGCGAGCCTCATCGTGTCTTTGGGTTTGTCTCTCTTCTCATGTCCCATTTCACATGCGTAGTAACCAATACTGACACTACTTCAGGCAAGACCAGGCCATCCCAGAACCTAGCGCCACAGTTACGGCTTTGGAAAACAAGCTCGTGGCCGCTTATCAGTCTCAGGGCCTGAGCATAAAGATGAGCAAGCTCAAAATGTCCGGTGAGGCTGATTTGCTGTTCCCCCTCCGTCCTGCATACGGAACCAAGGGAAACAAGGTGGTGCTCTGGGCGAACTACTTCGAGATGGGCGTCAAGCCAAAGGTTGTGTACGCTTACAACCTTGAGGTACACAAAGTTCGCCCCAACAAGGGCGCTCAGCGGCAGGTCGATCCGAAGACCAGGATCAAAAACAAGGCACTGAAGTCAGATGTCTCGGGACGAAAGCTAGCCATCATCATCCAGCTCGCTATGGACAAGCTGCGCGAGGAGGATCCGAAAGCGATCCTCGCCACCGAGTTCAAGAGCAAGCTCATTTCGCTTCACAAGCTCAAGTACAACGATGATTGCCTTGAGGTAACCTTCAAGGGTGAGAATAGCAATAGGACCGAAAACTTCTTTGTCCGGATCGTTGATCCCATCGAAGCCTCGTTCGACGCCACTTTGCAGTATCTCAAGACCATGACGGACAAGGGCGATCCCAATGGCTTCCCCAAGTTTGCCGTCCCCGTCGATGCCCTCGGCGTCATCCTTGGCTACACCCCGCGCAAGAACCCCGAAGTCTCGCCCGTCGGAAGCGCTCGGTTCTTCCCTATCGGCCCAACGTGCGTCGAGAAGCAGCTCGGCGTGAACAATCGGATCTCTGCCATCCGTGGATACTTTCAGAGTGTCCGTCTTGGCACAGGACGTGCCCTCCTCAACGTCAATGTCACCAGCGGCATCTTCAGGACTGCCGTTTCGGTTGCCGACCTCTGCCGTTGGGCCAATATCGCGCAGTACGGCGGAACGAACCCGCCCGACCCAGGCACTACCGCCAAGACCAAGGCCCTGTCCAACTTTCTCAGCAAAGCACGCGTCAGGTGCGTCTTCAGGGACGGCAATGGCCGTGACTATGAGGCGAAGAAAACAATATCGGGCCTTGCTGGAATCAGCAGCTCGCAGATTAACAGGGACGTTCTTAAAAGCGAGACTGTCAAGTTCAAACAGAACTTCCAGTGGGGCGGACCCAAAGACGTATGGTTCAAGATGGAACTTCGCGAAGGCGAGACGACTGTGATGGGCAACAGGCGTCCAGGTCTCTACACCGTTCATGAATACTCAAAGTGGAGTATGTGGACTGTCTCCTTAACCTGTCTCAAAGCTTCACGCTAACTTTGAATGTAGAGTACGGCATTGACTTTGACGCGAAGCTTCCACTCGTCAACCTAGGACGACCCGACAAGCCGATGTATGTGCCCGCCGAGCGTTGTACCATCATTGAGGGTCAGTCGGTGCGGTCCAAGCTCAGCGGCGAGGAGACAACGTTGATGCTCGACTTTGCCTGCCGGTCTCCGTTTGCCAACGCCCTCTCGATCAGCACGGAAAGTCGCAGCGCGCTGGGCCTGGATGAGAACCCGACGCTCCAGCAATTTGGCCTGACCATCGACCGGCGCCTCCTGACGGTCTGGGGCCGTGAGCTCCAGTCACCCTCGGTCCTTTACCTCAAAAACAAGGAGGTGAGGACGTTTGGCGGCGGATGGAACATGCGGGATGTGCAAGTTGCCGAGGCAGGCCCCAAGATCATGAACTGGGCCTGGGTGCAGGTAACGGAGAGCGAGCGCTACACCGATGCTGCCGAAGCGGTGGGCAATTTTGCCGCCTTCCTAGCGAACACGGGTATCCCCATCGACACCGCCCCTCGTCGAGGTCTTCGGGTACGCACTTCGTCGTTCCGATACCAGGACGACGTGGAGGCGGCGTTCAAGGAACTTGAGCAAAGGGCTGCCAAAGGGCCGCCTAACCTCTTCGTGCTCGTCATCCTGCCGCGCCAGGACACAACTCTCTACAGTGTCATCAAGACGCTGGGCGACTGCCAATTTGGATTCCACACCATTTGCGCCGTGGAGAAGACATTCACCAAGGAGAATCCCATGACGTTCGCCAACATCGGTCTCAAGTGGAACCTGAAGAACGGCGGCATCAACCACAGGGTCAAGGATCCCATCGGCATCGTGGCCCAGGGCAAGACAATGGTCGTCGGCTACGATGTCACACACCCCACCAACATGGGTCTGCGGCCAGGCGACAAGGACCTGCCGCCGAGCATCGTCGGCCTCGTGGCTAGCGTTGACAAGGATCTGGGACAGTGGCCGGCCGTGGCGTGGGAGCAGGAGGCGGGCCAGGAGATGCTGGACAGCAAACTCCTGGAGAGCTTCAAGTCGCGGCTGGAGCTCTGGCGCAAGAAGAACCGGCAGTCGCTCCCCGAGTTCATCATCGTCTACCGCGATGGCGTCTCAGAGGGTCAGTTCAGCCAGGTGCTTGAGCACGAGCTGCCACAGATGCGCGAAGCGTGCCGCGTCATGTATCCGAATGGCCGCACGCCTAAGCTCTCCATCATTGTGTCGGTCAAGCGGCACCAAACACGGTTCTACCCGACTCGCGAAGACCACATGGATGGCAAGTCGCGCAACATTAAGAACGGCACGGTGGTGGACCGGGGCGTGACGCAGGCGCGGTACTGGGACTTCTTCCTGACGGCGCACACGGCGCTGAAGGGCACGGCGCGGCCGGCGCGGTACACGGTGCTGCTGGACGAGATATTCACAACCAACTACGGCATGACGGAGCAGGCGGCCAATCAGCTGGAAAAGTTCACGCACGATCTGTGTTACCTCTTTGGGCGGGCCACCAAGGCCGTCAGCATCTGCCCGCCGGCGTACTACGCGGACATTGTGTGCGAACGGGCGCGGGTGCACAGGCCCGAGTATTTTGACGTCTCGGACACCATGTCGTCGTCGGTGCGCAGCGGCGGAGGCATGTCGGCAGATGACGGGGCCAAGGTGGTGCATGCACGGCTCCAGGACACGATGTACTACATTTAGGCAGACGGCCTTCGTTGACGTCATGCACTGCAGACTGGAAATGGCGTGCTTCAGGGAAGATGGATGATTGTATGTATCAGTGTGGCCTATGAGAATAGCGAAGGGCATTCGAGTTGCGTCGCATCGATCGGCCTTCGAGTTCATCCGAGTGACGATGTTTTTTTCTCCTGGTGGGTTCGTCGGTGGGTTTAGCCCGAGAACCACACCAGAGATCAGCGCTCGGTATCCGGGGAAGGCCGAGTCCTGATGGGGCCAGCCCTATGCGTGGGGCAGCATCCAACGGATGACGGGACGGGTGTTGGGGACACCATCGTCACAGCGTCGTACGTGAATGGGGCAGCAAATCTGTGCAGGTGATGTGCACGACGCTGAACATGACTGTTCGTCAGCAAGGTGAACGAGGACACTGGGGCTGCTAGGCAAAGTAAGATGACTAGTGACCTTAGGTACGGTACCTAGTTATGGTACCTAGGTACCTTAGCTACTTTACCTTAGGTACCAAGGTCGGTAGCTCCGAAATGGCTCTCACGATCGCGCAGGCCAGTGAACGGCGTCTTCGTCCGATTGGGCCCCTGCTACTCCGATCCAGCACTGTTGCCTGATGGCTGCTGCTCTCCATCTACTGACAGGCTTGTCCGGCCAACGAGAGAAGAGGGGGACCAGCAATTCTCCTCTCTTGATGTCGTCGGATGATGTTCTAGGCAGGTACTGGTAAGACTTGTGGCGTACCGTACCTCTCTGCCTGCCGCTGACCGTTGGCCTATGGCTAGGACGCCCTGTAGTGCTGCAAGCCCAGGCAACAGCGTGGACGGAGATGAAAGAGGGAAGGGACTTTGGGGTCTGGTCGCTTCCCCTTGCTGTCACGCCGCCGCCGGCCCCATGTCTCTCCAAATTGCGAGGGAGGGGCCGAAAGTTCAGCTCGGCCTTGGGCGCCAGTGGAAAGTGCACCCGGCGGACCCTGCCTTGCCTGCTTCCCATGCACGGTTTGGATTTCCTTCCTGGTTCCGTACCAGTCGCCAGGTCCAGTCCCTTGCTCTTGCTCCTGCTCGGTAGACGGCCCAACAAAAACGTGCGAAATCGAACTCGGACTTCGGTCTTTCGTTTCGTCCAGGAAAGACCGTTGCGCGACGCACTCACTAGTCGCCATTGCTTCTGCTGCATTTTGTTTTCTTTGTTTCGTCGCGTCATCATTCTCTTCCCCCCCTTGTATGAATTTGCTTCTCGTCAATAACTTCACTGCAATTTGCGCACTACTAAAACCCTCCTGCTGTCCCACTTCCGTTCTCCTGACAGCCTCCACCCGGACCGGACGACGCCAGCAGTCATAGTCCAGCCCATACTAGCAACCGCGAAGGACAGAACACACCCAGACCATATTGGCCGCCTCCCACCTCGCCTTATGAACCCCTTGGAATCCAGACTCATCCTGCTCCCTGGCGTGTCTCTCTATCTAGCTTTGCAATATGGCTTCGCCGCCGGAAACCACACCCGTCGAGGTCAAGCCGACCCAAGTACACGCCCAACCTCAACCACAGCCGCAGCTGGAGAAGAGCGACGACACCACCTCGACAGAGGTGCCCACCCACGACCCCATTGATGAGAAGGCATCAGTCGATAGAGATAGAGCCTTTGATGAAAAGACACTTGACGACGGCGCAGCGGAGAAGCCCGTCGAGAAAAGTCAAGATGAGCCAGCCGCGGATGCAAACGCCAACGGCTCCGTCGAAGATGAATCCATCTACCCCAAAGGCCTCAAGCTCACGCTCATTCTCACTTCACTGTGCCTCGCGGTTTTCCTCGTCGCCCTCGACCAGACAATCATCGCCCCGGCCCTGGGCGCCATCACGGCGCAGTACAACTCGGTCGGCGACATCGGCTGGTACGGCTCTGCCTACCTCTTGACCACGACAGCGCTGCAGCCCCTCTATGGTGCCATTTATAAGCATTTCAACGTCAAGATCGCCTTTCTCATCGCCATCTTCATTTTCGAGGTCGGCAGCGTCGTCACCGCTGCCGCGCCCACCTCGACCGCTTTCATCATCGGTCGTGCGGTTGCTGGCATCGGCACAGCTGGTCTGTTCTCCGGATCCATCGTCATCCTGTCCTACACCATGCCGTTGCGTCTTCGGCCCTGGCATTCGGCCTCATCGGCGGCATGTGGGGCATCGCCTCGGTAGCCGGCCCTCTTCTCGGCGGTGCCCTGACTGACCATGCCACCTGGCGCTGGTGCTTCTACATCAACCTGCCCATCGGAGGCGTCGCCATGGCCGTCATCGTCTTCTTCCTGCATCTGCCCAAGAATTCGCACAATCTGCAGGGCCTCACCGTCAAGGAACGTGTCAAGCGACTCGACATAATCGGTGCCCTCCTCTTCTTGCCGGCCATCGTCTCCCTCCTGCTCGCCCTGCAGTGGGGCGGCAACAAGTACAAATGGAATGCTCCCACGACCATTGGCCTGTTCGTCTGCTTCGCCGGCCTGCTCGTTCTCTTTGGCGTCGTTCAGCTGCGCAAGGGTCCCAACGGCACCCTGCCCCCTTGGCTTTTCCGAAATCGCAATGTCGTCTGCGCCATGCTCTTCGCTTTTTGTTTTGGCGGTGCCTTCTTCCCGCTCATCTACTATCTCAGTCTGTACTTCCAAGCCGTGCAGGGCGTGTCGGCCGTCCAGGCCGGCATCAAGATTCTCCCACTGCTCCTCTCTGTCGTCCTGTCTTCCATCGTCAGCGGCGCGCTCATCTCCTGGCTCGGCTACTACAGCGCCGTCACGCTCCCCTGCCTCGCCCTCTTCGTCGCTGGCGCCGGCGCGCTGACGACTCTCGACGTCGGCACTGGTCTGCCGAAGTGGTTCGGCTTCCAGGTTCTCGCCGGCCTCGGCGTCGGCCCAGGCTTCCAACTCGGCGTCCTTGTCGTGCAGACGGTGCTCAAGCTCGAAGATGTGCCAGTAGCCACGGCCTGCGTGCAGTTCTTCCAGGCCCTCGGCGGCGCAGTCATGATCGCCGTCGCGCAGTCACTGTTCCAGACGGGGCTCATGGACGGCGTCCGCAAGAACGTGCCGGGCATCGAGCCGCGCATCTTCATCAACTCTGGAGCTGATCAGGTGCGGGAGCTTCTCGAGAGATTGGGAAGGGAGGATGCGCTGGGCGACGTTCTCGATGCGTACATGGTCGGACTCCGGGATACGTTCTACGTCACTCTCGCGTGTGCGGCTGTTGCTTTTGTGGCGTGCGCTGGTTTGGAGTGGAAGAGCGTCAAGAAGGATGGAAATGGGGCAGCCGCTGTGGCCGCCGTCTAGATTGTCAAGAGGATGATGATTTTTCACGTTCATTGGATGATTTTGTACAACAGGACATATGATAGATACCCTGCTCATTCTGGAGAGATTTGCTTGCTCCAACATTGTACTAATTGAATTCATTGAACTCGACGGTATTCGCAGTCTTCTTGTCTCTGCTATTGTGTATCATCCGGCGGTCTGTCCCACCCTCTTCTCCTGGCCTTTCCCCCGCGCGCGCCCCTCTCCCCCTCCTCATCATCACCGCCCACGAACCGCAGCACCCAGTCCCTGACCCTCCTCGTCTTGTCAACTTGCGGATGTCCGCCCCTGCGCAGGTCCGCGCCCGAATAGCACCCCGCCCCCTCCCCACGCGCCCCGCCCCGATGCAGCAGCGAGACCTTGGTCCGCCCCCTGCGCAAGCTCTGCCCGTACACCCTGCCCCGGAAGACGTGCAGCGCCACGTCGCGCAGCATGACGACGTCCCGCCTCCGCAGGCGCAGCACCAGCGACGGCACCGCCGCCGCGAGGTCCGCCGCCGACAGCCAGAACGTCACGGCGAAGCCGGCGCGCGTGTCGTCGCCGAGCAGCAGCTCGAGCACGTGCAGCGTCGCGCCGTAGCGGGTGCGCACGGGGCGCGGGGCCGACGGGGCGATGACGCCGGCTATGAGGTTCAGGGTCACCGTTTGCGGGTGCAGGGCTAGGAGGGAGTGGGCCGGGGGCACGTCTTCGAGGTCGGAGAGGTGGAGGGGTTGCTCCTGGTGGTGGTGGTGGTGCTGCTGCTGCTGCTGTGCGGGTGCGACGGGGAGGGGAGGCGCGCCGGGCGGGTTGGAGGCGAAGGAGGTCGAGGTTGTGAGGAAGGATGTTGTTTCTTCGGCGGAGCCGGGGACGGGGCCGGGGACGGGGGAGGAGGGCAGGGCGGTGTGGTGCGCCAGGGAGTGGTCGTAGAACTGGGTCGTGAGGTTGTGAGAGTCGGAGCTGGAGATTGATGGGGTGAGGGACGTTGTGAAGAAGTTGGCGTCTGGCTGGAAGGCGGGGGCGTTGGGGTAGGCGTGGACCTGCGAGAGGCGCGTCTCAAGACGTTGACGCGTCAGGGGCAGGGCGCGCCATGATGGGTTGCTGGATGGTGGGATATCGTGTGGGTTGCCATCGCTGAGGAACGCCGTGAAGGGGGTGAGAAGTCGTTCAGGAGGCCAGAGGGATCCCAGGTCAGGGCGGATGAGAGGGGGGCGCCGGCGAGGATCAACGTCTTTCGGGGCATCTAGAGTCGATATTCTTTATGAAACTGATGCCCTGAAAATAGCCGAGAGCGTCGGCTCTGCGCATTGGCTCTGAGATGGAAAGATTATATCTGAGTGTGTTCATCGTGAGTGCACGGTGCCTATATCCGAGGTCAGTACGATAGAAGCGAATATTGAATCTGTTAGGGACATAATCGCATACAGCGGTGTAAGTCGGCCAGGAACGTGTGACGGGCACACCAGGGTGCTCAGGAGTGCTCCGCATCTTCATGGTCCTGTAGGCGATATCTGTCAAACGAAGAAAGTCTATGGTCTTTGGAGACCGTTTGCTGATCTGGATGTGACTCTGTCCGACGCCATACCACAGCCAGCTTGCAGGACGCAGGTACGCTACCACTCCACGTTTCCTTAATCACCCTTCGCCAACACGCATGCACGTTTGACCTCCAACAGGCCAGTCCTGAAGTTCGTGCCACTCTCTTAGGTGACCTTACAATAGCGACACTTTCCTTGCAACTGATGCCGGGCCGAACCTGGAGGACAAGTTTTTCACAGCCATTAGCCTGTTGTCTAGAAAGCGCTTCACGTACAGCCTAGGTGTAAAGGAGACAGTAGACGCATCAGATGACAATGGCGCACGACTGATCTCGTGTACCATCTTCACCCACACAATTATCAAGATGTGTTCACTGTTCACCGCAAGAGCACCAGATTCGGGTCGTCTGAGAAGAAATACTCCATAGCCGACATATCAAAAGGGAGAATTTTAGTATTGACAAGACTGTCGCCCGTGTGGGAGATCTGACCGACAAAACCCCCTATTCTTACCCCTTTAATGTGCTGGAGAAATTGTGCGTCCCAGAAGGCACCGTATAGACGGCGTACCCCTCCTCCTCCCCAACAAACGTGGCCCTGCCCGACGCGCGTACTTTCTCGCCAGCCACCCTGACCTCGGCCTCCGTATTGGCCGGCACCGTCACGCTCAGCGCAAAGATATCGCCGACCCTCGTCCACTCGCTCCTCGCCTCGCCGGCTCTCGTCCTGAACATGCCCGCCGCGCTCGTGAGGTCTCCGACAGGCTTCGGCTGGAATACGAGCTTATCGGCCCACGTCGCGCTGATGGTCCCGAGGGAGCAGGCCTGGATCCCCGCCACACCGGCGTGGAACCATTCGTCAATCTGCGCGAGGATCATGTGATTCTTCGAGTCGCTGCGCGTCCAGCGCTCGCCAATCGTCGTGAATCCGTCCGGGTTCTCCGGCGTGGGGCCCATGAAGTAGCCGTAGCTCGGGCGGTCATCTTGCTGCAGGGCGGCCCACAGCACGTCGTCGCGCCCGCCGGCGGAGAGGGCGCGGACGATGGGGCCGAGACCGATGGTGCCGCCGCTCAGGTGCGGACCCTCGCCGTCGGCGGAAGGGTAGAACTCTACGAGATCGACGAGGGCTTCAAGGACCTTCTCGCGGTGCTCGGACGGCACGAGGCCGGCGTCGAGGGCCAGAGCTTGCGCAGCCTGGGTGGCGTTGACGGGGCTGTCGTTGCCGCGACTTGTGTAGCGCCCCGTAGCGTTGTTGAAAAAGGCATCGTTGAAGGCTTCACGAATGTCGACGGCCAAGCTGGCTTAGCGGACGGCGTCTTCAGTGTGGTTTGTCAGATTCGCCATGCGCGCCATGGCCTGGATCGTGTGGTAGTAGCCCCATGTGCCTGTGATACGGCCCGAGGTGCGGCCGTCTTCTCGACCCAGTCGGCGAGGGCGGCGTCGACGATGTGGTCCTGGACCTTTTCGCGTTGGATGTAGTTGACAAAGTCTATCATCTGGTCGTAGTATGCAGACATGACAGTTGTATCATCATACAAGTCGTGGAGAAAGGAGGGAACAAATACAATGGCATTGCCCCAGTTGATCTCGTCACCAAAGCGTCCGCTGTAGCCCCAGTCGTAGACGGGTGTTTTGAGAGCGACGTTACCTGCCATGGGCGTGTCGGCGACGGACTGGCCTTCGACGAGATGACGCATAGAAGTGCGCAGCATGCCATCAACGTGGAAATTGCGGTATATGGCCCCCATGGGCATGGTGTAATCTGCGGGTACGAAAGCTTCTCGCGCCCGGGACAATCGGTGAAGACAGACATAAGATTGCTGGCGAAAGAGTAGTGGGCCATTTTGTTGATGCGGTTCAAGCGAGCATTGGAGGAGGTGAAAGTACCGGCAATGGGAACATCGGCCTGCAGCCGAATGCCGGTGACCAGCTCTGGGCCGGGCTCAAAGCCCGAAGGCAGACCGGTCACCTGGACCCATTGCATGCCAAAATAGTTGAACCGGGGGTGCCACGTTTCGCCGCCAGCCCGACCAGCTGTAGTATAGGTGTTGAACAAATCGCTGCCACGAGGCCTGGGGCCTAGACTTGCCTGGTTGACCGTTCCGTTGGCGTTGAGGCCCTCCGCAGGCGCGACCTTGATCGTGACGCCGGCGGGCAGCTCAGGGAGGGTGATAAGGGGCCAGCCAACGATGTTCTGGCCAAAGTCAAACACCCAGATACCAGGGACGGGGTTGGTGACCGAGACCGGGGTGAAGCGTTCCTGTTCCTTGATCAGCTCGGCGGCACGGGCAACCAGTCTGGTGGCGAGGTTGGGAGCAGGTGCGATGCCAGCCGATGTCCAAGCGGACGGCTTGAGATCGGTCCCTGGCTGGTCCCAGCCAAGTTGTTCTCGACGAGCATCGTAGTCGGAACCAGAGTACCACGCGTCGGTAACAAGGGGACCAAGGGCTGTGCGCCAGGAGCGATCGGTAACAATAATGGTGGAGCTCCCATCGCCAAACATGATTTCCAAACGAGCAATGAAGCGCGGAGTGACGGCAGCGCCGGCCGAGGGGTCACTCGCCGCGATATTGTTGCCCGAGCCGGTAACCTTGGCACCCGCCTCGTGCGACTGCTCAAGCGCGGGAGTGAAAGAAATGATGGAGGTATCGTTGTCAATGGCCGTGATGACACGCGACTCAAGCCGGTTACCACCGTCGCCTGTGTCAATATTGATTGAACCGCCAATGTTGTACCTAGCGACAGAACTCAATCGAACATTGCTGCTTCCCGTTGCGACATCGGCAGAAAGAGTGCCGTTGCCCATGAGTTGGCTTTCCCACCAAGAATAGGGGGCGTTGCGTCCAACAGCCGGGTTTCGAACATTGCGACGAACGTAAGCCGGTCCGTTGCCCAAGCTGACGCCAACAGCATTGGGGCCGGGCCTCAGAGCGTTCATGACATCGTAGGTGCGGTATTCGCTGGAGAGTTGGTAGTTGGAGTAGCCAGGGGCCAGGACCTCGTCCGTGGCATCCTCGCCATTGACGGTAGCGTGGTGCATGCCAACTCCTGAGATGTACAGACGGGCATCAGCGACAACTTTGCCGCTGGGAATGTCGAAGGGGCGGGCAAAGAGCGGCAGTGGCTGGCTATCATTCCGGTCAGGATAGTCGATCCAACGGGCTCGGCCCCAGTCAGACTGATCGAGCAGGCCGATAGTCCACGTAGACGGCCTTGACCAGCCCGAGGGCTGCCCAAGAGCATCCCAGACTTTGACACGCTAGGCGACTGTATCGCGGGAGGTGAGGCTGATGCCAAATAGCACATTTTGCTCGTTGCCTTCAGTCCTCTCACTCTTCCAGATGAGGCGGCCGGCCAGTAGGTCGTCAACGGTGGCGGCTGCCTGTATCTCGTAGGCTGTTTGTCGGTCGGCCGGGCATATGTCATCAGACTCGGGACAGTCTCGAGTTTGTATCATCTGCCATGCGAGAGTAGGGCGAGGATTGCCGAGACCGAGCGGCGCGTCAGTACGGCCATCGACGCTGAGCTGACTGATCTTGACAGCGCCGCAGGATGAGGCGGTTGATGCCGGTACTGAGGCCAGCATCAGGGCCGCAGTTGATATGGTCGCGCAGAGACGCATCTTGCACCGTTTGAGAGTGGTCGCCGCTGGAATCTGATCTGGGGGTCTCTGGCCGGAGGGTTTGAGACGTGGGTCGAAATTTCACAGGTCAATTTATAGGAGACATATCTCGCAGCCTGCTTGTTGGCAACTGAAGGCGATACTTCTTTCCCAGTTGTTACCGCTACACAGACGAGGAGGGCAAGATTCGGGTTCTCGCCTCGTTGATCGTCCGGCATGATCATGATGATCTGAAGCGTCGCGACAAGAGACGGCGAGGAGTGTGCTGGATGGCTGATGGAATAGGGCCGAAGATCTCTTGGAGAAGCCTGGCATTTGTAGATGATTCAGTCGGCACAAGCCGTGGGTTTGCGGAAGCCATCCAACGAGGATGCACTGGTTGAATGCTCCAGCTTCTTGATGGGCAACGCAACGAGTGGCGGGGTCTAGCATGTCCCCGGACTTTGGCAGTGACTTGGGGCGATCCACCCCGCAAGAAGGTGACATCGTATCTTCTTCCGGAGTAATTAGGTGATATGGTGTAAGAATTGTATTTGTCTGTCTAGAGCGAAGCGCTATGCATTTCTCCGACACGAGAGTCTGCATAGAGGCGTGGTGCGCTCAGCAGTGCCGAGTGCCCCAGAGCGAAAGAGCGAAATCGGAAAGGTATTTCATCTCGTGTGTGAAAAGGTCAAAAGGCACAGAGCAGGTCTATCGTTGCCTGGATGAAAGGGATCTGTAAGTACAACTGAGCTCCGAAACGATGGTGATGGTGATGGTTATGGCCGTTGTTGGACTCGGACTTTTAAGTCTGGCTGCAGTGTCATGGACGCAACACGGAAGTGACATGAGTCAGGGCAGGTGCCTCCCAGTGGAGTGAGGAAGGATGACGACTCATTCGTTCTTTCCCCATTTCTTATCGGCATCTGTCATCTGCGATCGTCCGGGACACGACAGCACGTGACGTGATTCCCCGGATGCCAAGGGCGGCACACCGAAGCTCACCGTGCAAGTTCGGCGTCGTTCGGCAGCGAACCTCGGCATCTACGGGTCCACCCTCACTTCTACCGGCCGTCGTCGTCGCTTCTTCAACACCACTGCAAAGCATTTGCATTGGCCTTTTCCATCTGCTCGTGCTCTGTCTCTCATTGTTGGTCAATTCGATTTGATCTCATAATATCCCGCGCTCCCCTGTGTCAGGAAGCTACTACCCAGGCCCCAAACGTGAGGCGCCGGGTTGTGTATTCTCATCAAGCTACCTATTCTCACCTCACCCGCCACCTCCCACCATGTCGTTCCCCTTTACTATCACCGAGCAGATACTGCCCGGTGCCTACATTCGCGAATTCCCTCACGCTCTGAGCACCTCCCAGGAGTCGACCCTTCGTCTGGCCGTCAAGATCTACACACCAAAAGACAACACCTCTCCGCAGCCTGGTGATGTGACCCTAATCGCAGCCCACGCCAACGGCTTTCCCAAGGAGCTCTATGAGGCCATGTGGGCCGACCTTCATGCAGAGGCGGCCAAGGCCAACCCCCCCTTCCGTATCCGCCAGATCATCGCCGTGGACGCCGCCTGGCAGAACGCCTCGGCGCCTCTGAACGAGCACCTGCTCGGCAACGACCCGGGCTGGCTGGACTATCCCCGCGACATGCTGCACATAGTCAACACGCTGCGTCCTCCACAGCCTCTCGTCGGCGTCGGCCATTCCTTTGGCGGCAACGCCATTGCCAACCTGGCCCTGCTGCACCCGCGCCTGCTCTCGACCGTCATCCTCCTCGACCCCGTCATCTCGCGCTGGTCCTCCAACGCCACAAGCGACGTCTCCCGCTCGCCGGCCGCCATGTCCATCGGCCGCCGCGACCTCTGGCCCTCGCGCGACGCCGCCCGCGCCGCCTTCGCCAAGTCCCCCTTCTACCGCGCCTGGGACCCGCGCGTGCTCGAGGCCTGGCTCGCCCACGGCCTCCGCGACACGCCGACGCCGCTCTACCCCGAGCCCGGCCACGTCACCCTCGCGACGACCCGCCACCAGGAGGTCTTCACCTACTTCCGCCCGAGCTGGGACGCCTACGCCGCCGACGGCACGACGCTCGTGCGCCCCGACCTCGTCCCCGACCTCGACCCGGCCCTCAACAGGGGCTTCGTCACCTACCCCGTCTACCGCGCCGAGGGCGCCAACACGCTCGTGCGCTTGCCCAACCTGCGGCCCGGCTGCCTCTACCTCTTCGGCGGCACGAGCGACCTCTCGCTGCCCGAGCTGCGCGACGAGAAGATGCGCCTCACCGGCAGCGGCGGCGGCGGCAGCGGCGGCGCCCGCGACGGCCGCGTCGAGGCCGTCACCCTGCCCGACAACGGACACCTCGTGCCCATGGAGGTGCCTGGCGTGTGCGCCGCCCACGCCGCGCGCTGGATTGGCCGCGAGATGGTGCGCTGGCGCCGGGAGCAGGCCGACTACGAGGCCTGGACGAGGAAGACCGTCGAGGAGAAGACACAGCTGTCGGACGAGTGGAAGAAGCGCCTCGTGCGCCCGCCCAAGCCGGGCAAGACCAAGACGGAGGCCAAGATTTGAAAGGGTGCTGTAGATGACATGATGAATAGCCTCGTTCTATGCGTGCAGGAGTTTTGTGTACATTCCATGAGGCAGCTGTAGAAATTGATGGATGGGTAGGGGGCGCGGCATGATTGTGGCTACTGGTTACAAGGCCAAGAGAACAAGATCCCACATTTTTTTTGAATATCATCATTACATACAGTTGACATTGTGCTTCTTCTATGCCTCGTCTTCCTCGTCTTCTTCATCCTCCTCCTCCCCCTCCTCCTCTGGTTGACCCTCCGCCGGCGGCACCCACAGCAGCAAACCCTCCTTGTCAATCTTCATCCCCTCCGTCGGGATGATCCGCAGCACTTTCTGGAAGTACTTGTCCCTGACGGCCAGGTTGGGCCGTACATAGGCACCCCTCACCAGCGGTAGCAGTCTGTACGTAACAGCTCGCCTGCTCACTGGCAACACGTGCAGCGTCGTCTGTTTCGCCCCTGAAAAGGCAAACTCTTCGCTCGGCTCAAGGCTCAGCCCAAACGTGAGGAAGTGGCTGGATGCATTCTCGATCGTCACGTCCAGGTGCATGAGTCCTGTGGCAGCGTTCACGTAGGACACGGACGCCAGCACGCGGGGTTCGGTGCCGAGGACAATGGAGCGCGGCACCGACATGGTCGTCGTGTTGACGGGGCTGCTCGGGTCGGCCGTGCCCCGGCGCCAGTGGAGGACAAAGGCCACATCGAGCGAGGCTGGGCCGCGGTCGTCGAGACTCAATTTCTGAACGATGAGGTCAAATTTGACTTCTTGCATCGACTTTGGAGGTATAATCAGCCCAGCTGGGGAAAGGTCGGGCCGCCCAGCTGCATGACCACGTGCCCCTGGGAGGCACGACAGTACTTTGGCTTCCATTTCGACCACTTGGAGGTCCTCAGTCGCGAATGACGCGTAATGACAGACGAGCGACCATCGCTGTGCTAGTCCGCGTGGATGGGCTATCAACTCTTCACGGTCCACTGTTTCCGGGGTGCCCTCGAAATCGAAGAGACTCGGCCACGGCTCCGGGTGAAGGCGGGGCACTATGTCGTAGTTTGCCTCAAAGGGGTTGACGATGGTGACCTGGAACGTCATGACCTGTAAGATTGGCGTTGCAGGATCTGTGGCTAGGTGATAGCCAACCCTGGCAGTGATGTCATACGAAGTCGGCGCATCAGAGGGGCTGAGGTGCAGCACAGCTCGCTTCGACTGCGAGGCATCGATGCTACCGAGAACAAGGCCCTGAAATCTCGACTCTTCCTTGGCAGCCTTCACACTTTGTTCTGCAAGTCCGTCGACTTGCACGCGAAGGGCAGGTACGTGCTCGCCAAACACATGTAGCTCTAGCTTGGCCGTTGCATCTGTATCTTCGGCGTTGAAAATATCGAGTGGTAGCTCAATCGATTCGTTGGCATAGTATTGCTGGAGGATGGCGCTTCGCCGGATTTCCATCTTGGGTGGCTTAGGCTGCACATGGATGGCATGTGAGCTCAAACGCGGTATGCGTCTCTTTGATAGCGAGGGACCAAACCAGACATCGGCCACATTCGCCGCCTGGAAACCAATTGTGTAATCGAGGGTGAACGCATCCGTATCGAAGTTCAGTACGACAGATGCAGCGCGCGCCTCGCCGGATTCGCGCAGCGGTATCGCCATCTCATACACTGACGTGCAGCCTGGCTTGATCTCCAGATCAGCTTGACCATTGAGGACGGAGCCCCGCTCGGCCTCTTCCACGTCTTCTGATTCTGGACCTGTCGTCTCTACGAGAGCTATGGCGGCTAGCGACGTGTTGTGCTTCTTCATCGTGCCCTTCGTCTTCTCCTCGATAGAATGATCGAGGGTGATCGTTTGCAAGCTTCCCGCGAAATCTACTCGCAGTTGCTTCAGAACTATTGGTGCAGAGTCTGGGAAAGCAGTTGACGTGACGGCAAGCTGTGCTTGACACGTTTCGCCAGCTTTGCCCTCTTCGGTCTTGAAAACGAATGATGCTGAGACGAAAGATGTCATATTGTCATCGCTTAGAGACACAATCGGCTTCGACTTGACGTTGACACCATCGAGAGACTTCGCCATGTTGTATGGCCAGTTTGGCCGCCGCGTAAAGTCTACAGCCAGTCAGATATGCATATTGAGTTGTGAACGGGCAGGTGAACTCACTTTTGTTCAAGAGCTCCCAGTCAATGGAGACAACAAGGTCCCCGAGCCCAACCTTGGCAGCAGCAGCCCTCAATAGCCAGCTGAGGTCTTCAGTAATATCCAACCATCCCTCGCTTCGGAACGACATGTCCACCCAGAGAGGCCTTAACAGTGCGACGACGTCGTCCCAGGCTTTCAAGCGGGCCATCTCTCTAGCACATTCAAGTGACAGCTCCGCCGACACGCGATGCTGCCGGCGGACCTGGAACTCAGCTCTTGCGGCCATCAGACAGTCTATGATTAGTTGCGCATGGTTCGTGCCTTGGCCATCAAGAGGCGACTCCTCATACGGTGCGGGGCAGAGATACGTATCGTAACTGTACGCGTTATTGGTCGCATTCGCACCTTCAGGCTTCGGGTCCGGGATTCGACGATGCTCCTCGGATATCGCATGGGCCAACGCACGACGAGAATGCAAGTGACGAGCTGCATCTCGATACCAGTAGCCTGTGTGGTGAAGCATCTCCCATGGTTGAAGCCGCTCGCCCATGACAACCTTTTCTGGCTGAATATACAGGGACAGTGTGGGTGGCGCCAGCTGCGCCAGTTCCGCCTTGTCGATCAGATTCACCATGACAAGTGCCCATCTCGACTCCCACGCTTCCCAGCCGTAGTTATTTGTACCGCGCCCGCGCCTGTCGACAAAGTCTGCAATGCGATCACGGTGGGCACGCCATCTCCGTACGGCCGAAGTCGTCTGTCCATTCCATAAGGAGCATCGAATTGCTCGAATCGTGATGACATCGGTGAGAAGGCGTGCTTCATTCCAGCGTGGGCTCCAACTAGGGATCATGTCCATAACATCCTCGCTCAAAACCCCCTCGTATGCCTGGTCATATGATCTCAACGCCGAATCCATCTCCTGACGAAATTCGGCAAAGACACCGGCCTTGAAGTCGTAGCGAACGTTGCAGTCCTGCAGTGTCAACGTCTGCGATGTGCCACTCGTCGGGGGTACTGTGGGTTGAGGGGTCACGCCGCGGGTGCGCTTCTTCCTAGCATGGCGTCCAAGATCGCGGTAGTACTCGATCGAGTGGGAGTAAATGGTCGACAGGATACTGTCGGTGGTCTGCTCCAACTCTGTGAAAGAGTCCTGGGTCGGGATGTAGAAGAACGACTTCGGATCCATTGCCACACCTCTCCGAATGTTTTCTAGTCTTTCTTGAATATCTTCAGACAAGGACGGGGACGACTCAGAGTCGTCACTCAGCAGAGCAACAACCAGGCGAGTCTTGTAGCCTGACTGGGTGAGCGCTAGCCTCAGTATGTTGATATCCTTCTTCAATTGGTTATCGTTCAGGATAGCCATAGATGTGTCGGATGTGAGCGTGTAGAAGCACAGATACACACTGGGCACCATCTGCTGGTGCTTCTGAATCCATTGCGCATCGATCAACCCATCGGGGTACAGAGGGGAGATGGGGCTCAGCGGCGAAAATGGCGAGTGTAAAACCGGGGGGAACTCGGGTGTTTCGATACCATCGGGCAGCCGGGCTCGGCGAGGAGGCAGCACAAAAGACTACACAGCGTCAGAACCGGCGACAATACAAGACCAGAGGTATGTGATGGGTTGAGCTACCCTGCCTGTGAATGCAACCCTGAACTTGTAGGGCTTGGTAGCAAGCTGAGGGTTCCATGGCTGGTCCCCTGCATCCTGACCGGCAATGTATTCCCTCAGCGCCTCGGCCTCCTTCGTTTCCAGAGAGGGCAGCTGCGACTGTAACAAAACTCCCTGATCTTTCAGCTCGTTGTCAAAGGGTAGCGCATTTGCTGGAGCTTCGGTCAAGCCGGCAACGACGAGGAAAGGGAGGTTGTGGTCCAGGCTCCCAGCTGGATAGCCGTCCATGCTGGCAACAAAACAGGTTTGTAAAGGATACCGAAAGTTTGGATTTGTCGGTCGGCAGGGTAATGACGCGAATCGTATCTATCAATCTGAGAGTATTGGGTTAGGACAGAAACGAACGAGAAGTCGGTTCAAGACCTTGGGTACACATACAGTTCAGACTAGGATGCCCTACACAATCCGAAAGCCAGTTGGCAGCGCAATCGAAGCTGCTGGTTTATTCGTATTTGTCCCCTAGAACGAGAGGTCCTCAAAAGACGCTGACGAGTGTTGGTCGCCTGGGGGTCTGATGCAGTGAATGCGACAGCCCACTTGGACAGCCATCACAGGTCCTACTACCCACGCCTAGCTAAGCCCGGCGCTAACCCCATTGAAGTGGAACTCTACTCCTTACAGACCAAGTAGGCGTACCTGACCGCGCAGAGGGGAGCTTTACAGTGAGGGCCTGGCTATCGATGTGTCCAGCGGGCCGCTGTGGGACGCTGCCAGCTGAAAGGCCCGTATCGGACTGGCGTTATCTCCTAAAGTGCTTGGGTGTGCCAATGAGGGCGCGTCTCTGATTGGCCGTACAGCGGGACATGCGCTCATGAGACAGCCTGGATAGGCTTTGAGCTGGCAGCCTCGCGGTCGGTGTCTGTCTCTCTTTCCGTGCATCGTCCACTTGTCGTGCTCTTCTTCCTGCCTCGCCTCGTCATAGCATTGTGCGCAGAGATTGAGACCTGTGTTTCCCCCACACCTCACCGTCACGACAGCGCCCATTAGAAGCACTGCTTCGTACTCCGATCATCCATCTTATTCTCGCACCTTTTCCCGCAAGACACACAAACGCTTCCCCACACTCTGGGCGTCTTGCGACAATCGTCGCCTGGGCTCCCCCGATCTACCTCCCGTCACCACCGCCCCACGACACCCTCCGAAAACACTGCCCTGGGGCACCCATTTCTGCGATGGCTTCGCAACAAGCAATCATAAGCGAAACAGTCGCTGCGATGAAGAAAGCTATGAAGCGAACAGCATACGGTCCGGCCTACCCAACTTTGTTCGGTGTCCCAGCAATTACTTCGGCGTCGCTAACCGCTTCCTTGCGTAGAGTCCGATTCCGACAACGAAATCGAACATTACAGCAATCGCGGCAACAAGCTCAAGAGGCGAGCTCTATTTGCGCACCAGGGCCAGCTTGTACCTCCTTCTGGCCCCGAAGTCTACAAAGAGGCAAGTTTTTTTCTTGTCACCCTACGATTGATGCCGGCCAACTCTAACAGCGAATAGGAGGTTGAGTACGCCGGCCAGCAGCGCTACATCATTCATCGCAATGCTCCCATTGTCGACGATGAGGGCTACGAGGTCGAGAGTGACGACGACGACGAGCGCGCCCAGGACGCTATCGCCGCCGCCGCCGAGTTCGACCCTTACAACAACGTCCGCCTTGAACGTGCGTGCCGCTTCATACCCGACCGAAGGAACAACACTAATCCTCTTTCGCAGAACTGCTCGCGCCCCTCACAGCTTCGACCGATCTTCCGACACATCCTACCATTTCAAAACCCTTCGTCTCAAAAACTCTTACTGGCCTCGCGGATCAGAGCTGCGACATCATGCGGAAGGAAAACAAATCTCTGTGGCGAATCAAGCACCTCTTTACCAGGCTCGTTGGCGACCACACATGGGCCCCCTGCGAATTGATGCTCGGCTCGGACGATGTTGGCCTGTTTGCGAACGACCATTTTGCTCCCCTCCGAGCCCAACAAATTCAGGAGGTAGCTGTCGCACAAAATGCCAGCGAGCCCGGAGCTGCTGTTGCCAACGACGAAACAATACTGAGCAAGACTCTCGATAGCCACGAGAGGTCTGCAGGCGGCGATCAGACGGGAGACCTGACAACAGCAGGAACAGGGGAGGGGGATGTCTCAATGGTTGATCCGGATGAAACGATTACGGAGAACCCACAAGACACCAAGGACGATTTAGAGCCGGTGCCTCAGACGGACGACAAACCCGAGCCGGACGCCGCAGTCGCGATAACAAACGGAGATGGTGCAGTGCCGAACCGCGCAGGGGATCCGCCAGTTGTGCAAAAGCCCTCGGGCGAGAACAGCGAGCACGTCAACGGCACTGGCACTGGCAATGGCAATGAACCAGCGCCCACCACAAATGGCCATTTAGACGCACATGCAGATGGGCCTCCGAGAACTTCGCTGCCGCATTCTGGACTCACGGTTAAAGCCAACAATGGCAGTGAAGCTATGTCTGTGGTGTCAGAACTTCTCGAGGAAATCTTCATTCACCCACTCTACCAGTCACCAGCCAATGCCGAGCCGGATCGAGGAGGCCTTTCTGTGGACGAGGCCAACGATATGCGACAGCTCGTCGCACTTTATGTGCAGAAACAGGAAGAGGTCTGCCGGGGAGCGGAGAAGTTGCACGAAGGTCTCCTGAAGGCCGACCGACTACGCAAAACCGTGCTTCAGTGGTCCAAGGCGGAGGCCCACTGTGGGCCAAATCGTGATATGTCTGATGGCGAGGACTGGTATGACAAGGAGGAGTGGGGATTGACGGAAGACTTGAAGAAGGGTCAGGACGAGGAAGAGGAGGAGACTGGCACGTCGACGAAGAAGACCAGAAACCGAAGGTAGCGACGGTCTCTGATGTGATATGAAGTTGGCGTCGGTTCACGGGGCGTCTTTGTCAGGCATTATTCTTATTTCTGGGAGCGAGGCGTTCAGGATCAGTGGTAAGCAGTACCTCTTCGAGGCATACATACAGTCAAATCGTAACTCTCAGTTTCAACTTGAAGACTAGGATTGGATCAAATGGTGGCTTTTCGAACATTTTGGCTTTCCATCTGGGTTCGTGGCCAGCACTGACAACACAGCAGTGGGAGTTGGGTGACCAGATGGAAAACAGCTAGCTCACTTGAGCCGATTGTTGCCAGTGGCATGGATGGTGCTCAGGCCACGTGAATGTTCGCAACAGTGCAGAAGAGCCAGCCAAACACCACCCTGGACAGGCTGGAAGCGATCACACTTAAAAGTGGGTAACCCTCAAGCTCCCATAACCGAAACCCTTTCCTTTCTCTTCTCCCCTGCCTTCATGCCATCTACACCTCTTTCGCTCCTAGAAATTTGCATGAACTCCCGTTGCTCTACCACATAAATTGTCTTCGAAGATGGCACCCGTCGAGAATGTCAGTCCGGCTCTGGTCGACTTCAACCAGAAGTCCCTCTTTGGTACGTGGAGAACCCCATGACGTACCTGCGTGGTGCTCGCCCGCTGGGAGCTTGGGCCAAAAGTCTGGGGAAGCTCTTATTGACGAGGCGTGAACAGCGTCTGCCTGTGCGATCATGTTCAACCCTCTTTTCTGGAAGTCAGTATTCAGTTCTCTTGATCCCGCATGGACCTGGCTAACATGATTCCAGCATCGTTGCGAGACAAGGTGCGTAGGGTCGCTCGACCTCACCAGGCAGTACCACGATCCAACCGAGAACTGACCATCCCCGCTCGGCGCTGATAGAATACAACAACAAGCTCCTGACGAAGCTCTTTGGCGGCCGCTCGCAGACGGCGTGTTACGCCCTCGCCGCAACCATCTTCTTGCTCGGCCTCTTCCGCGACGGCCTCTACGAGCGCGCGTTGCGCCACCAGCCCACGCACCCAGCGCTTGATACCGACCTCGCCAACTACGCGGGCTATGCCCTCCTCGCCGCCGGCAACGTGCTCGTCATCACGTCGACCTACCGCCTCGGCATCACGGGCACCTTCCTCGGCGACTACTTTGGCATCCTCATGGACGACATTGTGACGGGCTTTCCCTTCAGCGTCACGGACGCGCCCATGTACAACGGCTCCACCATGAGCTTCCTCGGCACGGCGCTGCTGTACGGCAAGCCCGCCGGCATCCTGCTCACCCTCTGGGTCCTGACCGTCTACACCGTCGCCCTGCGCTATGAGAACCCCTTCACCGCCGGCATCTACGCCAAGCGCGACCGCGAGAGGGCCGCCGCCGGCCCTGGCAAGGAGGCCAAGAAGGTGCGGTAAATGAGGCCCGAGAGGGTGGCCAGCTTCAACAGCTATGGTGGTTGCCGCGTCAGAGGGCGGGACCAGACGCCCTTTGGCGCGAGGGGGGGCTTTTCACCCCCGCGCGGGCGACGATCGCTCGCCCTGTAGGAGTAGATCTTCACGTACAGACTCCTAGGACGCGCCGCCCGAGACAGATCGGTCCCGCATCACGGGATAGAGGCTTCACGCCGCTGTCGGGTTCCTTGACATGTCAACGACGGGCCGGAGACTGGGGGACAATTTAGTGTCGATTGGAGAGCAGAGGGGATGTTGATGATAGTGGTGGGGAAAGGTCGGGGTCGAGGACAGCCTTCAACAAAGAGAAGTGGCTGCGGATGCCCGGAGAAGCCGCGGGGGGAGGCGGCTGCTTGGGTGTGCTTCGGAGCACAAGGGACAAAACGGGAAAGAGAGGCAAAGAAAGATTGCCGGATTAGATAGCTTCACTCCACAAACAGTCACAATATAGTAGTTGCGACAACCCGTCGCGACCACTGTCGTCATACTCTTTTTTTCCCCCTTCGTGATGACGCCTGAAATGCTGAGCGGTTTCAGACCAAGCGCTCTTTCATTTGCACAACCAGGTGCACAACGGCATGGGCGGACGAGGAAGGGCACGAGGGCAGAATATATGTGACAAATGCGCTCACAAAATAGCCTTGTCGCCCGGGCTGCGATGCGTTGGCCGAAAGTGGGGGTCAGAATGGCGAGCAGACACCGAGCTGCCATGGCCCGGCTGCTAATAGCACGACGACGGACCGCCCTGGCGCCAAGCACGAGGAAAAGACGGAATCCATTCCATGCCGGCAATCATGTGTGACGTCCGAAGTTTGAGGATGGACTAGGCCTGGATGGATGTTGGTGTCTTGGAAGCACATGGGGTTTTTTTTATTCCTCTGGCTGGCTGACGATGAATGGCAGATGCTTAAAGGACTTCCAGTGTAAGGTACCTAGGTACCCATGGTAGCTAGTGAATTGTTATCTTACAAGGCCGCAAATAAATCTAGTCCTTCGGATTAAACGGCTGCTCCACCTCTCACTGAAGTCTTTGACAAAGAAGGACTCGGCCAGCGAAACTAAAGCATCATGTGGCAATCTGATGTCATATTTCGGCGTTGGATCTTATTGACGTTGTCAGACCCCTATGTTATAGTCACCAGGTCACCAACACCTTCAACCGTCTGCTGGAGCACTTCAGAAGGAAACAAGGACAGATCCACCTCACCTTTGACCATTGAACCACAAGGCAATTCTCAAAGATGACACCGATCGGCAGCACCGGATCGGCCACCCCATCGCGTGGGATCTCTCCAAGGATGCGAAGGTAGTTTGGCCCACCAACCCTTCAGACCTCCACCGGCAGTCACCGAGCCAGCCGAATCGCCGAGCACGGCTTGAAGTGGCTAGCCAGGGACAGAGACAATAACCCCTCAATTAATCCGCCAATGGCCTCGCCGTTTCTGACATCATCCCGACCATCGGCGCCCGCCCAGACCCTGAATCGATCGAGCTCTTGGGGAGCAAAGCAACTTTTTTTTTATCCGAACGGGCGGAATGTCGAGGCCTTCTCGACGAGTCGCGGACCCCCACCGAGTCTATTCCCCTTGAAGGTTTTTGTAGGTCAACAAGGGGCGCCACGGGACGGGAAAGCATGTCCCAGCCTTTTGGGGGTGGACTGCTGTGGGGTGAGTGTCACTTGCTCGTCTCGAATTGCGGCGATGTGGAGGGGGGGGGGGGAGTAGTCGCTGCCGTGAAATGTGATCGCCGTGACGCATTTTCCTCGACGTGCCATTCTTGTCTCTCGCTTCCCATTCTTCTCTCAACGCACCAGCATACCCACGATCCACCGACGATCATCACTATCCGGAATTTCTTCTTCAAGAGCCAGTCTTACAGTTTCTTCATCTCACATACTAGCCAGCCAAACACGGGCTAGTCCCTATTCCCCGGCGCAAAGGAGTTGGATTCCTGTCAGAAGACGTTCATCATGGCGGATCGCACACATAGCAATGGTACACCCAACGGCCTCACTAACGGGGTTCGCGATGAAACTGTCAATGGTGCCGCCAGCGGTTTGGCCAACGGTGTAGAGGATGCCAGCAAGCGCGGTTTCATCGGCGCCATTGACCAAGGCACAACCTCTACTCGCTTCATCATCTTTGAGGTTGCCACTGGTGAGCCTGTAGCGAAACACCAGCTTGAGATCGAGAACCATCACCCGCACCCCGGGTCAGTCATTCATGGGATCACGGATCATGACAATATGGATGGACACCTTACTGACCCGATAATCACAGGTGGCATGAGCATGATCCCAAAGAATTGCTCCACAGCGTCACGACGTGTATGGAGGCTGCGTTTGCCGACTTTGTAGAACTCGGTCACACGAAAGACGACCTGAAAGCCATAGGTATTACCAACCAACGGGAGACCACCATCGTCTGGGACGATCGCACCGGCAAGACTCTCCACAACGCCATCGTCTGGTCAGACACGCGCACGGCGGATAAGGCACGTCAAATCAACGAGCAGGCAACAAGCAAGACGATCTCTGATCTAACTGGTCTGCCTGTCTCGACATATCCATCGGCCATCAAGCTATCATGGCTGCTGAATAACGTTGACGAGGTCCGTCAGGTCTGGGAAGATGGTCACCTCATGTTTGGCACCGTGGATACCTGGCTTGTGTACTGCCTCAATGGCGGCTCCAAGGCCAAGGAGCCTGTCCATGTCACCGATTCCACCAACGCCTCTCGCACCATGCTTATGAACTTGAGGACCCTACACTGGGAGGATAGCATCATTCAAACCTTTGGCCTCGACAAACACCCCCTGAGGCTGCCGCGGATCGTTTCATCGTCTGATCCGAACGCCTTTGGCAGTATTTTTTCCGGTCCGCTTGAGGGTGTTCGTATCACGGGCTGTCTTGGGGACCAATCCGCGGCTCTGGTTGGACAATGTGCCTTTGCACCAGGTCAGGCCAAGAACACATACGGCACCGGCTGCTTCCTTCTGTACAATGTCGGTAAGGAGAGGCCGGATCTTCGCGGTTCTGGTTCGGGCCTCATTAGCACCGTGGCATACGATTTTGCGACGACGGGCGAGTTTCGCCAGGCAACATATGCACTCGAAGGTAGTATCGCGACAGCGGGATCAGGCGTCAAGTTTCTGGTCAAGAACCTGGGTCTTGGCAACGATGCCCATGATATTAATGCGCTGGCGAACTCAGTGCCCGATTCGGGCGGTGTAGTTTTTGTCACTGCTTTCAGCGGCCTGCTTGCACCATATTGGATCGATGATGCTCGAGGCACGCTTTGTAAGTTACCCAAGCCCCCGTTGTGCCAAATTTTTGAATACTAATGTGTCATCAGTCGGTCTCACTCAATTCACGCAAAAGGGACACATCGCACGAGCAACTCTCGATGCGACATGCTACCAGGCAAAGGCCATCCTTGACTCCATGGCCAAGCAATCTGGAAGTCATCTCGACTCTCTTGCCGTTGATGGCGGTCTGTCCAACTCAGACCTGTGCATGCAGTCCCAGGCCGACATCAGTGGCATTCCCATTGATCGTCCGGCCATGCACGAGATTACGGCTCTCGGCGCCGCCTACGCCGCCGGCCTTGGCATCGGTGCTTGGACGATGGACGAGCTGATCGCTATGAACGCACGCAAGCAGGGTACTCGGAGGTTCGAGCCCAACGCGGAGAAGAAGGCTGAATACGAAAAGATGTACCGAAAGTGGGGTCAGGCCGTACAGATGAGTCGCGGATGGGCTACGGATGAGGATGCGACTGCTTCTTCTAAAGAACAGTCCATCTCCTCCAGCGAGGAGGATGCTCCGTTCGACTTGGAGCACATGAACTAGGAAGCAACCCATGTGCAGAACGGAGATGCAGACATATTGGACCCTGAAGCGGAGCTAGGGTGCCTTAAGCAGTGGTGGGCCAAGGGCAAGTTTCGGCGCGTCGTGCCAGAAGACGAGCCCTCCTTGAAGAACGGGGCGGCATGGCCCGAGTATGGACTGTACCTAACCGCCGTGGAAGAGCAGTGGTCAGCGGTCCGCAAGCGGTACCTAGATGCCGCGGCGGAGGAGTGTGCTCGCAAGAAGGCGCGGATCGAAGCGGAGGACCGTGACAGGGCGGATGTCGCCATGGCAGCGTAGACCTTGTCGGCGGAGGCGTTGGGATCGATGTGATTGGGTGTTTGGCTTGGTGTTTTTGGCGCAGCTGGCTCGAGGCCAGAATGGAAGGATTGGTATGGCTGGGCAGGAGCTGCTCGAAAGGCAGAGAGCAGTTAGACAAGTTAGACGTCAGAGCATTACAAGCGTAGCAAGTTCTCTCAAGTTCTCCCGTTGCTGCGGACTAGTAACGTTGTTTGACCCCTTTTGTTTTATTTCCTTTTCATTCATCATGCCGGGTATCTGTGGTTTGTTTGCCTGTCACATCTAACCGTGTCTGCAGATAGTAGGTGATACAAGAACACCAAGAAAGTTTGGACCCTCAAGTAAATGCTCGCATCAAACCTCATTTCCAGACCGCACTGCGAGGCAGTTGTAGTGAGTGGCAGAGGCCATTCAAACAGATGAACCCCCCTTCTCACCTGAGGCTCAGACAACAAGAATTTTGGAAGCAAACCCACGCCGATGGGTATCACACTTTTTTTTTGCCGTTGGTCGCTCCTCCTCTCCCCCGTGTGTCGTCTTTCGTGCCGGTTTCCCCACCCCCTTTTTTTTCCGTTCCGAGGAAAAAAAAACACGCTTCCAAAAAAGGTCCAAAAAAGTGCGAGTGCCTGCTATACATACAAGTCCATACATTCCAGACAAGATGACAGGAAATCAAAGCATGAATCGAAGAGGACGTCGAGAGAACGGACTGAGAGTACCATTTGTGCCTCAACCCCGCCGCTTTTCCTTCCCCTTTTGACGCGCCGAGTGCTAGAGCAGCACGAGTTGTCGTCGCTATGGATCACGTTTCCTTGATATTTTCGGATTATGGTTTCCTCGTCTGCTCTCGAGAGTGGAGTTGTGTTCTGAATGATTAAGAGTGATGATTTGCAAGAGTGTGGTGAGAAGAGAAGCTGGAGAAGTACGAGCAGGGCAAGTCTGCCACATCCTCGCCGTTGGTTCGTTTTCGGTGCCGGTGCCAGCAACACATGGAACATTTACATAATGATGGCAGGCACATCAACGTTGGCCTTGATGCTCTTGTGGGGAAGAACACTGCCGCCGTTGACGTAAATCTCATCAGCAATGGTGACATCGTCTCCCAGCACCGTGACGTTCTCGAGACGGGCCCACTTGCCGACAGTGCTGTTCCAGCCGACAATGGTGCTCTTCACCCAGGCGTGGTCCTTGACCTTGGAACCAGATAGCAGGACGCAGCGTTGGAGACGGACACCGTCGCCAATGACGACACCAGGGCCGATGGTGACATTGGGACCAATACGGCAGTGCTTGCCGATTTTGGCGGAGGGGTCGATCAGAACGTTGCCGCCGTGGACGTAAGACTCGGACGCAGGGGCCAGCTCCTTGCAGCCCTTCTTGGTGAGTGACGACAGGTACAGACAGGTACCGGTGAGGAAATCCTTGGGCTGACCAACATCCATCCAGAAGCCTTCAAGGTCGAAGCTGTGGAGCTGGCCGTCGCGGACAATGGCAGGGAAGGTCTCTTGCTCGATGGAGGTAGGGCGCAGTTCGATGCGCTTGAGCACGGAGGTGTTGAGAATGTACATGCCGGCGTTGATGCGGTTACCGACGAACTCGACAGGCTTCTCAACGAAGCGATCGATACGCGTAGGGTGGTTAGGCTTGTGGACAATGACACCATATTTGGAAGGCTCCTCAACCTTGGTGACGACAATGGTGCCCTCCTCTCCGTGGTTCTTGTGAAACTGGGCAAGCTGCTCAAAGGGGTAGTCGCAGATGACGTCCGAGTTGAGCACGAAGAAGGGAGCATCATCCTTGGCGAGGACGTCTTCCGCAAGCTTGAGGGGGCCAGCGGTGCCGAGAGGCTCGGTCTCGATCGAAAAGGTAATCTTGATGCCGAATCGCTCCTCGTACTGTAAACAACAACGACATGTCAGTTTTTGACCCAGCTGGGAAGAGAGAGCCATTTGCGCGTGCAACAAGAAGCCAGTATGGTGTAGATGACGTACCTCGGCAAGATGCTTCTCCATGATCTCGGGACGGTAGTTCACGGCAAGAACCACATCGGTGACGCCTGCGGCGGCCAGAGCCTCGATCTGGTGTAGAATCATGGGCTTGTTGGCAAACTCGACAAGGGGCTTGGGGAGAGTGAGGGTCTATCGGTCGGCGGTATTAGCATCGCGTTGATTGAAAACGGCGGTGTCTCAGCACGGTCTGCGATTGTCGAGAGGAAGGCATACAAGGGGGCGGAGACGGGTGCCGAAGCCGCCGACGAGGATGATGGCTGAGAGGTGTTAGCAAGGTATGATCGTAGATGTGCTGGCCCTAGCAAGCTTCCTGCGGTGTTTGGGAAAGGTAGGAAACGCTCACCCTTCATGGTTGCGGAGTTGATACTCAGGGGCTTCTGCGCGCGAGCACGAAAAGGAGCTGTTCGGGTCTCGGCGGTGCAGTCGCGAAAACCGAGAGGGGAGGAAGGAGGGTATCACGACAAAGAGGGAATGCCGAGAAGGAGAAACGCAGGGGTATCGCAGGGAACGAAGGAAAGCTTGGAGAAGAAGTGTGCTGGAGGTTGAGAGCTCAGGTGAGGCTCGTCGTGGGAATCGTGCAAGATGGTGGAGGTAGGAGTGTCCGAGATGACACGACAGCTCTTGCGGTTCACTTCAACTCTGGCAGCGACGACAGGAGACACGGGACCCCACAATATCGAGGGTCCACCTGCCTTAGGGGGAGCAACAGGGGGGGTCGCTTCCAACCTCAGATGGAAGCTCCAGGTGAGGTAGGGCTCCATTGAGCCAATTGCGGTGCAGCCTCCAATGGGATCCAGGGGCACACCTCGTGACGAATGGAGTGGGGTTTCAGGCTCGGCTCAGCACTGGCTCGTGGTCGACGACGGTTCACAGCGTGGCTGTGACGCCGGCCTTAGGTCTCGTACAGATGGTAGTAGCTCGTGAAGAAGCGCCCCAATTTCCTTCGGAGCGAAATTGTTTCAATGCCGGCGCCCTAAGTGGCAATCGCTCACCCATGGATTGGTAGGTACTCAGCATGGTGCAGTGGGTGGGTTGTTTGGGTTTGCCTCCTCCAGGTCGGCACCACCCACTAACAGCTCGAAGCTGGATCACTACCTGCCAGCCGCGCGCCCTATGAGGCCCGCCGCCTGTGTAGTGCTACCTACCACTGTGCCGCACCACACTGCATCATGAGGGGTGGAATGTCTTTTTGGCACAACATGATGCCGCATTGCTTTTCTGACTCTGCTGGGCCGTCTCATGTGACCCAACTCGGTCTCAAACAAAATCTTCCTCACCGTTTGCGTCCCATTCTGCATGGTCTTTCAATCGTAGCATTGACCCCGGTCACGCATTGTAACATGGGACATGTCAAGTTTGGATGGGGGACGATGGCTACGCCTCATCGCAAGAAGCCCAATTTTTTCCCGAGAGGGGGGGAGGGGGAAAGGGGGTGGACCGTAGTTAAACGATGTCGACGTAAACTTGCCTCGACACCCACCCCTCAGGTGACGCGTCAATGCCAGTCTTTGTGTCTCTCGGTCCTGTTCATGCTGGAGGTAAGAAGTGCCACAGTCAGGTGCGACACGCAGGAATAGAGAGAGTTGCTTGAAATCCCCATGTTTGGGGTGGTTCACTGGCAAACCCCGTCTGATGTTCAGTCCTAAGCCACACGGGGCGATCATCAGTACACCCTCCCCACTCACCTCACTGCCCCCCTCCCTCCGTCTCAGCCATTACCTCTCCCGAAATTACTGTACAATTGACAAAACTCTGTGCGTACATCAACGTGGACTGATGATGCCAAGGGCCTGGGAAGGCCTGATGATACTCCCTTCTGTGATGCCAATTCTCAGAGGGGAATGGAACGCGGATGATCGAGTTTAGGGATGCCAGACCTTCTTGTCCCATTCGAATCCTCGTTCAACCCCTTCCTGGCACCACCCCCGTTTCCCCACGTTCCTATGTGCTAAGACACTGCTGATCCGATTACCGTCGCCAACATGAGCCGACCCTGCCACACGGATTTGCCGTGTTCGATGTGATGGGTGACCACCCTCCCTTCCCTACCTGATCGTACATGCGCAGCCGAATCCCGGGGTGTTGGGCTGCTAGACCTCTGGCCTGCCTTGCCTGATGTAGCCTCTCTCCCTCATTTGCGTCCTTCGACAGAAGGCATGACGAGGGGGAGCCAGCGTTTCAGCCCCTAATTCAACCTCATCTCCTCATCCAACGGCCGATGCGCGGCGAACCTCACAAGACACTACGCTTTCAGAACGCGAGAAAGTCCGGGTAAAAGATTTCTTCATTATCATAAAAGCTGTCTCGAGGGTTCATCATTATCGTCATGGTCATGCGCGTCACCTAAGGTGATCACGGTCAAAATGCAGCCGCTCTCTCTGCCTCCGTCTCGTGTCCAAACTCGATCTCGTACTCATTCTTTTGACTTCTTCAGGCCTCACCGCCTCTGTCATGACCAGCCATTGTTGATCGCGACGTTGAGCCATGGTGATCCGTGTTGCAGTTTGACGTGACCGCCAGACTGTCGACTGCCGTGAACACACACAGGCTCAATCGCAAACAACGCAGACCATCTCAGGGCCCGTCCATCCATGATCATCTCGAAAAGAAATTCAAGCAAAAGCCGCTCATCGAAAGAATCTAGCCGTCCCCGTCAATATCGTGGTCGTTATGTGTGTTTTCAGTCGCATCGTCGGATCATCCCCTCGCCAAGTTCGCGCCTCCAACCAGGGGAGAAAATCAGGTCGGCCATTCAGAGTTGCCCCCAAACAAAGCCGAGTGAGTGGTGTGGTGCAGAAAGTTGGCCTCGAGATGCTGGAGCTGGTACTGTAAGACCCCAGCCCAGAGGACCCCCCACCATTGTGTGTCGTTAAGTCTTAATCGATGTTGGCAAAACTGAAGAAGAAAGCCGTCCCATCCGTTCTCGGAAGCGAAAAAATAAAATGCTTGGCGAGCAATCAAAAAGCGTAGAACTCGAGCCATGGATTGAGCGGAGTGTCCCTTGAGGAAAATGACAGAAAAGGGAATGCTGCTGAAAAGGCGCAAAGAAGGGCGCAGAAATCATGTCTAAGGTCATCAAATCATTGTCGATCGTTCTGTGTGAGAGCAAAAGAGTCGAAACAAGGTATGCGTCGCTTTTTTCGTGGCGGGTTCCATATGTCCTTCTGACAGTTCGTGTGGCTGATCATTCTGCGTCTTTCGACTGACCAGTTTCTTTACTGCTCTCCAAGACTTAGCACAAGAGCATTGAAAGTATGCTAGGCACGCTTCCAATGCCCAAGCACCAGATTGTCCTTGGTGATACCACTTCGGTAATTCGGCAAGAAAAGCATGCTCGCAGGTGGAGGAGGCTCAGCATCGGCGCATAGCGGCAAGTCGCGGGCCCCGTGCTGGCCTATTCGAAAGAGGCAGTCGAGCTGCTGCTCGAGTGGTGTCCAGACCGGCGGTTGTCACGCTGGCTGGAAGCCATGTGGCGGCTCTTCTTGGAGGAGCGGCGAGGAGCCTCAGTGGCCGGGAGGCCCTGAACGATACCGTTACGAGCGAGCATGCCTCCGTTGACCGAGAAGTTGCGGCACACCATGAAAGCCCTCATGGCAGCATTCTCCTGCGCAAGCACGTCCGATTGGTAGGCCAGATCAGTCTGGTACTCTCGTCCGTTGACAAGGACGAGGCACGTGAAGCCGCTGGGGTCACGGTAACACTCGTACGTAGGATCTTGCCACCCACGTCGTCGGCAGAGACCTACACGAGACGATCAGTCAGCGCCTTGATCTAACGGAAGGCCTCCCCGAGGCACGATCTCGGGACACGCATGAGGCTGGGCGTTGGTTCGAACTGATGCACCCCTCATGACGCCAGAGAACCTGCATTCAAGCCCAACTTGCTGTAAAATGGCCCTGCCAAGTGCACAGGACCCCTGATACAAGGCTGACGACGATAGTTGAGCGCAGTCATGCCTAAACATCACAGGGATTCGACTCATCCAGATCAGATGAAGCAGGAACACCGTGGCAATCGTACCGCCCTGGTGAAATACAGGGGCTACCACACCTCTTTGGCGGACTCATCGTCATCTTCGACCTGTCAACCCGCCCCACTTACAAGGGCCGAAATTGGGTACGAGGCCGTCGGCAAGCAGATCACGAACAACACACGTATACAGAGGGGAATCAATGGCTTACTTACTCTCCAGATACTGAGTGTAGAAGCCACCCATGTTGGTGCAAAGGCCCAATGCGTTGTTGTCGTGTGTTGGTAGATGTTTGATGTTGACGGCTTTGGTACAGGAAGGAAGGACCAGGGGCAAGCGTTGGCCGTGGGGAACGAGGTGTCTCGGAAAAAAGTGAAGCTGTGGAAAAAAAAACAATGACCGCCAGCCAGCAGACTATGGAGCCAAAAACCCGGACGCCGTTTTTCGATGCAGTCGGGCCCAACGTGAGGCGAGCGAAAGTAGTTGCGCACACCAAGCCCTAAGAATAGGAGGCGTAGGGCAGCAATGGGGAGGAGGAGGGGGACGACGGACGTGGTGGAAGAGAGAAGATGGTCGGGTAGTGTTCAAGTGGGCGTGGTGTGTGGGCGGCGGTAGGCAGTTAAGCTACGTAGCTTGGGATGCAGGAAATCCGGACCATCAACGGCGAGACATGTGTGCTTTATTGCAGGACGAGGAACAAAACGTGGTGCGGGGCAAGGCCACTCGGCAGCGCGCGCGAGCAGACAGGAGATGAGGAGACAGGGAGAGTGGTGAGGGGAGCTTGGGGAGGCAACTGGGACTCGAGACGCAAGAGGAAATGACGGAAACGCCAGCAGGTGAGGATGAACGGGGTCCTCGCAAGGGAGATGCAAGCGGCGATGCGGCTCTCGAAAGTGTGACCCATCCTGATGTGTTGGCCTTCTCGTCGCCAGTTGATAGTACCACTGGCGACTAGGCAACTCCACTGCAACACATGGGAGGGGGGGAGATGCACCATCCATGATCCAAGCGAAGATCTCTGATAAGTTTCGGACGAAGCCTGTCGCCTGTGGTGCGGTACCGCTGTTGGTCCATGTTTACCTCAGAAAGACCGATGGCTACCTGAACTCTCTTCCTTGCTTGCCGCCGCTGCTGGGATAGCAAGCGCTCAGGGTCGACCGACCACAGCATCGACTACCGAATGGGGATGGACTTGGGTCCCGGACCTCACTCAGCGGTTTGGCTACCCGCCTGGGACTTGGGACTGAATCCTGTGGCTGGGTGCAGAACAAGCCGCCGCCGACCGACCGAGCAGCACTTGCAGCAATAGTAGCAAGCAGACCTTGCAAGACAGTGGCGAAATGGAACCATTGTCATGACGGTGGCTAATCCCGCGTAGCCTGCGAGGTGGGCAAGTGGGCGAGAAGTCATTGTGTCGTGGACCCGGTTTGGAGCACTGGTCACAGTTTTCGCGCCGGCTTGGCAACAGACCAGTAAAACGCAATGCTACCGGAGAAGCGCATCAAGACAGATGGATGACCGGGCTTGGGATGGGTGGGCTTTCCAGCTTCGTCACCAGGATAGAAGAGGGAGGGGAGGGGAGGGGAATCGCAAAGTTCAGGGCCCACGGATCCCGTAGTCGAGAGCCTAGGGGGTAAAAACAAAGAACCAGCCAGAAATCCGGCCTCCAAGATCTTTGTCTTAGCTGCACTAATGCAAAGAACATCAGCCAAAGAGAACGGCTTGTTTAGTGCTAGGGCCATTGAAATCGAAGTCAAGACGGTAAATAATACCACCACCTGCATGGCCACCTGTCATGGTGCCGCGGGGGGCCCTGGGAGGCTAGAGAGGCTTCTGCGTCATGTAGGTGCATGTTGTTCGAGTCCATTTCAAGCACCAGCCAGCTTCTTGGAGGGGCGGCGAGCGACGACGGTCGTCGGTCGGTGGGCTGCGGCCACATTCAGCGACCCGAGGGTAAGGATCAGAGGAACCAGGCCGACCATTCGATTTACCGCTGTGCCGACCAGGCCTTGTCGAATGCAAGGTGATTTCTGTAATGATGATTGATATCGACGCGGTGATACACCCGGATGTGAGGCGACACAGACTGCTTTCGAATCTCCATCGTTGAGTCTCGTCCCATCCGACATCCCAGTCGGTAGATATGAGCATGGGCATTTGAGGTGCTTGGGACAGTGAGCAGTCCGTCATCCAGGACAGCTTGCTAGGGATGGAGGGGCCAGCGCTCGTCGGCGACAGCTACCCGAATTCGAGGGGGGCAAGTGACTGGAGTGGCTCCAGTCCTAAAACACTAAGAGAAAAAAGAAGGTCGGTGAAGACGGCCGTCGCCAAAGCAGCCAGAAAAGACGTGCATGAACAGCAAGCAGTGGCTGGGCCAGGGTGCCGAGCGGGGTCGATGCTGTCTTGTTCGTTGGTTTGAAGGCCGATCGGTGGCAGACCAGGGTCTTCCGGGGCCACAACAAAGCCTACGAGAAGCCCTCCAGAGAGGGTTCAGTCCATCACGAACACAGATGACGAGCGGGCCGGGGGGGGGGGGCAAGCATGACGGCGCCGGCCCATCAACGAGCCAGAAGACCCAAGGGCGCTCCGTGTTTGGTTGCTGGCGTGGGCGGGCAGGCGAGGCAACCAAGCCAAGATTGTAGCAGCCTTCGAGACCTTTTGGCTCATGCACTGATGAGTTGGCATTGCTTGCTTGATATTACCTCGGGCGCAAGTAGAGGGAGCCACCGCACCGTACAGAGTACGTGAGCAACAGTTGGGATCCGATGCATCTGAAGGTGATCGCAGGTGAATATACCTGGCGGTACGAGTCGCCATTCCCTTTGTATGAGGGAGTGGCCCCCGTCCGAATTCTCGGTCGAGTCGGGCGTTGTGAGTCGTCGTCCAGCGTCTCGCGTGGCCTGAATCCAAACAGCCTGACTGTCCAATCGAACTCAATTGCTAATCCCCCCGTGGAGTCACAGTAAATGCGTCGACGCTTGATGCCTGTCTCTGCGTGACATTGTCTTACCAACAAGGTAGGTAGTCTGGGAATTCTGTGTAGGTCTGTCCGCCTGTCTTGTCCTTGTCTCCTTGTCTCATCGGCACCAAAGCTGTGCTACCGAGGGAGCTTAGGGCGTAGTGGTGGCCTGCCACGAGAGACGGCGCGCTGTGATTTGACAATTGGAACCATTTCTGGAAACCAGCTTCGGCCAGCATTTCCATCGACTGGCTTAAGCTGAGATGACACTCCGCTGGCGCGTTGGACGGCGCGCTTGAGAAACAAGCCAGCAAGTGTAAAGATGACACACGATATCGTGATGTCGAATGAGGTCTTGGGGATTGCGTCGTGTCATGTTGCCCATCTGCACAAAATGGCTTGGTGCTCCGCCCGATGAGGTATCACGGCTGGGCCATTTGCTGGTTCGCAACGTCAAGATTCCAGTGCCCGGGGGGGCAGGATGCTCCAGAGAGCGGTTACACCAGCGGACTAAACTTCTCAGGCTGGTTTTGTGGTCGGCATTTGCTAATCCATTCCGTGGCATGACTGAAATCCGACGCGTATCTGCACGAGAAGATGCGTGTTTGAGATTGATCGACTGACGGACCTGTTGGTAAGATAGGTAGACCAGGAGGATAGACGCTGGATCGAGGCGCCGAGGTGTACCTGTAGGCGCTGGGCTCCTGATGGATTCTCCGGAGCAGTCATTGCCTCTTTGGTTTGCAGCATGTCCCACTTGGCTTGGAGGGGCCTTGGGTCCTGGCGGCAGTCGTGAGGGGGCTGCCTGGCGATTGGGCTGTCTGCAAAGATACAATAACAAGAAAGACCCCTCAGCAAGGGCAACTTCCTTGGTTCTGAGATCGCAATATCGGAAGGTACCCTGACCGGACATCGAGTACATAGACGGATACATGGGAGCGGCGGCTGCCAGCCCCCTCGTTGCACCTTCCTACCGAGGGTCGAGCGTGGCACGCGCCCGCCTAGGTGCCTTCGAGACCCTGGCACTCTACCTGGCTCGGACGCGGAATGCCATCTAGCGTATCGCCAGGGATTCATCCCACCTTCACCTCATCCTCGTCCCTCAAGAAATCCATCGACCAACCGAATGACCTGCAGACTCTTCATCGCCTCGGAAGTTCCGAGGGGCCATCGCAAGGGTGAGTTTCAATTCGGCGGTCTACAATAACATGCTATGCGCGCGGCATGTCATATCTCCTCCACCATGGCATTCAGCGTGCTACTTTCCCAGCGATCGTACGCCATGTTCCCCTCCTTTCACCGACGAACGGCGGTACATGCAGCTGGCAGCTTACGATGTACCGTCCGCCACGAAGCCATACTTCCTGCCCCATCCATACTTCGTACAAGTCACTTCCAAGTCAACCGTTCATGGATCACTTTTCATTACAACCCAAGGCCTCCTTCGCGCCAAGCCCCCACTCCCGCGACCAGCTCCAGCGTCCACCTCCCACAGCCTGCGGGATCTTCCAGATGTAACATGAACAGTTGTTTTCTTGCCGACCGCTATATGCAATCGACCCCACGCCGCCACTGTGGACGGAGGGCTGTGGAAGCAGGCAGGTAGGCCACCCGTTGTGCGGGGGCTAGTTCTCGATCTGGAGGTGTCAATAAGAAGACGGTCCGAAGCGCTCTCTCCTTCCGCTTCTTGCGTTAAAATGCTCGTCATCAGCCTGCCTGGCATGGAGTTTGCAAAAATGTCGCGGCATCACTTCGAATCCTGAGAGGCGCGCGTCTCTTTTACTCTCGAAACGCCGACGTATATATCTGGAACTGAAATATTCTTAGGTCAACCGGCTTAGCCGTCTGCAGCATGGCATGCATCCCATCGCGGTCGTCCAACCACGGTTTGCTGCTCCTCAGCGGGTCCCGCCCACTTCCTACCACAGGATTCGTCGTTCACTTTGGAGCAATGTCTTTGCGAGCCTGATCTGCCAAGTGCACTGGAGGCCTCGTACACGCAAGATATGCCAGTGACGGCCACTCGGAGAAGATCGTGAGCAATGTGACAGACGAAAGAAGTGCTTGACTGGACGTTCAACCCGCGAGAGTCATACATACAAAAACGACGCGGAACTGCAGATGGGGTCTCGCACCGGATCGTCCGGTGGGCACACAATGTGGTGAGCTCTTGCCCGAAATGTCATGTTGTGCGTCGAACGTGGCGTATGTGCGACGTAGATTCTGACTGAGAACCTTCTTTCCCCAAGAGGCTGACCGGCTCGATGATGCACTGGCCGCATACCATCAACCGCTGATATGGGGGCCTATTGCAGCTCCAGGGCTCTTTCCATGACAAGGACATCATCCATTCATTTCGGCCTAGCGAGGAGCGGCAACATTTACCGGTACACGTATGAGACGTCTCTTTTTCAGCCTGCTGCATATTGTGAGTAGTGATGTACAGTTTTTCAACTGGACAAGGGGACCGGTGACCTGCGACCAGCTGTCGACGTGCATTATAATCAGCCATGGGACCCTGATATCATTGCACACACATTACACGAGGCTTTGTAGTTTCATGGCTGGAGCAATCCAGGCCCCGGAAGACATGAACGTCCGAATCGAGCTATAAGATCGATTCCTAACCATGGTACAGTCACACCACAGCCGAGGCCGCAGCCTTCAGTCTTGTCGGTCGTTGACGTCCAAAAGGTATCTCAGCCATCCAAACCGGAATAGAAGATATGGCCTTTGGCCATTGACCAATCTGTCGAACAGCCACTCCTCTACGATTGCCACGTGACGCAAATGTTCAAGTGCGTGCCTTGCCGCGATCGCTCGCGGCACCCCTGTTCCACATATCTACAAGTAACTGCGCCCTGCGGCCGCCGCATACGAGGCCGACTTGCAATAGCAGGAATCGATAACCGGACAGGACTGCAGGCAGTAACAATCAATAGACCCCGCTTTCGCCGCGGACTAGAACCCTTTCTTGGCCGCAAAGTAGGCCTTCATGGCATACGCCTTCTGCTCGGGAATCGTGTACGCGGGGTGGATCGTGGCGACGCGGTCCTCCTCGTCGAACACCTGATCGGCACCCGTGCGGGGCCTAACCCTCCACCTGGGTTCCGCCAGAATGGTGTCGTCTTCGCCGACGTATGACATGTCCCAATCGTGCTGGGCCGATGTCAGGCCGCTGAGGACGTAACAAGAGTGGTACGCGTCAGAAGGTCTGGGCTTCAAGTTAGCCACGCCTGCTGCTGCCACTGAAAGAGGAAATAAACAAAGGACGAAATTGGCACACACCTGCTGGGTTTGTCGCGCAACCCTCCACGCTTCGACTGATCCTGGGCGCAGCAGAGGATATACCGGATGAGTCCTTCTCTGCTAAACCACTTTTCTTCATGCGGATCACCAGGACGCAGGCTGTTAGCTGGCAGTTCCCCTTCATCGTCACCGACGTTTTCGTCAAGCTCGCTGGCGCCGTTCAGTGCGGCATCGACGAGGGGCCAGCAGCCGCCGACCCAGTGGCTGTAGCAACCATCGACGAGCTTGTTCGTCCGGCCACTGAAGCCGCCCTCGGGGGCGTACTGGCGCGAGGAGAGCCAGGAGATGAGTCGTGGCACGTCGAGGTACCTGTGAAGTGTTTTTGCCTGCGTCAGCGCCAGTGCTTGCCTTGCTTGACCCTTATGTGTGGCATGCTCTTAGTGGCCGAGAAAGGGGAGGAGGGGGGGGGGCTGCGGGCGGCTTGGGTGTGGTAGGGGGACGCACTTTGGGATGATTCGGTGCGGGGCGTCAAGTATGGCGAGACAGCCCAGGGCACAGAATGTGTATGCTCCGTGTGCTTCCGTGTCTGGCTTGCCTCCGAGGCCGCCTTCAAAGGTCTGGCCTAGATGGTGGGTGGGTGTGTCAGTCGGGATGTGTCTCAATTTGACATGCAACAACAGACAGGGGCAGGTCTAGTGTGCCTGCTTGCCAGCCAGCCTGAGACAAAGGGGAATAAGGGTTTGACTCACATCTACGGACGTAGTCGGCTAGGCCGGTGAAGAGGGTGGTCTTGCCGTCGGGGGTGTAGGCCGGGGAGTCGGGCGACAGTTCGAGGGGCATGTTCAGGAGGCCAGCGATGACGGTGGTACAATAGGCACCCCTGGAAGCAAGCGGGAAAAGGAATAACAGGTAAGCGTGGTTTTCGTATGGCGAGATGGCGCCGTGAGCCGTCGTGTTGCATCGGCGCACATCATGGGGAGCGTATGAGCTTACCTCACGTCGACTTCACCGCCATACGCCATCTGCACGCCGCCGTCGGGCTGTTTGAGGGAACACAACCACTTCCACATGGCTTTCCGGTCGATGACTTCGTAGAGCTCCTCGCCGCCGACGATGGCGATCGAGAGGATCAGCGCAAAGGTGGTGGCGAGATGCGACACTTGCCCGTGGCCGCCACCGAAGCCACCATTTGGGTTCTGCATGGCCCTCGCCGTATCGATGAGCTGCTGCCTGTACATGGAAACGTCCTCGCCGAGCAGAGCCAAGCCGTTCAGGGACCAGAAGAGGAACCATGGCCGACTCGCATCCGCGATGAGATAGGGGGCGGGCAGCTTCCCGAGCTGCTTGTGGAGATATTTTATGTGAGCTTCACGTCGAAGCCTGGGTACGCCGTGGCGGTTGAGCTCGAGAGTGTCTGAGTAGCCAGCGAGGAGCGGGAGGCACTCATGCATGGTCGCATTCTGCTGGGTCAGCGTGTGCGACCGGTGTGATTCTTTGATGGGCGGCGGGGATGTGAAGATCGCGGGCACGGGTGAGAAGCTCTGCCTGTTCATCTCCGATGCCAGAAGTTCCTGTTCGTCGGACTCGGATGCAGAGATATCGACGAAGCCATCGTCTTTCGCATCCACCACTATGGCTTCGCTCTCGGCGGATCGCCCCGTGTCTGTTGGCGTAGAAGCGGCAGCCATGGCAGCAGCTGATGGTCTACTGCGCCTGAATGCTACTCTGGTGCGGTGATTCTCCGGTCTGACTCGGCGGCTTGTGCTGGTCGCGCTACTGTTGTTGCTGTTACTGTTGCTGTTGCTCATGCTTCACCACATGGAGGGGTTGGCGGGGCGGGGGGGAGGGGTTTTGTAGTGGCTGTCGACGTCGTCCCGAGCTCTCAGTTCAATTCATTCTCATACTCTCCATGTCTTGTAGCTTCCTTTTCCCTTTGATCAGACTGATCGGTCGAATTGAAGCTATGTTGACATGAGAACAATCACAAGATGGTTTTCGCCTTGTCATTGTCAGTCGTGGGTGAGGTTGGCCGTGGTGTGGAGCTCGAGAGCTCTGATTGGTCTATGGAATGTGTGGCTCAATTTGAGGCTTGTCTCGGCCCGCTCTAGCTGGGCCTTATGACAATCAGGTAGCCAAGCCTTGGTTGGTAGGCCAGAAGAGCCCCTTTCTTTGTTGACCGTGGGTTGATAAGCCTCTTTCAGGGTCATGTCTCGAAGCCACGTGCGATAACTCGGCCGAGTGACCATCGCTCGGGGTCTTGGACAGACGTATAGCATGTGTAGCATGTGCTTAGGCAGTGAATAGTCATCACAATGCTTGCAGTGATCAAAAACACGCTACGGCATTTCTTGACCTTCACGGTGTGCTTCGACCTGCTTCAGAAACTGTCAATACTCCATTCTAGAGCTCGTAACCAGAAGAGACTCGATGCAGCAGTTGCTTGACAAAGCATGTTCAAAACGGCAAGCCACACACAGTTAGACCTGTTCTCTAGAGCATGACCTCCTAAAACTGCGTGTCATTCGAAGCCCTTCCTGTCCTGGGATTTCCGCTCTGATAATATGAAAAGAAGGTCGTTCGCGCCTCCATCACCGCTGCTTTGTAGAGATCGACATGCTTGAATTGGAGTTACTTGTGCCTCACAAATTGGATCGAGCACGATTTAGAAGACGCTGCTGTTTTTCTATGCCTCGAACATATCATCTCTGATTTCCTTTTGGCACAGTTCACATGTCGCATTAGGTCAGTGCCATAACAATAATAATCTTGAAGACACTTATCGAGCCGAAGATATCTTCCATGACCGTGGCCCTTGTTTCCGAGTGCAAAAACATGGAATTGTCAGTCTACAAAAGCCAAAATGGAGCTCATGTCTGATGTCTATCAAGCTTCTTAACTAATTTTTGGTCTGTAAATAGTCTGAAACTGGATCATCTCTAGTAGCAAGTTGGCTGGCTGATTAGAATCAGCGACGCGTCACTTACGCTAGAGACTCGACGATTGGGCTAACCCATGTGGTTCTGGTATCAGATTTGAGCTCTAATGACAGCAGGGCACAGACTTTCTCTGGAAGTTGACCACAATACCTTGCTTGAGCAGAATGTAAAGCACGAAGTCTATCATCACTCTGGGCTTTGACCACTTCATCCTTATATCTATTGTTCATAAACTACATCTCTTTTGCAATAAATATATATATAGTACGGGTCGGGTTGGGGCTGGGGGGGGGTTGTTCTTGAGCGCATCTCGCCACTTGTCAGTTGAAGTTTGCCTCTGGGAAGTTATGACCTCAACAAAGGAGATGGCGTTCCCTCCGTGCCACAGTTCTAATTCTCTCGACTCGATACCACACCCGGAGCCTGCGTCCATCTCTACATAGTCTTCACATACGAACCTAACAAACATAACAAAACTTCAGAACCCTACTATGTTCCCCTGCTGACCTACTAAAAGGCCTAGCGGGTGTCCTATTGAAAGATGTTCACATTGAGGTTGTTCTAGCTACTCGTGCAACGCATTTTGTATCATCGAATGTCCGTGGTAGGTCAAAATATCAAGTCACTCTGCTCCTACCATGTTTTAGCAGAGTACAACAAGCCTATTCGAAAAATTGAGTCTTGACCAGTATAGACTTCAGGAGATCGGCCATTCCGCCGTGCAATAAGAGAACAGGAGCTACCACTCGCTTCTAGCTGCCTCACTTCTAACCTTACAATCACAAGCACCTAGCCTAGCGCATTCTTTCACGTTGCCGCCATGCTTCAAAATCTGCTTCATATGCAGAAATGGCTCGCGGCAGACATTGCATCTAGCTCCATTGCGGAGTCCCTAATCTCACTGATGACGAGGAGGGCTGGTTCGGGCGTATAGGTTTTCCATACCATCATGGATGGCATAGTGTTGCCAAGTGTGCTTTTGCGACTATGCTGGTTTTCTGCCTATCACCACAGACTTAGAGGTGATGAACTGACGCTGTCACAAACATCCACCTCAACAGAACAATATATGCGTAGAAATAAGGTTAATAAGGCTCGGCAGGCTGGCATGTTCGTCTGTGTGAAAACTTCAATGAATGTCCGTCTTGTGAAGAAAGAAATGAGCTTAAAAGCAGTCAATCACAGCTGTCATCAGGTAGTCTGTCTTGTCATTGCGGGGCTTTTCCCCAGACTTATTTAATCTACAACTCTGGAGCCTTAATACTAAAAGACGTTGATTTGTGGCTCTTATAACCCGAGAAAGGGGATTGGGATATCCCTTGAGCAACATATCCAGAAACTCTGTCAAATCCCCACAGCTGCCACAGCAAGACCAAACATAAGAGCAAGGGCACCGGGAATGGCTTGAGACTGGTCAGAGGGTGACCGCAATTGTCCGTGAGTCCCTTCTTGTACCAAACCAACTCGAGCCCATGACGATGGTTTAGACGCAATCATTCACTTGATTGTCTTGACTTTCGATCAAATTCAACTCAGTCCTGACGCAGTTCATGGCGCACTCCTGACTTTGCTGCCTCACTGTATGTTCATACCTAGTTCGCAACAAGTTTCAGTTGGCCGAGTTGTGCAAGCTCGCCACCAAATGATTTGCAGGGTAGGATTGCAGAAGCAGATACATTCCATTCGTCAATATCGGACGGGATTGCTCGAAGCACGTCATCCACCACAGACAACAGAATATGTTGCTCATGTGCTGAAGCAGCCCGACCATGCTGACCTCCCAATGGCTCGACCTGCAGGCGAGGATCTCGCCTCCCACTGCGGAAAGTAGCTTCTCCAAGACCCTGCCCCTCACCCTGCAAGCAATCGCTCTGCATCCTATGAAAAGCAGCTGTCCTGTACAGACAGCTCATATGTGCATATGTGAGACGCATCCATGCCGGGCGCCACCGCCATGATAACCACATTGTACGTCTTGCAGTTGCAGCAAAGCATGCCCGGAGGGTAAGCGGAGGAAAAAAGAAATCTCAGCCCAACCCGCCCGCGCCACAGCAGACCTGGAGGAAGGACTTTGCTCCTGGATACACCCTCCGCGACGACAGCGTCAGTCACACGCGCCAGAACGAGGTCCAGGAGGAAGAGAGGGAAGAACCCCTCCTCATCGGTTCCATCTCTGCCAGGTACCCGTTCCAGACGTCGGAACTAATCTCAATCCAACTGTATTCGTCAGGCACCAACCGTGGATTTTGTGATCACGCTTCAACGACCAAGACAAATCCAAAGAATGCCCCCACCGAGTCATGAGCCTCGCCCCCAGTGCTTGCGACCATCCGATGTTGAGAGTGAGTGAGGCATTACGTGCAGAGGCGTGTGGCTGTTAGTACGGCTGCTGCACATGTCCGCCTCCAGCACAGAATTCCAGAAAGAGCATCGCTCGTGCAAAGTCTCGCTGTCGGCTGCCACTCGTGCGTCTTTGCCCCCATGATTGGCTCGAGCGAGATGGTGTGGATACTCGCTACATTAGGGGGGAGCGGGCCACGCCACCACGATACCGTCACGTTGCGGGCCAGGGAACCGGCCTCTTGTACACCGCATATTCGGTGGAATGCTCGTTGCAGGTGTCCGTGGCCGTAAGGAAGGGTAGGAGGGGGGGAGGTGTTGCTTTTCCCCGTGTATGGCACGCCTTCGGGGGAACTACGACGCGTGCACCATCGTTGACGGGGATGCACCTAGTATCTGCCGTCTTTCGAGCACTTGGTGAGCCAGATACAGTAAACAACAGGGAGGAATGGCGTGTGTCTGGTCGGAATATGGTTCGAAACCTGATTCAGTTCTGCACGAATAGCGTACCTGTCGAGGGGCCCCTGTGCAACGCTCGGCACAGTGAGACATCTCAGCCATCCTCTATCGCGGGGTCGTCGCAACACAGCGTCCCGTGGCGTGGGCTGTAGGTGGTGTCTGTCCGACGTTCAGGGCCGCAAAGACGGGCGAGAGCGCAGGCCCGTCATATGGCGGCATCGCACACACCCATATCTTGATGTCTCAGACAACGTGCCATGAGGTGCCACAGGGACTGGGAGACGGAAAGAGAGGGACCTGATTAGAGGCGACAGGGCCGGGTGAATAGAAATGCCAGAGGCTGACCAGCGGTTGGAGGTCCATGTGCAGGATGATGCTGGGGGGATTTCATGCCTTAGCTGCGGGCAACCGAGCATGCGTACCTGGGTGGTACGACACCAATGGCATTCAGCAGCAGCAGGCGCCGTCGTTGAACTGGTGCCATGTCTCTAGGCGTCGAGCCTATCGTCGGGTCTTGGGTAGTCCCTCAGCTCGACCACAGAGCAAAGCAACGGACTCTACTTGTTCACTCAACACGCGCGCTCAAGATGAAAGGCCCGCCTTCACTGCCACGCCACTTGCTTGCTTTTGCCTCGTCGTTGGCAGACTGCAGCAGCGACCAGCGATCAAGATGATTTGACAGCCGGAAATAGGCCAGTCTGTTCGGAGGCCTGGATGCAGATCTCCTGCAGGTGATCTCGGCGAAGCCAATTGGCGAGACGTGCGTTGCGGTAGAAGCTGGCGAACTAGAACTGATCGTCGTAGCTCGAGCTGGGAGCTCCATGCACTGTGTCGCGGAGAAATGGGGCAGAAACGGGCAATTGTCGCGCTCGGCCTCAGATGGACCCTGGAATCCGCTGTCACCGATGTGAGGTTGTCGACTGTATCGGGATGCTTAAAGGACTGGCACTATTGATGAGGGGGGGGGCAATCCATTGTTTCGTCGTCCGGGCTAGCTGTTGGATAGATCATGGGCCGAGGCGCTGGCTACCCCGTCCAGCCCCTCTCTGCCCCTCCACACCTGCTGCCGAACCTGGCCTGGAAGTGCATTCGGAGTCTTGCACATATAGCAGTCTCTTCTAGCTGGAGTGGCGCCTTGAATCGTGTCTACAGGGCTCCGAGTTGGTAGATCTAGCGGATCGCCCTCGTACCTTAGCTTGCGTAGCTTGCACGCCTCATTGTTGACCGCGAGTTGAAGTAAGTTGGATCAAGAAAACGCTTGTCAAGCGCCCGCAAGACCGAAATCTAGGTCTTGAATTGCCACGAGCCTACCCCTCAGTGATGAAGCCAGGTATCTTGACGGCCAGCACCTCAAGCTTCTGTGAAGCAGCGGCACCGCCCCAGGACCAGGCGAATCAACAAAGGCGAAGCAAGGGCTCTGCCTCGCTTCCTCTACTGCAATGATACGCGAGAGAGATGTACCTCTTTCGAATATTCAGGAGCATCCTGCGTGGCCGACGTCGACAGCTGCGTGTAAAGCCGGAAGACAAGGGCTTCCATCAACGTAGAGATGCGTAGTGATACATGCCACTCAATGAACCCCAGACAGGATGGCCGTTGGCAGGAGGGAGAGGTTTTAGAAGTATGCGTTGTCCAAGGATGAAGGATTGAGGATTCGGAGGGGGTCGGTCACTGGGGGGTTTCCAGCCCCTCGCGTCATCGGCCGCACAGACCAGAAAGAGGCATCAGCGATGTGATCTGGTGACAACGGCATTGTCTGCAAGGGGGAGTGCCAGCTCGTTGCGATCAAGATGGCAACTCAATCGCGGACATGGCATGTGCGCAATACGATGGGCTGCGGCCAAGAGCCACATGGGCGATTGGCAACGGTAGGTTGGAATGCAGCTGTGAGGGCGAAACTCAGTAGTCAGACACTGTTCTGCTTGCTGCGATGACATGACGAGTTGGCTCGCTTGTCCGAGCTGGCGTGGATGGGAAAGGCCCACAATCGGATGGGATGGCTGGGGGCGATCGATCAAGCTGCCATGGCAGCGTGAAGTGGCTCGTGGCCCTCAGTCTCGGGAGGGACCGTTGCGAGAGTTAAACAGCGCTTCCCTTTGTTGCTCCCTCGGCAAATGCCTACATCATACTGCACACGGAAAGGCTCGCAACACACCCAGCATGTGTGAGGCGTGACGACTTGTTGACGGAACACTGCTATACCGTGCGAGAGGCTGACTGCATTCAACGGCATCCTTCTGATACCGTGTTCAAAGGAACAAGTTGGTACGGATCGCAAAGTCGGCCTTCTGCCCGCTCCGTGTGTCGTGCTCCATGCTACGTCCGTTTTCTTTGTTGTCGCTCGTTTCTCGGAAACACGAGGCAGTTTGATAGCCTTGAAAACTTGAGCCGGAAGGGGACGTGGAATTCAAGCAAAGCAGAAGAACATCAATCACACCCTGCTATGACGAGAGCCGCAATTGCCGCAGAATACCATGTCCACTCTAAAGCCCCCCTGCGTGTGAGGGAGAGGGGCCTTGCTGGTGAGAGAGGGGCTTTGCACTGAAACCCAGTACCCAGTTGACATTCCTGACGGCCCACCTCGTGATCGACTTCAGCTACTGTTAGTCTATTGCCGCCGGCCTTGGAACCATTACTGCTTCATCCAGGCTCGGACGCGAGTTCACCTGATTCGATTCGTGAATCGGAGGATTATCGAGGCTAGGCGAGCAGAGACTCCCGTTGTGGATCTTGCAACATGCTTAAGGTCCCCGAGTAGGTAGGTGGGTAGTGGGTTCTCTTCAGCGTTCCTCGTGCAACTTGGAAACAGGGAAAACCAAAACGAGGTAAAGTGTATAACAATGAAAGAAAAAAAAAATACACGGTAGGAAAATAACCGGGGTTCAAGGGGTCGGCGGCATGGAGGCTCTTCACAGTTCCGGCCCTCACAGGTGGACTGCCTGTCGGTGCGTCTTCACGATTGCCCATGTCCCTTATTTTAGTTGAGAAAAAAAGCCCTGGAGGCGACGACGAGAGAGCGGTCTGGACAGCCAGGGCCCGGTGGGCTCATGGGCTCGGCAAGCGCTGCACGGCGATGGAGAAAGCGTAGAGGCTTACCCCACTGTGTGCCGCCCAAAATACAGTGCGAACCGATCTCGAGACCGACATGGACACACGGAGGAACCAAACGGCAGGCGGCGATTGGCCCTGGCGCCCGCGTGAGCAGCTGGGCCCCTGTCGCCATGCCCCACCACTTTGCAGCTGCAGAGGCTGCGCATGGACCCTTGATTGGTTCGCTCTCTCGGCTGGGGCTGGATGTTGAACTGCATCTCTCTCACCGCCAGTTTCGTGGAGTCGCTCCTGCCTCGTCCTCGCGCTCCTCTCCTCCCACACCTGCCCGCCCGCACCGCCCACAGGTCCAGGTCAGAACAGGTCCAGAGGACGAGACCCCCAAGTCAGATCTGGAGAGGGTCGTGTCTCTTCGTAGTCCTTGTCGCTTAACCCCCCCCGTCCCGTCCTGGTCGTCCTGATCTCGACTCCTCCTCCTTGAACCTCTTGCCGCACCCCCAACCTCGTCCGTTCCTCGATCAAAACCTCTCTCCCCGTTTTACCCGTGGAGAGCCCCTTCCAACGCTACGCTTCCTTTTTCTCCCCATCCCAAGACCCCGGCAAAAGAGCGGTGTCTGGCGGTGAGATAGCATATCACGAACCAACCTCCCACATCCCCACGAACCCGCCAACCCTATCACCTGGGCTGTCCCCCCTCTTGTCCCATCAGTCACGATGAACAACATGACCTTCAACACCAGCGGAGGAGACGCATTCTGGGATTTGGGAGACGACCAACGGCAACAGTTTCAGCAGTTCACCCACCAGATGTCTTCAAATCAGCAGCACATGGCCTCAACTTCAGGCCACAGCAGTCCCCAGTCCTCTCACGGCGCCATGCCCGCACAACGAATCTGGCCTATGCCCCTCGACATGAGTTCCGGCGCCATCGAGCACTCGAGCCCGCCCGAGTCGCACCACCAGCATCATCACCAGCACCACTCGAGCTCGCCTGCGCAGAGCGCCTCGCCGCTGTCTCAGTCCTCGCCATACCAGCAGCCCGGCAGCATGCTCACCGACTTTGCCTTGCAACAGCACCTGCAACAGCACCAGCAGTCCACGCCCGACTTCTCATCCTACATCTCCGACCCTTTCATGCCTGTGACCTACGACAGCTTTGCCTCCAACTTTGCGCCCATCAACCCCATCAGCTACCTGCCCGCAACAACCCAGCAATTGCCCACCAACTTTTTGCAAGCGGCCGCGTTCAACTCCATGCCGCCCATGGACGACAGCGTCCCCGCCATGACCTGGCCCAACCTTCCCATGGACAACTGGCAAGATCTTCAGGCTGCTGTGCCCCCCATGCAACTTGGCTCCTTGCCGCACACTGTCGGCAGCAGTTCGCCCACCGGCACGTTTCTCGAGGTCCTGTCCCTCGCTAGCTCCAACGAGGGCAGCTGGATCATGGTCGGCGATCAGAACAACGCTGGCAGCTTCAACCAGTTCCAGCAGGCGCAGCAGAACGCCGCCATTTTCAACCCTGGACAGACTCTGCACCTGAGGACAAATTCTGACTCGTCAGACGGCGCCAACTCGTTCGAGCTCGGCAGTTACGAGGAGATCCCGCCTTTCCCCATCTCCCCCTTTTCTCCCGGCTCCGACTCGTACCCTGAGCAGCACGCTTCTCACCGCAGCTGCTACGGCGAGAACCACAACCATCACCATGACACCGTTTCTCCGACTGCCGCCGTCGCCCCCGTGCCCATCCAGACCACCTCGAGCAGGCCGAGCCCCGCGAGCGGCTCTGGTGCCACCTCGCCGCCCATCGTGTCCACGCGTCGCAACTCCGGCCAGCGCAAGAGCCCTACCAGCAAGACTGCTAAGCCTGTCATCCGCCGCACCTCCAACGGCCGCAAGGATGGCTCCGTCGAGAAGAAGGTCGGCCGCAGACGTGGTCCCTTGTCCGAGGAGCAGCGCAAGCAGGCTGGTGAGATCAGGAAGCTGCGTGCTTGCCTCCGTTGCAAGTTTTTGAAAAAGACGTGCGACAAGGGCGAGCCTTGCGGCGGTTGCCAGCCTTCCCACGCCCGCCTTTGGCAGGTTCCTTGCACTCGTATTGACATCAAGGATATCAACTACTTCCTCAAGGGCTGGAAGGTTGACTACGAGCGCCACACCAGCCGCAATGTCTCCGTCTTCAATGTCAAGGGCTTCTCTCCGAACGAGACGTTGATGTGGATCACCCACGGCTACGGCTTCGCCCTGCCGGTTTACGTCCGCGAGGTCTATGTCAACGACGAGAGCGTTTTCCAGGTTGACTGGGTTGAGTCTCATCTCACCGACCAAGAACCTATCGAGTTTGACATTCGCACTGATAGGCTGGATGTCGGCGCCAAGGGCGTTTCCGTTGATGCTCTGTCTGCCTACCTTGACAAGCACATTGACGGGCCTTTCGAGGAGTTTATTGACGACCACTTCGAGGGCACCCCCTTCATCACTGAGATTCTCAAGACTGCTCACCGCTTCTATGTCAAGGAGAAGATGCCCGTCATTCGCAAGGCTCTCAAGCTCGTCCTCGCTTACAACCTGACAATGCACATCACCATGATCCAGCAGCAAGGTGACGAGGCCGGAAGCGACGGACAGATCGATGATGAGGACTCCAAGTTCTACGGCCAGACCGTAGCCCCTGTCATGGTCAACTTCCAGATCAAGTGCGCCCTCGCCGATATGTGGCGTGAGCTGCAGCGTGACATCCTCGAGGAGCTGTCGTCGCTCTACTCGAGCGTCTACAGTGGCGAGCGACTGAAGAACTGGCCCACCATCTTCATGCTCGCCTCGATCCTGCTCGCCGTCTGGGAGGAGATGCAGTTCGACTCTCACTACCGCATGCCCGACCCTGCTGCCGTCAACAAGTTCTGTTCGGACATGGAGACGACGCCCGTTGGTGTCATTGTCGGTCTCTTCCACGCCATCTCACAAAAGCTCCCTGCCTTCACCGAGTGGGACACCGCCAAGCACGGCCACATTCTCAACAACAACACGGCTGTCTGTGAGGCTATGACTGAAGTCCGCGAGCACGTCCGCAAGCATGGTAAGTTGTGCTTCCTCGATCAACACAAAACCAAGACGGACACTAACGGTCTTTACAGAGGACTACCTCCGTGCTCGTCCGGAGTGCACCTTTGACAGGAATGACTTCGACTGCCTGTCGAACAAATTCCTGTCCAAGCTAGTGATCCGCGCCAACTAGGCCAGAACCTGGCCGCACTCCGAAGAAACCCCTTTCGCATAGTGCACAAAGTGTACAATGCTCCTCTGAAGTCGTGGGGTCGACTCATCTACACTATTTCCTTTGTTCTGAATTTGTCTCCAGAGTCACAGCGACGGCGTTGCCACGAAGCATACACGCAAGACGTGTACTGCATTGATTGCTTACGAGCTTTTTAGCCATTCTTGGTCTTCTCTGCCTCCCATCCCATGGTTTGATCTTCTCTTCTCGGCATGCCACCGCATGGATGATATCTGACGAATATGTCACGGCCCTTTTTGACGATTTACTCATTTTACGATCTTCTTCGACGAATGTATGACCAACGGCAGAGGCCAGCGGGAAAAGGGGGGATGACGACCTCGCATGCGGAAGGGCGGCCAGGGTTATTTTTAACGTGCATTATTTTATCATGGGAACGATGATGGCCGGTACGACAGGTACGGAAGCGACGACAGAGCATACACACAATGATGATGATATGCATGGGACTCTGGCGTTTGACAGTCCCCGAGGGACCGCCCTTCATGGACTTATCGAAACTTATTACTAGGCGGACGGGTTTATAGCCATGAAGGCTTCTGCCTATGATTGTATTCAGGCAGCTTGCGTTTATACTCAAAAGCAATTTCTCCCGTCACCTCGACTGTCGCACGAATATGTCGCGTCTGCTGATCATGACTACGCCGGTTCCAATTTTGTGTGTGTTCTTGTCCAGGCAATCGTTGTGACGATGTTGTTAGGCCTCTCGACGGAGTGTCCCAGCAGATCCAGCCTCGCGATTGTATCGTGACATTGTCGTGACAGGGATGCCCGAATCCAACCTTAAACAGGGCAGAGTCAATTGCCAAATATCAGGCACTGCACGGGGTGGCCCCGGCACTGCCGTCGATGTTGCTGCTGCAGCTGTGGCAGCAGCCGCACCAAGTTGCGCAAGTTGACTCGTCATCGGCAAGGCTCATCGAACCTGTCTTCCCAAAATACGCGACCGCCAGCCCCCTTTGTCGCTGGAAATCAGGGTGGGTGCTGGGCCTTGATGGCTCCTGCGCAAGGGAGATGACGTCGTTTCGGGAATTATGTCGTGGCACCCGATGTCGCTTACCCCGCACCTGGGCCTACCGTCAACGAGACACGCCTGAACACTCTTTCGGTCTGAAGTCGCGACCTGATCTGGAGCCTTCATGACATGTACATGTCGGTGCAAATATTGGAGGTATGAGGACGACTTAAGCTCAGGGCGAGGATGCGATCTACGAAGGAGGGGCCTGCCAGAGGCTCTTCGGGTTGTGGTGGCGACAACGTGGTGCTCCCCCGGGACTGTTTGAAGGTCTCTGGGTAAGGGGGGGGGTGGGGGCGCTAGTGTTGTCAGCGTGGAGGGGCCGGATGCGGCGGGGAGGCCGACGGGTGGGTTTTTTTGGCGGCAAGGAATGGGGACCCGAGGGTCGGGGATGGACAACGTCCTTGAGTGCGACATCATGTTTCCGTTGAGATATGCGTGGAGGGCTCGAAATGAAGTGCATGCTTGCTACGGTGCAAGTCCTGAATGCAAAGGCCGAGCATTTGAGCGGACAGCGGTCGCTGCGGATTTGCTCGGGCGAAGGTCAATGGATGACCAGGGTGCTGGAGGCTGGAGACGTCAGGTGAGCTGATAAGGCCAGGGGAGGTTCGTGGCCTCCATGCACGCAGCGGCACAGTCAGTCAGGTACGCCGCCGCCTCTTCAAGGTTGTCGTCTCTGTTACAGAGTGATGCCATGGATAAGCAGTGAATCTCAGGCTTGGCTGTCGATGAGGTCGCTTGGTGGCGAAGCTGGGCATTGGTTCGGTTTTGCCCGAGACTCGTTACCACGTCGTAAATGTTCCGGGTTGGGTCGATGAAGCGTTGAGTGAACGGTTTCCGCCAGCGCTGAGACAGCGGGCCCAGCATGCTCGTTCCAGCCTTCCCCGGATTGAGGGAGGGACGGAGGCCAAAGCCATGGGTCTGATGACCAAATAGTGTCTGATAAGAGAATACTTCCGTTTCCGTGTGTTTCTCACCTTGTTGGCATGTATCTCGCCTCCGATTCTGGAGCCTTCCCGCCCATTCCGGCTAGGCCGACCCACACCTAGCGTATTCCCTGCTGCGCATTGCGCTGATGAATCACAGAGGCCCACCCCCGGTCAAGGCTCACATCACCTTGACTCTTGTCCGTTGCCTCTTGCCTCTGCTACGTGCCTGCCTAGGGACTGACTGCGCCTTCCCCCTCACCTCCCGCCACTGCCTGTGCCTCTGCAACCGCCGCCTTGGTCCCGGCCTCCCAACGCTCAGTAGCCCACCCTATTTAACCACCTCGCCCTCCACCCTGCGACCCAACTGACCTTTCTTCCCTACACCACTACATACCCTCACGAACGTGTCTGTCTGCACCCAAGACATCTCTCATCTCCTCTAGACGACATTCTACCCATCTCCATACCCCCTCGCTACACACTCGCGAATCCGTCACCATGCAGATTTTCGTCAAGACCCGTAAGTTCTGCCCGAAACCTGCCACCGCAGGACCAGTCTCGCCATATCTGTTTACCTAGTACTGACATGGTCCTTTCACAGTCACCGGCAAGACCATCACCCTCGAGGTCGAGTCTTCGGACACCATCGACAACGTCAAGTCGAAGATCCAGGACAAGGAGGGCATCCCTCCCGACCAACAGCGCCTGATTTTCGCTGGCAAGCAGCTTGAGGATGGCCGCACCCTGTCTGACTACAACATTCAGAAGGAGTCCACTCTCCACCTTGTCCTCCGTCTTCGTGGTGGTATGCAGATCTTTGTCAAGACTCTGACCGGCAAGACCATCACCCTTGAGGTCGAGTCCTCGGACACCATCGACAACGTCAAGTCGAAGATTCAGGACAAGGAGGGTATTCCTCCCGACCAACAGCGCCTCATCTTCGCTGGAAAGCAGCTTGAGGATGGCCGCACCCTGTCCGACTACAACATCCAGAAGGAGTCCACTCTGCATCTCGTTCTCCGTCTCCGTGGTGGTATGCAAATCTTCGTCAAGACACTCACCGGTAAGACTATCACATTGGAAGTCGAATCATCCGACACGATCGACAATGTGAAGTCTAAGATCCAGGACAAGGAGGGTATTCCTCCCGACCAACAGCGCCTCATCTTCGCTGGAAAGCAGCTTGAGGATGGCCGCACCCTGTCCGACTACAACATCCAAAAGGAGTCGACCCTGCATTTGGTTCTCCGTCTGCGTGGTGGACAGTAGTTGGGCACTGGATAAGATGTCTTTGCATGATTTTGAATGGCGTTCCGGAATTCCCCTTGATGAACAGGGGAACATGGGCATACCTTAGGCCCCTTATTGAGTAGACATGAACTGCTCACAGCGCTGAATTGCGCTCAGAATTGATAACCGTTCAATCTGCCTGATTTGCTCCACTTGTGATTTTGATGTACGACTGATGATGACGATGCACACTAAAAGGCCCGCAACGTTCGCCCCTTGCGGTTCAGTGGAGTCGACCTGTGATCCCCATTTTGAACGCTAGCAGTCTGTTCGGAACCAGACCTCCCAAGTTGTGATATGTTGTATCACCCTCTGAACGAACCGTATGAACAAATGAGTCCCCCTGATACTGCTTCAGTCGATTATTCATCACGTAATGCATGTCAGCGGGTAGTTTTGCCAAACCAGGTCTAGATTCGAGTGATGGTGAGAGAGCCTTGTCTGCCTCCAAGGAACTAACGTGTAAATCATCAACCTCGGTGCCTAGTAGTATTCGAGTAGATGATGCCTATATGGCCTTACAGGTCACTTGCACTCGTCCCAACTCAACGGCTTCGACAGCGCGTGATCGTGGGCCAGGCGTACGGAGTCCTGAAAACGCCAAGATTGTCTTGGCGGAGGGGCTGGTGAGCCGGGGGGATACAATGGTGGGGTCCTGCACGGCAGACCCGTTCCTGGGAAGTTTCCCCTCCATCGCACAAGACACGCCGTCTCGCAACCCTTGTGTTCTGCGCGCGACGGCTCGATTATCGGAACTGTCTCCGGCATGTGCCACTGCTGGTTTCCGTGGCAAGGAGCTTCAATCGAGCGACGACTTCCTCCGTGACGCGTAGACGCGTCGACTTCCTGCACCAAGCTTTCCCTTGGTAGCCATCATTACGAACAATATCCAAACCGAACATCTTTCGAACGATCCGACAGCAGCCACTTGCGGCTGCATAGCATCACGAATCGCTGAGCATCTGCGACTCTCGAAACCGTTAGTCTGCTTGCTAGCTACCTGGCTGGCGATGCCGTCGTACTTTTATCACTTAAAATTCGAGCTCTACCCGACGCCCAACCCTACGACAAGCCTGCAGCGACCGACACAAGGCAGCACAGCAGCGAGCAACATCTGGCTTCCTCCGCCCGGCACCGACATCTTTGGCGAGCTTCCCTCACATCCTCCTCGTACTACACGAACGAGCCGAACCGGAAGACCGCAGCCTTCACCCGTCCAGTCATCATACGGCACAGCGTATCGAACGAACAACGCAGCCCAGAAGCGAGCCAGCGACGACAGCGAGGAACCCGGCCTGCACATCATCGACTGCGGACTTTCGCGCGCCCCCGTCAAAGCCGACAACGGCAAGGACGTCGAGGTCCTCACGGCGCGGCAGTGGAAGGCGAGAACGCAGAGCTTCCCGCCACCGCCCGCGTTTGCGGCCATCCGACCCGACGCCGCCGTGCAAGATTGGCGCTTCGGCCGAGTGAGCGTCGAGAGCCTCGAGCAGCAGAACACCAACAGCGCAACAGACATGGAGGAGGCCGCGGGGTCGTCGGGCGAGCGGCCGTCGGCTGCCACGGGCATCGGCCCCATGTTCGGCGGCGCGGGCAGCATGACCATGGCGAAGCTCCTGCCGCTCGACACGACGAATACGGAGCTCGGATGGGGCGTCGTACACTTCTACCGCGAGCAGGACGACAGCCCGAGCTTGCGGAGGCCCATCACGGAGCAGCAGACGGGCAAGGACGGCGATTGTACGACGGTCTGCATACCTGCCATTCCGAGCTACTGGTCGTTTCATGACTTGCTGGGCTTTATTGGCGAGGAGTGGAAGGAGAGCATCAGTCACTATCGACTTGTGACGACGGCGCAGATGAACCGATATCTTGTCCTCATGAAGTTTCGGGACGGTCAGAAGGCGAGGGCATGGCAGAAGGAGTTTGACGGAAAACTGTTTAACAACATCGAGGTGAGCATCACCATCATCCCAAAGACTGAACCGTACCTCGCTAATATGTCTGTCACAGGCGCAGGTATGCCAGGCTATATTCATCAGGTCGATCACTTTCGAGACACCTACAAGACCGGATGGCGCGTTTCCTGACTTGAGCCGCGATCCGTTTACGCCCTCCTCCGCCGTGTCGAACACCCTCAAGCCGTTTCCGCCGCCGACACCGAATCTTATCGAGCTGCCGACATGTGCTGTATGCCTGGAACGCATGGACGACACGACGGGCCTCATGACCATCTCATGCCAGCACGTCTTCCACTGCAAATGCCTCGACCACTGGCAGGGCTCTGGCTGTCCCGTATGCCGGCACACCAGCAGCAAGCCCGCATATGATCCGTCAAACCCCTACACTCAGCCGTTTGGCTCCTCGGTTTCGAACCTCTGCAGCGTCTGCGATACCGCCGACGATATCTGGATCTGTCTCATTTGCGGCAAGGTCGGCTGCGGCCGCTATAAGGGCGGCCACGCGAAAGACCACTGGAAGGAAACAGCGCACAGCTTTGCCCTCGAGATGGAAACGCAGTACGTCTGGGACTACGCCGGCGACACCTGGGTGCACCGTCTCATCCGCGACAAGGGCGACGGCAAGGTCGTAGAGCTCCCGGGCACCACCAGCCAGCAGGCCGGCCTGTCCAACGGCGGCGACGGCTCAGGTCAGCAAGATGACGTCGTGCCCCGCGCCAAGCTGGACAACGTCGGCATGGAGTACACCCACCTCCTCACCTCGCAGCTCGAATCGCAGCGCGTCTACTTTGAGGAGATGATCAGCAAAATCGCAGACAAGGCCGCCAAGGCGACGAGCACGGCCGACTCGGCGCTCCAGCAGTCCAAGGCCACGACATCTGAAAATAAACAGCTGCGCGCCGAGCTCGACAAGCTGCGGCTCGAGACGGTGCCGCAGCTCGAGCGCGACGCCGAGCGAGATCGCAAGAAGGCGGAGAAGGCGCAGGACCTCGCTCGCAGCCTCGGCAAGGCGCTGCAGGAGGAGAAGGAGGTCGGCAAGGGACTCATGAAGCGCGTCGAGCATAACCAGGCCGAGGTCGAGGCGTTCAGGGCGCGGGATGCTGAGCAAAAGGAGAAGATTGCCGAGCTCGAGGAGATGAATCGAGACCTCAGCATGTTCATCTCTGGGCAGGAGAAGCTCAGAGAGATGGAGGCCGAGGGGCAGGTTGAGGCTGGCGAGTTGGCGGAGGGCAGCGCCAGCGTGCCGGAGAAGAAGGGCAGGAGGAAGGGAAAGAGGTGATTTGGGGGCTAGGGGTGGCATGCATAGCGAGGCGTACATGAGGAGATGAGAATGATATCCACTGTTTAACGCTGCAAATGTGTGTGGTTTGACCGTCCTGGAGGCATCATTTCTTGTGACGTCCCGTCATACCTTGTTCAAGTTGTCAAGGAATAAATGAATGTACTTGATGAAGTTCATTGCAAAATGGAGGAGAGCAAGGACGAGTCTCAACAAATTGACAGGTGTGCGAGGAAGTGAACTAAACGAAGTATCGAAGCGCTTCGCTAAACAGATTCAAAATCAGGCTGTGGCCTGTCTTCATCAGAACGCAATCGACTCGCCCGGTATGGAGATTCTGCCCTCAGCAATGGTCACACCTCCACCTATCAAGTCTACCTGGCGGATGTCCCCGCCCTCTGTCTCCTCCAGCGACAGTGCAACCTTGATCAGACACCTTCTTCCAACTCTCAACCCCTGGTGAACTTCAATCTGGGCGGCACCGTCGACGAGTTCCAATTCTCCATGCTCATGAAGATAAACTGACAGGGGTCCGGCCGCACTGCCAGTCGCCGGATCTTCGCCAGACATGCCTGGGCTGAAGAATCTGGCTTCATACGTATTCGCGCCCACTCGCGTGAACAGGAACAGCCCATAAGCCCGCTTGTCGACGAGAGCCAGCTGCTCCAGGAGCTTGTCCCTCTGCACGACTGCCTTGTTCAGAGCCTCCACAGAGGCGAGCGGGACGAGAAGGTGATGGGTTGTCGAGGTGGACGTCACCTGAGGGGGCAACAGGCTACTGCTGTTGCTGGCGGTAAAGCCGATATCCGCCTCCGTCAGCCCGAGGCTCTCGGCCAGCAGAGCTCGGTTGGGATGGATGCCGTGGACTTTGGGCGGGGCCTGGCGAAGGAAGACTTCATAGTCGTTCTTTTGCTCAGGCTTCTTGATACGGCGGATCTTGAGGGCGATGACCTCGCCTCCGAGCTCCTGGTGGAACAGAAACGTTTCAGATCCGTCTTCGTGCGTCTGGCTGAGGTTGGCGGAGGTGAAATTAAGAAGCCCGCTCTCGGCTAGGTACCACCACACACCCAGGATGTTGTGGCCGGCACCATAAACTTCCCGCCCATCGGGCAAGAAAGACCGCAGGCGGTAATCTGCTTTCTCTTCGGTGGCTGGCAGGATAAATGACGTCTCAGAGAGGTTAAACTGTCGCGTGATCAATTGTTGCTGGGTGGTCGTGAGCACCTGAGAGGTGGCGTCCACGATTGCGAGAGGATTTCCTTGATAGGGCGTCTGCGAGAAGATGTCGGCAATTGTAAACTGTAGGGAAGCCATCGTGCGAGTAGTCCTTTGGGGGTTTGAGTACTTCAGCGGTCGTGTGGTCAATGTCTTCTTGTATTGCTGTGCATTTGGTACCGATGAAATACGAGTAAGTGGGAGTGGCGATACATTGTTGGTATCGCTGATACAAGTCAAACTATTTATGTTGAGATTTGCGCGTCTTTGGTATTCAGTTGGGAAGTTGTCTCATGGCGGATGCAATTGTCATTCTCGCGATGAGCGATCAAGCTTGTATTTGTAATCGCGAAGGGCGCGCCTACAAACGATGTGACATGTCCCCTTCTGGCAAGAGCGAGCATTTCCTGACGAACCACCACGATTTGTCATGGCGTCTGCTCGTGTCGTGATATTGTGGCTTTTTTACAAATGCGTCGGGACTTGGTGTGAAATCAGAAGTTGTATCTGATGTACAAGCTATGGGCACCTTAACATCGATGGTGCGATTGCTTCTCAGTTGCATGGCCGATGAAACCACACGCTTCAGCTTGGCACCACTGACATGAGCATGTTGATTTCTTTCGGCATCATATTACAGCCTAATCGTCGCTCTCAACACATGAAAGTCCTCATCTTCGGTATTCTGAGCAGGTCCAGTAACATCGTATGCTCGTCTGGGCAGAACCAAGTAGTGGTGCAATCTCAACCTCGTCTTTTGAACGGAGACAGCCTTTAGAGCTGCTCTGAGGCATCGTGAAAAACGACATCTTGGTCGTCAGAGGTGCCTCTCACATCCATCTCGTTTGGGAGAGCTTGCCGCATCTCGGCAGTGGCCTTTTCCACAGACTCCAGCAGAAAATAGAAGGCCACACCAAGTTGTGGGCTTCTATCAGTGCGCTGCAAGAACAGAGCCTCGGCTGTTTCTCCATTCACTGTCGCTTCCGAGTCAACGCCGGCCAGTCCATGTTATGCCAAACACGCCATGGTCGCCTCGTTTGCCAACACAGCAGCAAAATGCAAGATGTTTGTTCCATCAGGTAATTCTGCCTCATAGTCTGCCCCTGCGGCGAGCAGCAGCCTGCATATTAACTGCTGCACACTGTGGGCAACCGCGTAGTGCAGCGGTGTAGCTCCGGCCCTATCGCGAGTATGAACATTGACGCCAAGATCAATAAGATACTCAACTGTATAGAACGAATTATGCTGGAGTCCTACCATGAGTGGCGTGCTGAATGGTGCAGCTGGCTCGTTCGGGTCGAGTTCATACTCTTCAACAAGAATCTGAACCAAGTCAACCCTGTCGTGAATGCATGCAGTATACAAAGCACCCCTCGTCTGTACTCGGATATGCGCACCCATTTTAATAAGATCCCTCAATATATCGGGCTCTATCCGGGCTATTGAGACTTCCAAGGCTGTAAGACCGCAATTGTTCGGGACGTTGACATCGATGCCATATCGAACAAGAAGCACGATGGCTTCTTTGTGGTTGCTAATTGCGGCTCAGTGCAGCGGTGTAAAGCCAACTTCAGCTAGGCCACTTATCAGAGAGTCCCAGGGGGGTAAGTTTGCCAGTGCAGACTGCAGATCACCCTGTTGTATCCCAAGTATTATCTTCGTGATCCGCGACAGATCTAGGTTATCGATTAGCGTAGCGATGGGAAATGCTTCTGAGATGGCGAGATCGAATGCAGTAGCAGACCGTTGAAGCAACATATTTGCAGCAACCATGCTTCCCGGAGCGATTCTTAAATCGTTCTCTTGCTGCACGTTACAACCGCTTCAAATAAGGAGCGTGACCAAACCACCGTCAAAACAACGAGATTTTCCACCGGTCAAGTGTAACGCGGTATCTCCAGTACTCGGCACTTGGCTGAATGCTGCCTCCGGGTTGTCAATCAGAATACGCCGTGCTTGATCATAATTTCCCAGAAATATAGACACCAACAGGGAATCACGTACGAGAGGGGGCCTCTGCGTTAACCGGAGCTTGACTTTCGGGACGAGGCTTTCGTGATGTGTTTGAATCATGAGATGCATGAACAGACCAATGAGCCACTGAGGAAATTCATATCTGAATTTGTATGTTTTGGACTCAAGGCGAGTGCACCCACCCACATCGCATGGAGGTGCCCAGGTTGGAAGAGCAGTATCAGATGCGAAAAAGAGGCCCACGTTTTTGCGGAGAAGTCGCGATGTACTCCAACGTGACTGGGTTGCGTTCACAAGGTGGCATGAGCATACGCAAGAGCGCTTGCACGAGCCGTTTCGGTACGAGAGTCAGATGCTAGAGCTCGCGGCAGCCGATGGCAATGATGTTCCTGGCGCTAAAGTAGACTCCTCTGCATGCCCTGCTGACATATATTCTCTGATCTTTGGTTTAAAGGTATTGGCTATAGCTGTCTTTGACGATGTTTGTCGATTGGAAAAGTGCTCGATGCCGGCGAGGACGCGCGTGAGTACTCCGTAAAGGGTTTCGAACGTTTCACGCCCCTGATCTTGTGCAGTGTTCAGGTCATTGTGGACAGAAACCAACTCCATTTTGATACGTAAACCTTGTTTCCTGAGATTATCAGAATCAGCATTTAACCAGCCCGGAAAACCAGACTCCAGACAAGCCGAGGGAGGGGGCAAGATGGACCCATTGAACACATCACAAAGCATCCTTATGCTGCGATGAGTCTCTTTCAGGCGATTCCTCTCAAGAATAACCGCATTCTTACGTCGAATCCACCAATGCCTCATCTTTGAGATTTCTTTCAGATTGTCGTCGTTCAGCAGACGTTCCAAGGAACCCAAACATGCATCAGCTGACACCAAGTGCCGCTCAAGACTTTTGGACAAGTACTCCTGTGAGCAGCCGTCAGCAGCGTCGCATATATCTCGTGTATAACAGAGAAGGACCCTGAAGTCGGTAATTTCGTTTTGAAGCTGGAGTATTTCATGCGGTGCGTTTTTCCAGGCCTGACGGAGGGATCGGAGTCTTTTCGAGATGCGACTACCAACGTCGAGGACGCCGATCACACCAGCAAGGATGCCGAATGCTTCGGTCATACTGGTATGGTAACTGAGTTTCGTTTGGAGTAAAATTGCCAGAAGTGGAACGCTTTGCTCGGACAAGAGGCAGGCTCGTAGGAGCGAAAAGAACAAGGCTGTCACGCGTCGAACCGAGACGCTGCAGCCTGACTTTGGGTTAACTTAACGGCCTGATACACGTGAGCCATCTGTCAGCTTAAGACTAATACCGACCTATCGCAGCCCGAAGAAGTATTCATGGTACTTGGGAGGATGACCCTGGATGCCTCACGGTTGAGCCGCAGCCGGATAACCAAGACTTCCACGACTGTGTAACTGGATAGTCTGATGAAGACATATGAACATGCTATTTAAGCCACATTAAGAAGTAAGTATGCGACGTGTATTTGTCGTGGAATGGGTGTCTTCTCGACAGAGCTCTAGCCTCGCCAGCGTTTCACGGTCTATAAGGGCTATTGTTGAAGCACATAGTAACCAGGTTCGGTGGTGTAGTTGGTTTATCACGTCAGTCTAACATCTTCCCTCGCTTTGAGTCAAGAGTTCACTGAAGGTCGGGAGTTCGAGCCTCCCCTGAATCATTTTTGTTGTTATGATGTCCCGCATGAACTTTTGCCAACCCATGAACATTTGACATCCCAAACGTTGCGCAAGACTCCTAGCCAAGGATTAGTTCCCGCGGCGTTCTTGATTGACTGTGCGATCGATACCTCGTCAAGTAGCCCCAGGGAGATTTCAGTGCAGACATTGCAGTGTTCTTTTCCGTGTTGGCTAGAAAACACTTAACGCGGCAAGTTCGCATCTCGAACACTGTCAATGAGAGGTTCACTTTATCTGATCTCGGTTGCTCATCACTTTGTCGTCTCTATTCCATCCTGTCATCGCCCGATGCGCCATGAGCCCCATACTCGTTGCTATATACATTCAATGTCTCCCACATAGATGGAGAGGGAGATTACCCCAGAGATCGCCCTGCGTACCATGAAAAATATCATACAAGTCATGCCAAAGCCCCAAATTGCCCCAAATTCAAATCATACCGTGTGCTTCATGCAAATTCCATCCTACTCATTATCGCCGCTGTCGCAGGCTATCCGTCTTCTCACAGGGGTATCGATATCGCCCTGCCTTGTCTGCTCGCAGCTCATGTGAGCCGAGACTGATATTTCATTTTTTCGCTTCGCTTTTTTTTTTTTGGTCATCCCTCGTCCTCGCATCGTTTAGTCTGCTAGCTCACTACTGCTCCCGCTGGAGCCGCTCGTGACGCTCATGCTGCGGCGGGCTTGGTGGACGAGACGGTAGATGCCAAAGGCGACGAGGGCGAGGACAACAAAGAGGACGATGACGATGATGGCGATAGTGTCATTTGGTTTCGTCATGTTGGCGGTCTTGTGTAGTTATGGAGGTTGCGGAATGGGCTGACGGAGAGCTTTCGCGGGGTTCGATTGAGGGGTTGCGGAGCCTTGGAGCTGGTGTGGAGGCGGAGTGTATGCGTGTGTCTCAGATGGTATGGTTATGGCAGTTGAGTGTCGTATGTGGTATTGAAATAGCGAGAATATGATCGAGGACTGAGTCTCAAATGTTAGAAACTCCATCAAGATCAGACTGATGTCCTGGAGAAAGGCAGACTCACGATCTGGACTCGTTGGAAGCTGTGGTCGCACGCTGTAGGCAAGCTTCAAGCGGGGCCTCTGTGAGCTGCTGGTATGTATGTGTAGCTCGTTGATGCTGTCAAACGCAAAGAAGCAAGTCGAGGAATTTCGGGTATCGCTGAAGTCGTGGAATAGTCCCGCTGAGCACAATGTATTGTCAGGTAAAGGTACCAGAAGAGAGGAATGTGTCTGACGGCACAACGGTGGACAGAGAGTATTAATGGGCTGTTGCCCCGCCACCGGCTTTTGGGCAAGTCAATAAAATGGCAAGGCTGGGGGCGCTGGTGCAGGGGTGCTTTTGGGGGGCAGGGCGGGACTGGCACAGGCCTGATAGGGTCCACATCAGCACCCTTGTGTGGGTCTGTCTGCCCAGCCTCTGCGTTTCAAGTACCTTGCCAGCCATTTTGTGTGCGCAGATACTCCCACACGCGACCGCGCCAACCAACGCGTCTACAGCCAGGCTCCCTTTACCATGCCATCATCAGGCGCCATCGACTGGTTGGATACGTAGGGTTTGCTGCCACCGCTTTCAAGTTTTTGATCATTGACTGCCTGACGCATCCATATTCGCGGCCCGCGAAACCTTACAGGCCTTATTCTATCCTCAACAGCCTCAATATTACTGCTTGAGAGGAAGTAAGGCACGAAGAACAGGCAAATGTGCACGCAGGATCCCACATACAACTACATACATACCCAACCGCGCGTCGACTTGAAAACCAGAAGAGACTGCGCGAACATGGCACAGCTACCAGTTGCTGGTTGCAGCCAGCGCGACAAACCCATGCGCCGGCGCCGCAGATCTGTGTCATAGCTCTTCGTAAACTGTGCACTTATTATTTCAGCTCGGTATCTGTCGTGCCCGTAGCTGTCTTGATGATCCGAATGTGGCGCTCGTAGAATTGAAGCATCTGCGGAGAACATGTCAAAATCACGGCTCGCCCCAAGGAAACATGGGACCGTACCTTTTGAGGACAGCGCTTATAGATGACGTCGGTCGTGTGCTTTGTCTTCTGGCCGTTCTTCCAATTCAGGTACACAATCAGCTTGCCCGTCTCCTCGTCCTCGCATGCATCAATTGTGGTGACGTCGTCTTCCCAGCTACCGCTCGGCGGCTTCCAGGTGTTCGCTGTGGCGCTTGCTGGTGGTGTGCTATCGGACGGGTGGTCGCGGCTCTTGCGCGCGCGTTTTGACGAGGCTGCTGGTGTGCTAGAGGCAGGGCGTCCGCGCTTCTTGGTCTCCTTTCCCTTGCGGGATTCCTCAAGGATCATTGCCCGCGAGCCGACCGACTTGTAGTATTCGGCGATGATCTCTGGTGCACCCTCGCTACCCGCAGCTGTAAGTCACATGTAGACCCGAAGCAGCTCCGCCTCGGGGGTGGGATACGGTACGTACGTCAGGTTCGATTCGGGTTCCCACGTCTGGTCGGCTTTCTTCGAGTAGCCCTCCCACTTTACTTTGAAGAAGAGCTGATCCTGTGTTGTGTTATCGAATGATTCAAGCACGACGGAGGATTAATTGAGAAATACCCCTTCTTCAACCTTGTGCGAGATAATTTTTTCGACGATGAAACTGTAGCATCCAGAGTCAGCCGGGCCGTTCGTTGCAGCGACGATGTGGACTTGTGCATACACCTCCTCGTCTCCGTCTTCCTCGTCATCATCCTCGTCATCTCCCTCCTTATCGTCTGCCACGTCCTCGGCATCTCCATTCTCGACCGGTTCATCATTCATTTCCTCGTCTGACTTATCCGGTGATCTGGACTTCGTGGATCGGTCGCGCGTAGTGGGGACCGGGATATCGAAGTCATTGTCCGATTGCTCGGTGTCGCTGAGCGCTGCAGAGTCAGTCAGTATGCGCTGGGCAGGATTGGGTTCTATCCTCGCGACGCGGCCCAGGAAATCGCGCGCGACCGCCAACATGTCATGGATTGGACGGCGCGACAGCTGTTACGCGACGCGATAGAGTTGCGAAAGGGACCGTGATCGGCTGGCAGATGCGGGCGGCGAGGGAAAGTGCGAGGCCTACCTGGCGGCATCGTGATGGAAGAGTGGGAGCAGGAATCAATCGAGCTGGCGGGGGTCCGGGTGCGTCAGGCTGGCTAGGTCCGAGTGTGATACGATTCCGTTCGGGGTGAATGGAAACAGTGACGGAGTTGGTGGAAGTGCTTCGCGACACGCCCACCATGTACACGCTTAGAAGGTTCGGCCCACACCATTCTGGGAGAGCTCTGTCCAATGAAAGCACCGGGACTTTTTTCGGCACCGGCATAGCTTTGAGGCAGCACGCGACGGCTCAGCACAGTCTTGAGAATGGGTCCTGTGGGGACTACCAGACCAACAGAACAGTCGGAATTGTCGCACACTTTCTATCCTTGTAGTTCGTCACGGGAAGTCGTCTTTAGCCTTCATAACGTGGTTCTCTAGGTATGTGCTCCAAGACTTTCCTCCACGGTGCTGCTTTGCACATTAGTCTCTGCCGAAATGACGAGAAAAGTCAATCGCATCTGCCGCCGGCAGCACCATGGCTGTCATGGGGAGAACTTGATGTGACTGCCCTCATACGGACCATCAGATAAGACAATTTTATCATGGCGCATAGCAGGGACACAGGCGAGCCACGACGTTGATCGACAAAGTGATTGCACGTGGAAGGCCAGAACATGGATTCCATCACTCATCTCCACTGCTTAGACAGCCTGCTGTCTTCATAAGGCTAAGTATTTTATCCGCCAATTACTGTGACTTGTTATTTTCGCCCTCTACTTCGGAGAACAATTGCAACTTCCGCTTGTTTTCTGGTGTTTAGGCTATCATCTCCTCTGAAACTGGACGAAGCTTCCCACTTTGCATGAACCATTCCGCTGCACAGACATGGTCGGTGATGACACATCTTCCCTGTCGGCTTGTGGCCAGCTCGATCTGTCGAAAGGCCATGTAGTAGATCGATGGGAGACATCTCGGCATCTTCAGCTGATCTCACTCTGAGCCGATGCTCTCCGAGCATCAAGTCTTACGGGGGAGGTAGGGATCCGACCCCATTACGTTCACATGCGATCCTGTCCAACAGATCCTGCACCCTGAGAGGCATGAGCTAGCAGTCTGCTGCTCCAGTTGATCCAGCACGATGCTTCCAGATTTGTAAGACCTGCCGAAAACCACGAGCTTGCCCGAGGCATCGTGCCGTTCTTTTCTGTTGGCGATCCTTCGCCCGGGAACAAACGGCCGATCTCCTTGCTCGATTCTTCAGGTCAGTACGTTGTCTGAAACTTAAGGCCCGAATGTGGAAGCTACCTGCCGCATTCATAGCCTTCGAGTCCCGAGGAGAAGGGCCGGCCCTGAAAACTCAGCCTCACCCGGCTGCATGTGCGATCGACTCCCAGCTCAATCTCCCCCTGAGGGCCCGGATTCACATGTAACGAAAGGGTTCGCACCGGAAGGTTTGGATGCTGTCATCAGCTGCCGGTGCGAACTCTACTGCTGGTGGCATATTCCAAGATCCGGGCTGGCTCCGGAGGTCCCTGAGAAACGGGCCCACAATGCAACCCCCTCAGCCGTTCCTGAAGCGAATAGGCGTTACTAGCTCAAGACGAGAGAGAGATAAAACAAAAAAAAAATATGGGCGCATTGCGACCTGGTGTGCAGGACGCCGCCTACGAAGTGCAGCGATGGTAATCAAAGGTCCTGCAGCGCGAAAGGGGCGGCGCCGATTAAGGACCGCAAGCCTTCAGAAGCAGTTGGGACGCTACAGCACAGGCGCGTCTTGGCTTTGGCTTGAGGGTACATTGGGGCGCTCTCATTCCCGCCCACCCCCACGGGCGTTAATCGCGGCTCGGTTGTGTGTTCGAGGATGGGCGGCGCGACTGTGACTGGTGAGGGTCGAGACGGGGAGATGGACGGCGCACCGAGACCTGATCAAACAAAAATGTGGTGCGCTCGCGGTGGGAGGGGGGTTGACAGCAGCAAGTGCGGGAGTGAGATGAGGGGGACGCACCACGGGTGCGGTACTGCCTACTAGGTAGGTAGGCTCGTTGGTGGATTCAGGGGGTGTTGGAGGAGTCGGACTGCGGGCCCGATAGGGCAGGGAAATTGGCTCGGGAGATCTGATGACAGAGTCAGCATGACGAGCTGCCGTCCTGACAACACTGCAATTCCTGAGCAAAGTCGTCGCTTCAGGTCAGATCAAGACTGATTGCAGCTCGAAAAAACCGAAGCCGAAATAGAAGCCCCCCACCAGTCCCCTGCAACCTCTCTGATGCTCTAATGATATGCCGGAGCATCATAACCCCCTGACTATCTGGACTGGCCTTGGGGGGACTTTGGTCTTCACGGTGGACGTGGATGTGATGAGAAGAACAAGAGGAAGAGGCAGGCCTAGCTGGATCGGAAGCCCCCATCTCATCGGTGGAGACCGGGCCTCTCAGGAACCGAAGAAACGAGTCCGGGTACGACGGCCGTGGACCGGAAGCCAGGATCAAGCAGCACAACCCCTGACTGGCAGCTGCTGGCGTACCCAACGGGATCACGCCCCCGGTGAAGCCGCCCAGCTCACTTTCCGTCCTTACAGGATGCATATGCAGCCTGCAGCTCGAGGCATTCATCGTTTGTGGTCAATGAATGATGTAGGAGAATTTGCCGCGACGAGCTGCGCGTGGCAAGATGAGGATAGGCCCGGCGTCCATGGCGAGCCGAGACGCGGATCGGGCTGGAGATTCAGATGGCAAGTGTGAGGAAGCGTGTCCTGACAAAGACCTAGCTCTCCGAAGAACGAAGAGCCACCACCAGGGCATGCGTGTCGTGCGAACAGCGCTAAGGCGAGTGGTCTGGGCCTGGGCCGACAGCTAGTTTCAAGGATCATATGGAGGCCAGATACCCAGGTAGGTAGGACGGGAGGGGTTGAGCAAGGTACAGGCGGCGGTGTTTTGGGCGACAGAACCCAATTTTGGACGCTCAATGACCACAGGCAACGTCCAGTCTGGTAGTTGATGCTGGCTGCTGACGAGAAGAAAAAGAGTTCCGATTCAGGGAAGCTTGGATATATCTAAACCTGGCACATCTGGCAGGGCAAATATAGGGGCAGGCATTGTAAGTATACCATCGGCAGGAAACCGCTCATCTGTCCGTGCCTTTTGTTTCCTCCGACGAATTGGCCGTGCCCTGCCTTACCGTGCCTACCTGCTTAGGTACCTACCTTGATTATAAGGTAGGGACACCCAAGAGTCAGGAGCCGCCAGGCTTACGGTAGGTTCCTACATCCGGAGGGTGCTGCTTAGGTCTATGTCGCCGAGTCGGGCCTGGAGCGAACCTGGCAATTGAGTGTGCCCTGAAATACGGAGGGGGCTTCCAGATTCACAGTGGCCCTGTTCCCTGTAGGATCTCCCACTTCAGCCACTGAACGATTCATCCGCTACTTGCCCCGGCGCTGTCCGTGCTGCCAATGGCCGGGCGCGCCAATGAATCTTGGGGAAAGGGGTAGGGGGTAAAGGGGGGAGGGCTCGAGAGGGAAAGAGGGGGGAAGAAGACCCCTGCACCCGTGCTTGCCTCTAGCAGCTCCAGTACCTTACCTAGCGCCAGGTGGTTTGGGCAACTGCTACCGGTGGAGGTGAGCACCCACCAGTCGTTGTTCCTTCCTTTTTTTTCTGGGCGGGTGGGACCCCTGGCGCTTGCTCTCGACCAAAAACTGCAGAGATAATTAAAACCGGGTGACATTTGAGAACCAGCCCAACCTTCTTCCCCTTTACCCTGCTTCCCCTGTTCGTCGTCTTTTCGCTGTTGCGACACTTTCCCTTTTCCCCCAAGAGGCATCAGGCGAGAGAGCGAGAAAGAGAGAAAGAACAGAGAGAACCAGAGCGAGCAATTGACGACGGCGACAGCCAACGCGAGCTGTCCTGACCTGACAAGCTTGAGTATATCGCTCTGCCCCAGTTCCCCTCCTTTAAGCTAGGATCTCGTGAAAGCTCCTCCCACCAGCTTGACCTCCGACTCGGACCTCTCTCCCCCCTCGAAGCCTCTTCTTCTCGACACTCTTTTATTCTTCGCTCTTTTCCCCCCAAACCTCCGTGCCGTTGCGCACCCCACGCTCGTTTATTCTTTCTCGACACACCTATGCACCTCGACTTTCCTGCTCCCCGGGAGCTGTTGCAAGTGTCCACTCGCGACTCAAAAAGCCAGCCTCGATCCGATATCTGATAGCATCCGTCTAGCTGCCAGAGCCATATTCTCCCCAAAACCAACAGCTGAGCATGGACGACACTGTGAGCAACGCAGGTAGCAGCAACACCCCGAAATATCATGCGCCCAAGGACAAAAGTTGCCCCTACTGCGGGCAGGCCTTCACATCCTCGTCACTAGGACGCCACCTCGATCTCTACATCAAGACCAAGAACCCTAAACCTCCAGATGGCATCCACGATGTCGCGGAGATTCTGAAGTTACGAGGCAACATTACAAGACGCACACAGCGAGCCTCGATGGGAAGGGCGGCATCCACACCAACCGGCACACCTAGGATACGGACTAAGAAGGAGCCGTCTGGCAAGGATGGAGACTCTCACAAATCCCCCGTTCTCCCCAAGGATGGCCAGTACATGGTTGATTCGCGCCTGAGCAAGTACTCCTCCGCATTTGGTCCGCCGACATGGGAGGCGACTGGTGTCATCAACAGCATTCCCAATAAGACGCCTGACATCTCTCAGGGCGGCGAGGGCGATGGTTTATTGGATACTGGCAAACGGCCTGGCATGCAGAGACAAGTGAGCAAGCAAGTGCTGCAGAAAGCTCAGTTTGATGTGAAGCATAGACTGGCAGATGCCATGGATACAGCCAGAGCCGCGGAATTGGCGTTGCGGGAGGTCCTGGGCTCATGGCGGGCAGCTAAGTATGTCGTCAAGATGAGACCAACACGAGGCTGAGAACTGACTTTCCAATAGGCAGCATATCGACAACGATTCCATGCCGTTCGAGTTTGATCCATTGTCCATGGACTTTCCCTCCTTGACGCTACAGTGCCTGCAACCACCCCCAACACTCTTCTCTTCAACACAGCACCCCACGTCTACGTCGTGGTCAGTTCAGTTTCCTGGCCAAAGGGAGTTTGACGCGCTCCGTGCCCACTTCCAGGAGGAATTCAGAGCGTGGAAGGTGACTTGCGCTTCGGCGACAACCGCTGTAATGGAGGAGCTGACTTATCCGCCCCGCGAGGGACCTTATCGAGACGCTCGTGAAGCTGTCAAGAAGGCTGAAAAGCAAGCCGAGACGCTGGAACGGCAAGTCAACGAGCATTTGGAGTCGGCATATGCTGTATGGGACTCACTCCCCGTGGCAAGGCGAAACGAACTCTGGGTGCTTGAGCTGGCCAGAAGCGTGGGAAGGAAGCAGAAAGAGACTGAAGCGCTGAAGAAGACGCAGCATAAGATGAAGCAGGAGAACACCAACCTCAAGGCGCAAATCGAACAACTCAACCGCCTCCAGCAGCCTCGCGAGTTCAAGATTGTAACGCCTACTACGATACCTCTTGAGCCCGAGATTCTCTCGCACATTCTCGAAGCCGGCGTCAGGGGAGGTCGTGGTGTCGGTCTTAATTCCGACGACCGTCATTTGGACCTCAACGAGGTCATCGCACGATCAATCGAGCGATGGAAGACGGTGATCACGTCGTCTCGCGTCTCCTCCGCTGGCATGAGCGCCCAACGACCTCTCGATGCATCCTCGGCTGTTACTCCCGCAGCCACACCCGTACCTGCTCAACGCCAACAACCTGTCGTGCAGCAGACTCAGGAAACACCGCAGACAACCAGACCGCCTATGCCACCGCAGCGACAATCTACTACGACAAGCGCCACCGGCATGAGTGAGCAAGAGGCATCATCAACAAGCGGCCCGCCATCTGTCAGCACAAGCGACCGCGACGCAGACGCTGACGCTGACGCTGATGCCGATGCTGATGCCGACGCTGATGCGGAACTTGACATGGATGCCGAAGCAGATGCAGATGGCGACATGGACGCTGATGCAGACGTGGATGTGGATGTTGACGCCGAGATGGATGATGAAGACAGCTTCGCCATGTTGACAACGCCATCGACGAAATTAATGCTTCCGCAGCAGCCGATGCAACGGCAGGCGACGCTCGATGTTCCACGGACACGAGGACCCATGCAACAGCACCGAGGGGGCGCGAATGATGCGCGGTTCCTGATGCAGAACGGAGCGGCAGCACTTGCGAACCGCACACACATCAACATGAGCCGCTCGATGCCTAACATGCAAGCAGCGATGCAGAATATGCACAACGACATGGGAATGGCAATGTCTGGCGTTCGGGGAGACCCCATGTATATGGACTAGGTACCAAGAGGCGCGTGCCCTCCGCCTTTCGAACTGCACTGGGCTTGGACCCAACAAAACACACTGGATTTACTTTGAAGCCATTTTGTACAAAAGCCTTACGGATTCACGTTTTGATCTAAGCGCACATAGAAGCGTAGCTCACTACCCTTGGGAGTTTTGCTGTAGTAATAAATGAAGGGGCCAAATTGATGACAGCGATTTTGCGTTTCCATCTGGTCTATGTGACTAAAGGTCTGACTGTTGATGAATCTGTCAGGAGTTTGCAGGCACCACGTATGACAGTTGCCGCCAAGCATCCGGGATCTGGCTTTCAGGGGTTTCATGGTATATGACTGGGTTCTGGTACTACCAATCGAACGGTCACTTGTGATGTGTGTTTGCTGCCGTCCTAGTCGTAACCCATGAGTTTGTCGTGCCATATCCAGAATGGCGTATAAGTCGTGCAGGCGCCCAGCATGATAAGCATTGTCTTGCCCGTCGCAACGATCATGTTCAGCTTCTTCGGCTATATCCCACTGCCGGAGACATTGCCATTTTCTCGCTTCCCAAGGCAGCTATACGATTTGAACACTTACCCTCACGAAATGATTCATTCAAGCCGTTGGGCTCCCGCTCATCTGTCGAGCCAGGCTAGCGAGGATCCGAGCATGCCGCCCATCACGCTGGACGACATGCCCGGCCCTCACTCGTCGACTTTGGAAGAGGCGAGAGACGAGGAAGGGTACTCGAGTGCCGAGGATTATGCGTCTATGGAGCCTCGGAGCGATTCGTCTGGTGAGAGTAGACAGGATACTTCTGATGGGGAAGAAACCTCGGAACTCTCTAGAGATGGCGAGCAGGACGTCCCAGCCGGTGACCCTGATGAGGGAGACTGGCATGTTGTCGACGATGCGGCGGGGCCGGACCCGGACCGCACGGTCGCGACGCTGCTGAACATGCTGTGTATACTGGACAGGCAGGCCCGAGACCTTGAGAAGAGGGGGTATGAGATGAACAGTAGGAGGGGCGAGGTCGAGAGGCAGCTGTTGAGGACTGAGCCGTGGGCGCTGGCGCGGGAGATGACGGGCGAGGAGGCGTTCTGGTGGGAGCGGCGGGACGGGAGCGGTGGCCGCGAGATTGAGGAGCTGAGAAAGCTTGCTATAGGGACGGTCGGTCTTGAGGTAGCGGTGAAGGATGTTGAGAGGAGGAGGGAGAGGGTAGTTCGACTGTTGGTTGAGGTTTGGGGTCGTGGGATTTAGATCGTCTGAGGAATGAGTAACTGTCGGTATACCCTAATGCGGCGAGGTACTGTATCCAGAAAGAAGACTCGACATGGTTCCGAAAATTGGAGAGTATCAAGACTGTTAGATTGCTCGTACCTTCATGCGGGATCCGGATTCGAACTTGGAAGTCATATAACGCTGTTTGATCACATTATACTGATATGAATCAATACCCAAAGTCCTCCCAGACAACCTCTTCGTTCTCCAGCCAGCCTTTCATAACCGTCAGCAGCACAGGCGCAGCGCACAAGTAGAACTTTCTCTTCTCCCCCGCAAACACCCGCTCCAGATCATGCTTCTCCATCCGCCTCCTCTCGATCCTGACGCCCAAAGCCTCGACCTTTGCGAGCGTCTCCTCGTCCGCCTCACCAATCTTTCCCGTGACATGTACGCTCAGCCTTGCCGCCAGTCCCGGGATCCTCTCGACGGCGTCACGCACAACACCGACGTCCTCCCCCCTAACCCCCCAAATGACCTCGAACGCCTTGCCACCCGTCAGCAGCCCCGGCGCCTGCGCGAGCAGAGGCGTAATGCCGACACCGCCCCCGACGAAAACCTCCTTCTTCTCCTCCTCAGCGACGGCGCCCATCCTCGTGCCCTCCGTCACGGCGAACCCGCGCACGGCAACCTCGAGCGGGCCGCCCCGCAGCAGGTGCTTGGCAAGCAGCTCCGTCGCGCCGCCGCGCTTCACGCGCGCTGTAATCTCGAACGCGCGGGCGGACGGGTAGCCCGAGATGGTGAAGCTGCGGACCCAGTCCTCGTTCAGGCTCCGCGGGTCGTCGTCGCGCATGTGGCTCCAGCCGTGGTCGAGCTCGGCGGCGAAGTCGAGCGTGACGTATTCGCCCGGCACGGGGTCGCCGCGCGGGACGTCGAGGGCGAACGTGAAGCGCGTGATGCTCGGAGTCAGGGGCTGGCGGTGCTGGGGGGTGGCGGTTGCGAGCGGGGTCGAGGGCAGAGCGGCGGCGCCCTCGGCGGCGAGGGGGCGGGCGGGCGGGTTGTAGGGGGAGTAGTCGACCTGTGGGGACGTGGCGCGCATGGGGAGGCCGGCCTTGACGAGGAGGGCTGAGGTGAGGGTGATTTTGATGGCGAGGCGGGTGTGCGGCAGCAGGGCGCCGGCAGCGTCGCCGGTGAGAATCGTTGCCGTTCCGGTGGCCTGACGACATGTTAGTTCCCAGTTCCAGATTGCCGAGCAGAATGCGAAGACGTACATAGAGTACATCCGAAGTGTCAAAATCGGGTATGGTGATGCCCACGAGGGGGTTGGCCTGGAGATTGCCCAGGGTCTGGTACAGCCTGTTTCCCGAATCTACATCCGTCAATCATTGTAGCACGTTGAAGAAGCAGCAGGGAGCAGCAGCGACAAACTCACACTCGGGGTAAATCAGCTCAACAGCTCCCTCATCGTTCCTCCCGATCCTCACAAACCCCTTGCTCCCGCCGCGATGATTCGTATCCATGCCCGTCCCGTGCCCGCTCGACAGGAAAAACAGATCCGCCTGATCGACAACCCGTCTGGCCCTCGCGCTCAGAGGGAATCCATCCTCGACGCCCTCGACCTCGGGCGTCCTCGCGACAAGAGCCCGCCCGTTGAGGTACTTGGGACAATTGCCGAGGCTCCCCTCGACGCGGACCGCCATTTGCACCTCGCCCTGCGCGACGGCGCCGGCCACCAGCCGTCCCATGAGCTTGACGCGGTCCTTCGTCTGCAGGTCAATGCCGAGCCCCGAAACGACCTTGTCACCCGAACGCACGACCTGCTCGTCGACGACAGGGCCACCCCACAGCGCCCGCAGCACAGGGTCGTGCGCGGCGTCGACCCGCGCCCGGATGCCGAGGAGGCCGGGGCCCATGGCGCCCGCGACGCCAGCGGCGCCACCCCAGAGCGTCGTCCAGGGACGGCCCTCGGCGTCGAGGGTGCCGAGGGCCAGGAGCGGGGCGGCGGCGATGCGGGCGGCATAGGGGCGCGGGAGGCCGGCGGAAGTGGGGTTCGCGTGCGGTGTCGGCACCGAGAGGAGGCGGTGCACGGCAAGCTCGCCGGGGTGCCAGACGGGGCCGGCTGTGGCGGCCGACATGGTGAGATGGATGTAGGCGAGGTAGTCTGGAGTGAGGTGGTGTTGCAGGAGGTTGGACGAGGTGTTGGACGTCAGCAGCTGGTAAGGCGGGGTATCCAGGTTCGAATGTGTATCGACGTCAGGGATGGGAGAGATGGCGAAGAGGGACTGGGAGACTGGGAGGAAAAGAGAAAGGGAAACGAGGCGAATTTGCATTCTTGTTTGTTTGACCAGATGAGATGTCGAATTGCGCCCTTCGTCGCCCGAAACTCCTTAGCATCACTGGTTGTTGCAGATGACAAATCGTCAGCCTCAATCGCGCGGGTCTTGAATTGGATACTGCTGATGCTGGTTCTTACTCATGGCCAGCTTCAAACCCCGAGCATCTCGCAAGACAAGCAGAATCGTCACGTGAGCCAGAGAGAACTTGTGGGAAGGGCTGTGAAGTCTGATGAAAAAAAAAGTCGTTATATTGATAAAGTGTACACCGAAAACTTGGCCAAACACTTTGATCCAAGCTGATCGCCCTCCAACCCCGTTGCTAGAATGGATATCAAGAAGCTCGCCGTGGCAGAAATCAGCGCTGCTCAAGGCCGCCGGCTCATCATAAAAACATTATGAAACGGGTCAAACACGCTCGAATAGATCCTCTGGTAGGCCCCCCTTTAATACCTCGCATCTCTTTGCGACTCTGGATCCGCGTTGTACGTGTCGTAGCCGCGATCTTGCCGTCGAGGGTTCGGCCTATGACTTTGCGACGTGCCTGGACGCGTAAAGTAATCGTTCTCTACCCGTGGGGGCATTGGCGCCGTCATATTCCGGGACGGCGTGTAGTGCGAGCCCGGTCCACGGCTGGGCACGGGGCCCGTTGCGCCACGGCCTGGCTGATATGGCTGGAACGATCCACTGGAAGCGCCCGCACGCGCCGATGATGGTGCAGCGGAACGATCTGAGAATATAGATGGAGCGGGACTAGCGCGTCCATCCGATGGAAGAGGGTACTCGCCGTACGCAGGCCTGCTTGGCGCAGGTGATGAACGGCCGCCGTCATACGTGTCGAATGTCCTGCCCGTCATGGACCGAACGGGCGCGGGCAATGGCGGCATTGTGTCGGCAGAGTAGGTCGAAGGACTCTCTGTGATGTTGTTGCGCAAGGAAGAGCCGTATGCAGACATGGCGTCCAGAGGCGGCCGCCCGCCGGTCCTGTGAGAGTTGGACGTTCCAGGGCGGTTGGGAGGCGCCATGGCGTTGCCGGACGGCAGTGGAGTGGCGTAGCCCATGTCGGCGCTGTTGCCCATGAGCGGAGCATTCGAGTTGTAGCTGGCAGTGGACGACATGGTGGTTGTCCTCGGAGGCATGGGTCTCTTCCTGTCCATCTGACCAAGCTCGATGCTGCCCGGGCTTGCGGGTCGCGATGTGTAAGGCGGCAGCGTGGTCATGGTGTCCTTACGATCAAGCTGAGGCATGTCGGGAACTTTGCCGGGCTCACCCAAGTTCGGCAGGGTCGGAAGCGTAGCCTGGCGGCCGAGAATGGGTTTCTCAATACCGTTGACGCCGGCCTTGAGTTGCTTCCGCTCTTCCTTGGCGAGAGCTTTGTCGACCTTCTCATGAACAATCTTCGTGAGAGATTTGTTGACCTTTCGCTCGCAGTAGCCAGACAGGCCGCCGTCGGCACGGGGAATCCAGTGCCACAGGAAGAAGACGTAGAACAGAACGGCGGCTAAAAGGAACAAGGCCGAGAAGATCCAGACAACGAGAGTGAAGAGCATGCCCGACAAGATGACGGCCTGTCGGGTGTCCTGCGTGGCGAGTTCCTTGATCTTTTCAAAGAAGCTCAGAATTTCCTGCCCGACATTGCCGCCTCCATCGGAAGAGAGCTTGACCTCATAAACAGACTTGAGGGTCAAGGCATTGATGGCCTGGCGTGGTCCGGAGCAGAGCAAAACGCGAATCCATGCTGTATTGGTCAGAGGCAATCCGCCAAGGCACTGGGAGAGGTTTCGTTTCACTTACACTGGAAGCTGAAGTAGGTGAACAGGGCGATATACTGCCCACCCTTCTTGCTCTTGGTGAGTTCAGCAAAGACGAGGAATCGCCTGTAGCCCTGTCGCTTTCCCAGGCGAATACTCTCAAGGCGGACGGCAATGTTGTCAAGGTAGCATTCGGCAATGTTGCCGCGCTTCATGACGCGCATGGCGCGGAGCTGTTCGAAGCCGAGGTTGACAAAAGATGCAATGATGCAGATGGAGAAGATCCATTTCGAAATCTCAAAATCAATGGCGGGGTCGATCTCGCCGGACCATTTGTTGAAGACGAGCAGGTTGACGGCAGTAAAGGTGTCGACGCCGTAGACAGCAATCGAGATGATTAGCATGAACCAGAGGTACCCGTAGGCGAAGGGAGTGGCACAGCCTTTTGACTTGAAGTCGTTCAGGTTCTAAAGTGCAAACGGTCAGTAATAGTACTCGTGGCAACTCTGAATGAGGACACACTCACAATGTAATCCCACTTCTGTTCAGGCCGAGCCTCGACGACCTTGCGTCGATTCGTGCAGCAACCCATGATGTTGCATGTACCGTATGGAAGCGACAGGCGGAGAGCGGCGGAGAGAGGGTAGCAGGTGTCCGACGTGGCGGGAGCTAGAGGCTTGGTACTTGGGACGATTCTTCGTTGCCGCTCAATTCATGTGGCGTGCGCAACGTCGAGCGATAAGTCAATCGTCGTGTCAAACGTCGTTGTGATATCTCGCGTTCCGGACCGGCCGTTAGCACATGTCGTTACTCGCCCGCGAAGTAATCGACTTGTGCACTGTCGTGATGGCTGTTTGCGTACAGTTGTTGCGACGACTCAAAGGAAGGAGAGGGACCAGTCCCAGGTCGCTCGAGGCCGGATACAGCGAGGGAGTAGGGGGACGAGGACGGAGGGGAGGGAGCGCGCAGGGTGGTCGGAATGTGGGCCACCAGGTGGTATGTGCAGGTGGATGCGAGGAACGATCTGAGACGCAACGACGTCGTGGCACGACCAGGCGAGGCTAGGTGAGGGTCGCCTTCGAGGACTGGCGACTGGCGACCGGCTGGTGGATCGCGTGGAACGTTTTTTCTTCTTTGACGAAGGAAAGGGCAAGGAAGGCTCAACGAATGGTGAATGGATCGGCAGCTCGGAGTATGAGGCTTGCCAATGCCGCGCAAGGTTGGGGAAGAGACGGCTTGGAGGAGGGCCAAAGAAACAGGACGCCGGAATATGGGGGACTTGGGATGAGTGCCGGATGGTAAGGCGCAAGTGGATGTCGTCGTCGTCGATCAGGGTGGATGGTTTCGCTATTGCCGGGTTTGATCTACCGGAGAGAAGGCGCGCGCTGGGTATCAGGGAGTCGAAAAAGGAAGCAATGCGTAACAAGAATGATGTAGCCGCACGAGGGCAATGATTGTTGGTCGCGCAAGACGTTTTGGATGAGAGTGAGTGTGGTTGTGTGAGAGAGAAACGACGAGCGTGGGCGAGGGGTCAATGAGTGTTTGGGTGTTTGATTGGAATGACAGGCGGCGTGGAATTCACGCAAAGACGACGGAAAGTTCAGAGGCGAGAGAGAGAGAGTCGAAAACGGTCATGCCCGCCATCAAAGTCGAGCAGTGGAATGATGGAGGAGGGAGGGTTCACGAACCACTGGCAGGGAGATGATGTCGAGGGTCTGAGGTCAAAGAGGAGGGGGGGAACGAGTCCGAAGGGCAGGAGATCGGCGCTCGGGCGTATGAGGAAGGCGGATCCCGACCGTTTGTGGAGGAGGAGCACGACAGGGGCACCTGCCTTGACCTTGGGCGTACTGTCGGGAACCTTGGGGGCCCTGAGAAGGAGCCTTGGGAGCCGTGACCCAGGGGGCAAGAGGCTTGGGGGCAGGAGGCCTGGGGCAAGAAGGTTTGGCGCCAATCATTTCCTGACCTGTAGTTGGTCACGATTCACTGCATTGAGCAAGGCCACCCAGCAGCAGTCCCCAGAACGGAAGGGTCCTGGGAGAGGCCCTGGGAGAAGGAGCACTGTACCTGGGGGCCACCATTGGTCGTGAGCACCTCGTCAGCGGGCATTTCATTGTCTGGACGTGGTTTGAGGCCTGGGCCCAAGAGACCCCCTCGTCAAATCAGAAGGGCCTCGACGCAGGTACACGACGCTAGCGCCCAGACGAGCATAGTGGCATTTGGGGGAAATGGGGCCACCGTTTGGCATCTCCACTAGCCCCTCGTAGCCGCTACCTGTCATCCCTTCCACATGCTGCCTTTGTTCCCTTTCATTCATTCATTCGAGGAAGATCATCGTCGGCCTCCCGAGGTTTGGGTGCTGCGGTGCTTGTGGCGGCTACGAGGCTGTTCCCCCTCGACGAGGCCATCGTGAGCCAACCGAATACCCTCAACGCCAATACCCTCATGTGCAGCTGGCTGGGCGTCGAGAGGCCTGCCTTCTGGGACAGCCGTCGTAGCCGCTGCCGAACCAGGTGCCGGGTAGCCGCTCGTCGCGGCACGTACATGTACTTGTGCTGCACAGTATAGTACCTATCCACGCGTTCACAGGAAGCTTTTCGAGCGAGGGCGCGAATGAACGCAGCCGATTTTGCACAAATGCGCCCGTTGACCGAGCCAAAAACAAACCCAAAAACCCCCTTACTGGCCGACACGGTATGTATCTGCCGAGTGCAACCTTTGATCATCTGCTTCCGAAGCAACCAGTAGGGGCGGATTGGACTCGCGCGAGAACAGAACAGACGGCATCCCCGATAAAATCCGCCCCCCGCTTGTCGCATGACGAAACTGGGGCCTGCGCGACGTGACCGCTCTCCTCTGAGACACCATGTTTATTGCTGGGGGCTTCTTGGGTACTGTTTCGGCAAGCCACTGTGATCCGCGCGGCTATGCCATGTTCTGGGTTGCCTCCCTTGCAGCCACGCCTAAGAAAACGTCAAAAGACACCAGTTAAAGAAAGGCGCCTCTGGCTAGACGCCAAGGGAAACACTCGACAGAGGCAAATGTGTCTTCGTTTGGATCCAGCCTGATGTCTCTCGTCTCATTTTCCCACTCGTGGCAAACTACGACTACAGGAAGTAACTTCGTCAACAGTGCTGCTCACCAGCCCAGCCTCATACTGCAAGGAGGGCCAATTGTCTTGATGACGGCTTTTCAGTCATGTCTCTCATGTGACGATGACTGTGGCCTACGACCTCCAGGAACAAACGT